CGTAAGCGGCGTCAGGCAGCCACAACTTCTGCAGTTGCGTGTTTCTGTCTAAGAATCGCCACAACATGTAGGACAAGCCTAGCCACTGCCGATGGGAGAACGAAGCGCCTGCAATACTCTGGCTCAACCGATCTGGAGCATCCTTCTGAAAATGCGAAAAAACGCCATGAATCAGCTTTTTTAGCCTGTCCCGACGTCTCGCCTTAGGATGAGTGGTATCTGGTTCTTCCACGTCATCTCGTTCACTTCTAGTTGGCGTCAATCCGGCACTAGCCGCGCCGAGCTCAGCTGCAGCATTGGCCAAAGTGGCAGGAAGCCCAGCAACCCCACGCACCGCGTTTGCTGCCATGTCGGTCAGCTCACTCAAGACCCTCTCAGCCGTCAATGCCTTGCCTTCTTCCTTCTTCACAATTGTGGTGTCGCGCCCAACGGTGACGTCTACCTGCACACCAGCTTCAGGACCCCCACCAACACCCACATAGACAGAAACTTCGTTCACAGGCCTCAAAACCCATTCTTTATTGGGGAATTCGCGAGCGAGCCAAACATCCACGGCATCTTCGATGTTATTTTCTGTGGCACTATAATTTGAAGATAGTCGTGGACCAGAAGATCCGTGTTTAGCTCTTGTATTTTTTTTCTCATCATTTTCCTTTTTTAGCAGATCGTCACCGCTCCCTTTTGTCTTTCCTTTCGGCACCTTCGCTGCTCTTCTCCTACTTCTATCTACCGCACTACCAGGTCCCAGACTGCCTCCTTCAACATTCAGCCAAGCTCCCATCGTGTAGGCTGCGAATTCCTTACGGAAAACAGAGTGGCAATCGACGCCATCTGGTCTGAATTTGGGCACCCAAGGTTCTACCATCACCAGCTTGCGAATCATTAGACCCAGTTCGACTTCGCGGTGTTGCTTGTTGCGCACTCTGTCGACGACCACTGCTCGCACATCCTCTATCTCGACATCCAGATTGGCCACGATGCTCTGTACAATCCGCATTACGTACCCTGGGTCGGGCTCGGCGGTTAAGGGGTGGGTATTAGAACAAAGCGAAAATGTGTTCTCGATGCAGCTTAGCTGCATTGAATCTGACAGGGAATAGCCGGTACTAGTATCTTCGACTTCCACTCAGTGACTGAGCAAGAAGCTATTTTCTATAAGAAGTGAAAAACTGTAAATAATAAATTATCAGTTTGCTATTTCATTCGTCAGTTGGAAAAGAGAAAATACTCACAATCTCAATAGCACGTTTCTTAATGCTTTTCGCACCTCCACCAACAGCTCCCTTAGCTTGTGCTATCACACCCGCTAGCAAATTCTGACCACCACCAGCTCCACCACCGCCGCCACTACCACCACTAATACTTCCACCAGTCGCTTGTTCTAGCAATGGTCCTAATTTTCCGAGTTTGTTCAAGACTTTATCTCTTTTGCGTTCCCTCAGCCTTTTGCGTGCACCTCGAGCTCCAGCTGAATAAAAACCTGGCTGGTTGTCCTGGTGTTCATCGTCTTCTTGGTCCACCCAGACGCCTGGGTTCCCAAAAGTAGGCTCCCCTACACCAAATCCCCCACCACCACCGCCATACTCCTTCTTCACTTTTTCCCATCTCTCTTTCACCAAATTCATAACCCTTTCCTCCAGACTCTGGACCTGGGCTTCTTTGGCGTCGTGGTATTCGCGTAGTGTAGTTTCGATTTGTTTTCTGGTCAAAGCTTCAGCTTCGCAAAATCCCAGATACAAGTGAAGTTGTCGTATGCGGATCTTGATCCTGCTGTTCGTGCGACCACCTCTCAGAACGCCAAGTAACGACCAGGGAATCTGGATTTCGAGGCTGCCAACCTTGCTACGACGAGGTGGACCTTTCTTGTTTTTTCGAGGCTCCTGGCTCTTCTTCAGGTTCGTCCCCAACATGATCCGCCTATCATCTCTATCAGCACCATCCCCCTCCCCGTCTTCGCCTTCCTCCTCCTCATCTTCACTATAATCCTCATCCAACACCTCAAGACCACCCATAACCGCAGGCAGCAACTTCTGAAACAGATTCTTCTTCACCCTCAAGTCCTTGAGAGAGACACCGCCACTGCGGATGCCAACTGCTAGATTGATTTTATCCAAATCCTCAATAAATGGCTCTAGCGCGGATCGAAGCAGGTTTTCGAGGAGCTCCGAGACAAACATCATCTTGTTGGGCGAGCAGAGTGAATGTCTGTCGAGGAAAAGGAAATGAAGGGCAGAAGAAGATGAGACTGGGGAGCGGCAGAAGAAGAGAGATTTTGAGACTGGCGAGGGGCAGAAGAAGATGAGACCGAGGGGCAGAAGAAGAGAGTCCCAAATGCTCACAACCTCCAGGTGCTGTGGGCCCAACTAGGTGCTGTGGAGCAGATCAGATCAGGTCTATGCTAGAGGGCCATGACTCCTGTATAGTTCCCCGTGTGCGTGTCGTGTGTAGCCGTCTAGTCAGTTGAAGATTCTCGAATCCAGGAGCAGCCGACTACAACATGACACGGCGGTTCTGCTCCGGAACAGCGGATACGAGGACCTATAGGTAGAAGAGCCCGTGCATCCAGGGTAGACAGGAGGCTTTTTTCGTGACACTACACGAACTCTAGCCGCAACAAGAACGGATCTTCTGTTATGCTGCTCCGTCATCCTCTCTAATGTTACTACCTGTAGGCATGATCTCCAACACCTACGCTGGGCAATCGAACCAACTACTAGACCACGTCGAATGCCAACATCCTTGATTTAAAGGAATGATTTGATGAATTCGATGAGCAAAGAAAAGAAGCTCATCATATTATGGTCACGGTATTTTGACGATCAAATCATACGCTAGAGTCCAGGTTGTATTGGACGAAGAGAACTACAAAGATTACACTACATAGAAACGAAGAAAAAGTTGCCAGGAGGTGGAGTACAATGTCCGACCAACCGCAACCACGACAAAAAAAAAACTATGCCAAAGTAAACTACAAAGGAAGAGGACAAAAACAAACTGCAAAAAAGACGCTGTTCCTGTTCTATTTATCTTGGAGTTCTTCTACAACTTGGTTCGAATAAGCAAGAGTCAGGGTCAAGGGGACGATGAGCGCAAATAAAACCAAGATCACTAAAACGTAAAAAAGTTCTTGGGGGTCGGACGACGACAGTGTGATCACACATGACACACGAACTTATCATGCACCACGTCGTGAAAAACCGAACTACAACAACACAGATGAATCAACACATACTGGTGAGGGGCAGGACGTGCAACGCTGCTTGTGACCTATTCTCGAGTCATCACACATTAGAGGCGCTGCACGAAGAAGATGCTTGGTGCGTGCAACTTTTTTCGCAGGAACAGATAGGGAGACAAGAAAGCAAAGAAGTCAGGTTGGAGAAGGATTAGATCTTTGTCAGGACAATATTAAGAAAACATTTTGTCACCAGTACATCCAACATCAAGAGCATCATCGGAATCTCAACAATGTCTTGATAGCAGTTCGGATTTCCTTTTCTCTCAGAGCTGTATCACTAATTTTGTATTGGGCTGTGTGTTCCATATCGAGATGATGAGCATTATTTTTAGAAGTTGTATCGTGAAGTCGTGCACGTCCTGTACGAGATGTGATTTCATCAAAATCATCAAAACTTGGAAAAAGAAGATCACCTGGCATGAAGCCTCTGCTTGTTGTAGAAGAAATATCAGATGGTCTTGTTCCTGCGCCACCACCACTGTAGCTACCTCCGTAGTCCAGCAATCCTAATCTTGAAGAAGATGCTGTGCCACGTTCGCCACTTAACAACGTGCGGTACAGAAGCTCTCCAGGAACAGGAGCCGACGTACTAGAGTAGCTACTAGTTGTGGCTCCGGGTCCTCCTCCATAATAGTTGTTCTTGTAGTTCATGTTCATATCATCAGGCGAAGGAGCTGGCGGTAAAATTAGAACTAAGAGCGATCCATCTTCAGCAGCATGGCCTCTTGGGCCCCCTTTTCCCTTTACAAACGGGATGGCGATGCCTGTGAAGATGGATTTCTTGTAGCCTTAGTAAAGATTGTAGTAGTTGTGAATGTAGCTTCTCCATCTCCTGTCGTATGGAGACGATTTTGTCTGACGTGTCCTCAGATAACTGCTCTTGCACGACGTCTGCCATGGTTTTGGAAGCGGAAGGCGCTGGTGCGGAAGGGGTTGGGGCGGAAGGGCTTGGAGCGGATGGCGATGATGCAGATGGTGGTGTACTTGCGGATGATGCTGCGTCTGTCGTGGCCTGTGAAAGTACTTATGATGAACAAGACGAGTAAGAAGCTTGCTAGGGGATAATCATGAAAAGCTGCTTACTTGTGTCGAAAGAAAGACCGGCTATAGGAGATTGATCCTCTTCGTCTATTTCTTCACAGATGATTGAAGTTCATACTGTTCCTCCTCCAGCAATCCCTGCCGCAGTGACTGCCGTGGCAAGAGGCGACTCATCGTCGAGGACTGGCGAGACAGAGGCGACGCCAGTTTCGGCTTCGAGTGGTTCGTCTTCGACCGGTGAGGACATGATATTCTTTTTTTCGGTGGCGTGGGAGCGGGTGTGGGAGTGTGGTGGGTCTAACCTTTCATCCTTCGACTAATTCTCCCATTTTGGAGAATTGCCCTTGCGTCAGCTTTGGCTCTCGAATGAGTGAGTAGTAAGTAAGTTGTCAACATTTCCTTTTGTTTTCCCTAGGCTCATATTTTTTTCATTCGAATAAGTACTTTGCTTGAAGACTCTCTGTTGCAGGCTCATATTTTTTTCACTCGAATAAGTACTTTGCTTGAAGACTCTCTGTTGCAGTGTGTCCCATTGACAAGGACTATCGGGTGGCCCCTGGCCGTGGCCGTTGTACTCGTTGTACTAGTCAATGAATTTTTATGTTTCGACATCACAGTTATATAGTTAAAGTTCTTGTCTTAGTCTTTGAGACAGTACAACTCTTCATACAGTACAACTCTTCATACACTCCCAGCCCTGATACAGTACAACTCTTCATACCCACCAGGTCCAAACTTCGGAACCGGCATCTTAGGTATCAAACACTCTATCATCTTCCCATCTGCACCTCCACCTCCATTCATCTTTTGCCCTTCATCCTGTTCCACCTTGCTTCGCTGTTGCTCTGAGAAAAACAACTTCTCCAATTCCCCTTCCCCCGCTCCGTCGATCGAGTGAGGAGGTGGCTGCTTCGATCCTGGTGGATACGTGATCGTCGACAGATAGTATCTCGCATCTGGTTTCAGGCATTTTTTCATAGCGCCAATGTAGGGAACGCGAAGGTTCACTGGTATCGCGACCAAAGCAGCATTGTCGAAGACAAGGTCAAACGGCATCGTTGCGGGGGTTAAGTAGTATGGCGCATCTAGGGCATCAGCGATGTAGATAGAAATTTTGTGGAAAGGATCCTCATCTTTGCTTTCGGCTTTATTAAAGTTGTATTTGACGACCTCGTTAGAAGTTTCAACATCATTTTTCTTGTCGTCCACATCTTTTTTTGTAAATTTCACTTTTGTCTCCGTCGCAACAATTCCTTTATTATGCTCGACAAAAATCGAAATCGCGTCCGGAGCAAACTCAATTCCCACCACTTGAGTCACCCAAGGCTGCTTCGCAAACCACACGATGTCAGGACTGGCACCACAGAAAATTAGATCTTCCATTATATTAAATCCATCTTGAGAAGGATAAGCATCCTGGAACTAGCTACTTGTTGTCTCCCCACTTCAAAACTAACGGTGAGTGTGCCGCTGCCTCCCAGGATGCTTGCTAGGAATCGATAAGATGGATTTGGGATGAAGCCTTAATAAAGGCAGAAGGACGCGAAGACCACCTCCAGGAGTTTTAGTGTTTTCTTCAGCTTTCGCAATTACATCCAAAAAGTGGCTCTTCGGCTCCAGACGGTGCCATCCGGTCTGACCTGTAATCCACCGGTCGTTCCAGTACTGGACTGTAGCGACCGCTTCAGCAGAGCAAGTGCCTGTCGTGGACATCTTCTTGAAAAACTGCTTCTGTCTGGGCAAGTAGGCGTGGCGGAGAGAGACGGGCGGGACGTGTCGCCGTACAACGTGTACGTGATGTTATTGTTCTCCTTCTCTATCACTTGACAAAAATGTTGTGGCTGTGGGGAATGAGGAGTAGACGACGCCGAGGAGGCATGTACTTGTATTGAAAAAAATTACGTTAGGACGAAGGGAAAGAGGACAACAATGGAAAGAGGATATTGATTATACTTTTGAGGATACATTCTTCAATCCCTGGTAGGCTCAATAATTCATGACCTGTCTGGAGCGGTACATAATTCATGATGATCCCTGCAGTGAACCTAGTTTACCTACTACACGTGATTTTCTCAAATACTATTTGGCAGTTGGTCGTTTCAAAATACCGATTGCTCATATTCTCATGCGGACGATGATGTCACACGGCCTCATTTCATATATTCCTCCTCGCCTACAAACTTCATCCTCTCCGTCTCCACCATAAAAGGATGAATTCTACTTCCTTCCATCTCCACCTCCTCCACTCCAACTCCACCTCACACTCTCTCCACTGACTCCCACTCCATCCCCAAGTAAAAATGACTCCTGAAAAATAAAGTCAACATCCACTAACTTCGGACGCTCATCCCGCTTTCCTCCTCAATTATGTTTATTGTGTAAGTATCTCAGCCAGATTTTGCAAGACAGAAGGCAACACTCAAGCTTTATTTTCACTCAATCCAAAGCATGACACCAAAACAAAGGAAATGCGCAGGCAATTATAAGCAACACAGAGGCGTAACACAGACAGAACGGCATTTGTTTAGGGCGGCAGCCCAATAGTTTTTGTGTGGAACACGGACAAAGAGAGAGATCTTAACTCAAAAATAAGTAAAAAAGGGCTGCTCTTTGTAGGAGAGGGCTTTTGTTTGAGTAGATGAAGCTCGAAGCTGTCACGTTTTGTTGTTGCGGCGGTACTCGGATTGAGTCGGCGTAAGATTCATCCACATATTCAATAAGTGCTGTTCTTGAAGAGATGGAACGATAAGTGCTGAACATACTCGACTGCGGACTACTTTGATCCAAGCCACCGAGCATGGTGAAGCAGAAGATTTTCCCCCATTTCTCTGCAAACTTTTGAAATTGAATAAACCACCCTCCCCCGTCGTTTCCCGCCTTCTTTATATTTCACTTCAGCATCCCCTTATTCTACTCACTTCTACTCAGAAGTTCGTTGCTTTTTTTTTTAGGACCCCTTTCCCATAAACTCGGACTGAGTGAAGAGGAAAGGGCTTTTTTTCATGATATTATTCCGGGATCGCTACAGGAGAACGAGACTCCCTTGTAGGAGAATCCCTTGCAGTTGAAGAAGGATCCAAGAACACTACACCATTCGAGTCCCATGTAGAAGTTGAAAAAGATGAAAACAAGAAGAACAACAAGAACACCTCCAGCCCTACTACTAGTTGTACCACGACAACACTTTAAGTCAACCAATATCAATTTGCACAACAGCTGCGAGCCCGTGGAAAAAAGAGTTGCGCTGATGAGATGTCCCCACGAAAATGAGTTTTGTTGTCCTCGTGCTCTCGTCTTATAAGCGCCGGCCTAGCCTTATAAAATTTCGAAAAAAATATGTGACCCGACATCTCTTCCGCTAGTGGGAGATGAAAGAATAAGTGACCCTTTATCATCTCTCTTTCAAACAACATAAAATAAATATCATCGTTTTTTTTAATTAAATTCATCAATTGAATTTCAAATATGAATCTATGACGAAGTTGCGAAAGCTGTAGCTGATGCCGTTTGTAATCTCGTCACTGTAGGCTAACCTTACTCCTGCTCCTCAATGCATCTTCGTCACCTTTATTCATATTCTACTTATTTCAATTCTCTTTATCTCTAAAAAGTCGACCCACCAACCTTGTGAAAGTGACGAGTCGACACTGAAACGAGCAGCATCGCGAGAAAATATCTACAACTATTCATCTGGTATTACAGTCGTCCCTGTCACTTAGATGATGAAGTCCCGACATCTCTTCCACTAGTGGGAGACGAAAGAATAAGTGACCCTTTATCATCTACTCTCTTTCAAACAACATTAAAAAAATAACATCGTTTTTTTTAATCCAATTGGTTAAGATCAAGGTGGGCTGCGACGAATGCGGCGGGGGCCCTGCTGCTGGCTTCGGCGGCCTTCCTCTCGGCTTTTTCGGCCTTCCTGCTCTCGGCTTTCTCGACGAATGCGGCGGCCCTTCTGCTAGCTTCGGCGGCCTTGTCCTTGGCTCTTCTGGCCGCCCTCTCGGCTTTTTCGGCCTCGCTCTTTGCGTCCTTGAGTGCTCCCATGTGCCTCCCGTACAAATCCTTCCGCATCTCGTTTGCGTCCCCCCTCGCGGCGGCTTCCTTGGCTCTGGCATTCCAGTGGTCGGCCCAGCCCCTGGCGGCCTCGGCCTCTTCCTTGGCTTCGGTGGCCTCCCTCTTGGCGGCTTCGACCTCCTTGGGGGCGGTGACGATCCAAAACTCGGCGTCTGTGGCCGCCTTTTCGGCGGCCCGGACTCCTTGCTTGTACTGCCTCTCCGCTTCGCGTCGTGCTTTGCTTGCGACGTGTTCTTTCTTGGTGGGATCAACGGCCAGCTCCTTCGCCCCTATTTCACCGAGCCGCACCGCGGCAGCCTCTTTTTGCGCCTCGGCAGCCTGCGAAGCTTCTGCGGCGGCTGCGGCGGCAAGGCCCATTGGACTTACACCATCCACTTCGCCAGTGAGGAAGGCCAAAGCCGGAAGGAGAAGAAACGAGCGACGCACCATTTTTACGGAAGGTGAGACGGGGTTAAGACGTACTTACCAAGTAAGACAAGAGGACAGGCCGAGATCAAGCAGGAAGATGAGATAACCAGTATGACTGTCTCAAATTATAAGAGATAGTGGTAGAAGTAGAACAAAGACGGTCGACGACCAACAAAGTATTAATTTCGATCGACGCCTAGTTCCGAAGGAAAGGAAGACGATATTTTCTTGTTGATGGAAAAAAACTTCCTCTTGCTCTTAAAAACAAAAGGGGGTCTCTCCCAATCGCTGACTGGGATCATGGGCAAATAATGAGATCATTGAAAGTAAATAATGATCAAGGCTTCATCCCTAGTAACGCCATTATACTTTGCTCGAAGAACATAGCATAAAGATCTGTTCATAAAAAACACCATAAAGACTCCCTTGGAACTACAGACATTCCTCCATGTCTATGGAACTACAGACACACACCTCGTCACAGACACACACGACACACACAGTGCGCTCAACAGACAACTACTTACTTAGCAACGCCTTACGATGTTGCCCCCTGCTCTCACTCACAGCAACCCTCAACAGGCGAGGGAAGTTGCTCACTTTTCTCATTCACAGCAACTCTCAACTGCAGACTCAGCTAGTATTTGATGTTGCTCACTTCTCTCACTCACAGCAACACCCAACAGAGGACTTAGAAGGAACAACCATTAGTTTTATTGTAGACAGGAGATTGACTTAGAAGTACTTGATGTTGCTCACTTCTCTCACCCACGCCAACACTCAACAGAGGACTTAGAAGTACTTCATGTTGCTCACTTCTCTCACTCACACCAACACTCAACAGAGGACTTAGAAGCACTTGACGTTGCTCACTTCTCTCACTCACAGCAACACTCAACAGAGGGAGCAGAAGTAAGTACTTGATGTTCTTGCTCAACTACATTGTCTCGTGTATATTGGAGCACTCTCTACTATGGGAACAACAATTTCATTGGCTATGGGAACATCAAAAATATTCTACTTAGAAGGAGTCCGCCCCTTCGTTCGTGCAAGGATCACAGCACAACTCCCTTCGACCTTAAAAGGATTTCTCTGCTTGCACCCTTTTAGCAAAAAGGCAGCACTTGTATGATGTTCACAGCTGCACCCTCTAGTGTATCGATCCCACGGAGAAAAACGCAACCGAATTCGTTGAGGACAACATCGACCAAAATCAGAGAATACCAGTTGAGCCGCATGGGATTCAGGGAGTAGGGCTGGAAGTATTAAGTATCTCGTTTTGAAGGTAACCCGAAAGACTGCCTGGTGGCACGAACATCAACATTACGATTACTATTACGTAGGAACAATTTTCATTGCACTTTTTTATCGGGATGCTTCGTTTCTCGGCCTGGGCCTCGACCCACGGTAGCGCTGAGGGAGTAGAATGAAGGGGTCTATCGCTGTGACAGACGCGGGGCTTGCCCGACTTAGGAAGAAGCACGCCGCTAATAACGAAATGGTGATGGACATCATCAACATATGGACAAACTAACTGACTGAACGAACGCCGTCTTTCACAGGAACGCGAATAAGCCTCACTTCTAGTCATACAACCCCAATTCCAACGACCAGTCATCAAAGAAGTCATCTTTCTCAAACTTCTAGTTTACAAATTAGTCTGACAACAATGAAAATACGGAAACGACGCGTCTCTCTCTCTTTCAACCTATGAGACTCATTTAACAGCATGAACATAGAATGTCAGTTGCATCTTGTAGAAGCCTCACTTAGCCTACACGATGAGTGCTGATTAGTTCTTGTCCCGTAATTGTCTTCGATCTACATCCTTGGTCATGTTGAACGAAGGGAAAAGCTAGCCTGCCGGCTGTTTTTATCTACATCCTTAGCTGCAAGAAGATGAGAAGCGGGTCGGAAGAGATCTCCACAAAAGTCAGCCAATGATCAATGCTGGGTGCTGTAGTGGATGTAGCATTTCCTCGTCAAAAAAATAAGGGACAGCGATTAGTATTTTTCTTATTCAGGAGTACATCTTGAGCCACTAACTCTAACATGGATATCATGCGGCACTTGAAGAACTGCGTTAAACCACGTAAAGGACGACAAGGTCAGCAGAAAGTAAACACGTTCAAAGAGGGGGGAAAATACTAATGGCTATCCCAGCCACAAAAAAACCTGTAGCCACCTGTAAACCCCAGAAGGAAACGACAGTCAATTCATCAGAATCGGCATAGGGAGGGTTGCGAGTCCTCTCTAAGACGGCCTTAAGCGTCGCTGGACCTAAGCCACTTATAAGTAGCCAATCTTGATTTGCGGTCGACTATTGCGAGTCCTGACGAAAAGCTGTCTAGAACTACCGAGCTGTGTTACTCGTAATATGAAGGCCCCAGATGAAGAAAGCATGTTGGAGTATATTACTAGAAACCTAAAAAGTTGGACTGGCTCTCGCCTCTCCACAACAGACAGAAGAACTCTCAAACAAATAAATATCTTGCTTGAAGGGATATATCTACGTGGGTGATAGTTAGAGGTAAAGACCCACCGGTTGTTTTATTTTAGTGCCTTGAGCGCCCGCTGGACCTAAAAAAGACCCCAACCTCATGAAAAGGAAGAAGCCAGTCTAGATTTGCAGCAGGAGCACACCTCTGAGAAAGGTCGAAATCTCAAACAAATAAATATCGCGAGAAAAAAGAAGCTGATCACTATCGCTTTCGTAATTTTTCCGAAAAGCAAGAGAGGCGAAGGAACTGGAGCACCGTCAGCCCGGCCCTTGTTTTCGGCCTTGCGATGGTTGGCCGGGCCCTTCCCTCACAAGGCGCCACAGCGAGTGCTGCCCACTTTCTTTCGCGACAATTCAAATCTGGCCAGGCATCGTCTGCCCAGCCGCGGAGCCGCGACCCCTGCTCCCTCACACGCTCCGCCCCGGGGCAGTAAGGCGGCCTAGCCCTGTAGAGCTGTAGCCAAAAGCTACGAAGCCGCCGAGGGAACCAAGCCCGGCGCGATCACAATCAACGCGGCCGCGCTGGAAACCCCAAGGGCACGGGCCGGGGAACGAAGCCGCCCGAGGGGCTACCCCGCTCAAGCTCCAAAGAGATGAGAGGCTGACCGAGAGGCACAGGCGCGCGGGAACGTCAGCTGGGCGCCTCGGTTGGAAGGGGTGTCAGCCGGCGACCACCGAGCCACCTGCTGCTCTAAAATCTATTCAGGACTCCTCCAATTATTTTTCTGCAAACGGTTGCGTAATTCCACCCCGGGCCGAGAGTTTCAACTTCAAAACTCATTTTAAGAGCATTGCCAATCCCATTTTAAATAAACGAACAAATACCGCCCGCAGAAAAATTAAAGGAATTTTAGGAACTTTGTTTGTAAGGCAACTGAACTCCTGGCCAGGCCGCCGCCGGCTGAGTTGGAGTGTTGGGGCGAGCGGGGTGGCGTGTTGGAGTGGGGTCCGTGTTTTCAGAAGCACAGTGCGAATGAATTGAAAAAACCTCCTCCCAGCGCCCGACACGACCGATGGATGGGCGGCAATGTCTCGGGCGCCCGGATTTCTCTCACTCTCTCGCCACCGTCCCTCCGAAGTCCAAGACAAAGCCCACGCCAGGTTTTTGGAATAATTCTCATCTGGGGCGGAGAGCAAGCAGCAGGCCGATGGCCGACTTTTTTGCTCCACTTTCTGCCCAGGTGACGCGACAGCGCCTCAACACCGACCGTCAGCCCCTTTTTTCTGCTGCACTTTCTGCCGAGGCGAAAGCTTCCACCCCGTTCCCTTTTTTCTGCTTCACTTTCTGCCAGGCGGGAAGCTTCCACCCCCCTCCCTTTTTTCTGCTCCACTTTCTGCCAAGGGGAAAGCCTCCACCCCAGTCCCTTTTTTCTGCATCAATTTCTGCCCGGGGGAAACTATCCACCCCCGTCCCTTTTTTCTGCCTCAATTTCTGCCCGGGGAAAAGTTTCCACCCCCGTCCATTTTTACTGCTTCAATTTCTGCCCGGGGGAAAGTCTCCACGCACCATCATCCCTTTTGTTTCTGCTAGCTTCAATTACTGCCCGGGGGAAAGTTTCCACCCTCAACCCTTTTCTGCCTCAGTGCCTGCCTAGCGGAGAGCTTCCACCCCCCTCCCTTTTTTCTGCTTCAATTTCTGCCCGGGGGAAAGTTTCCACCCCCGTCCCTTTTTTCTGCTTCAATTTCTGCCCGGGGGAAAGTTTCCACCCCCGTCCCTTTTTTCTGCTTCAATTTCTGCCCGGGGGAAAGTTTCCACCCCCGTCCCTTTTTTCTGCTTCAATTTCTGCCCGGGGGAAAGTTTCCACCCCCGTCCCTTTTTTCTGCTTCAATTTCTGCCCGGGGGAAAGTTTCCACCCCCGTCCCTTTTTTCTGCTTCAATTTCTGCCCGGGGGAAAGTTTCCACCCCCGTCCCTTTTTTCTGCTTCAATTTCTGCCCGGGGGAAAGTTTCCACCCCCGTCCCTTTTTTCTGCTTCAATTTCTGCCCGGGGGAAAGTTTCCACCCCCGTCCCTTTTTTCTGCTTCAATTTCTGCCCGGGGGAAAGTTTCCACCCCCGTCCCTTTTTTCTGCTTCAATTTCTGCCCGGGGGAAAGTTTCCACCCCCGTCCCTTTTTTCTGCTTCAATTTCTGCCCGGGGGAAAGTTTCCACCCCCGTCCCTTTTTTCTGCTTCAATTTCTGCCCGGGGGAAAGTTTCCACCCCCGTCCCTTTTTTCTGCTTCAATTTCTGCCCGGGGGAAAGTTTCCACCCCCGTCCCTTTTTTCTGCTTCAATTTCTGCCCGGGGGAAAGTTTCCACCCCCGTCCCTTTTTTCTGCTTCAATTTCTGCCCGGGGGAAAGTTTCCACCCCCGTCCCTTTTTTCTGCTTCAATTTCTGCCCGGGGGAAAGTTTCCACCCCCGTCCCTTTTTTCTGCTTCAATTTCTGCCCGGGGGAAAGTTTCCACCCCCGTCCCTTTTTTCTGCTTCAATTTCTGCCCGGGGGAAAGTTTCCACCCCCGTCCCTTTTTTCTGCTTCAATTTCTGCCCGGGGGAAAGTTTCCACCCCCGTCCCTTTTTTCTGCTTCAATTTCTGCCCGGGGGAAAGTTTCCACCCCCGTCCCTTTTTTCTGCTTCAATTTCTGCCCGGGGGAAAGTTTCCACCCCCGTCCCTTTTTTCTGCTTCAATTTCTGCCCGGGGGAAAGTTTCCACCCCCGTCCCTTTTTTCTGCTTCAATTTCTGCCCGGGGGAAAGTTTCCACCCCCGTCCCTTTTTTCTGCTTCAATTTCTGCCCGGGGGAAAGTTTCCACCCCCGTCCCTTTTTTCTGCTTCAATTTCTGCCCGGGGGAAAGTTTCCACCCCCGTCCCTTTTTTCTGCTTCAATTTCTGCCCGGGGGAAAGTTTCCACCCCCGTCCCTTTTTTCTGCTTCAATTTCTGCCCGGGGGAAAGTTTCCACCCCCGTCCCTTTTTTCTGCTTCAATTTCTGCCCGGGGGAAAGTTTCCACCCCCGTCCCTTTTTTCTGCTTCAATTTCTGCCCGGGGGAAAGTTTCCACCCCCGTCCCTTTTTTCTGCTTCAATTTCTGCCCGGGGGAAAGTTTCCACCCCCGTCCCTTTTTTCTGCTTCAATTTCTGCCCGGGGGAAAGTTTCCACCCCCGTCCCTTTTTTCTGCTTCAATTTCTGCCCGGGGGAAAGTTTCCACCCCCGTCCCTTTTTTCTGCTTCAATTTCTGCCCGGGGGAAAGTTTCCACCCCCGTCCCTTTTTTCTGCTTCAATTTCTGCCCGGGGGAAAGTTTCCACCCCCGTCCCTTTTTTCTGCTTCAATTTCTGCCCGGGGGAAAGTTTCCACCCCCGTCCCTTTTTTCTGCTTCAATTTCTGCCCGGGGGAAAGTTTCCACCCCCGTCCCTTTTTTCTGCTTCAATTTCTGCCCGGGGGAAAGTTTCCACCCCCGTCCCTTTTTTCTGCTTCAATTTCTGCCCGGGGGAAAGTTTCCACCCCCGTCCCTTTTTTCTGCTTCAATTTCTGCCCGGGGGAAAGTTTCCACCCCCGTCCCTTTTTTCTGCTTCAATTTCTGCCCGGGGGAAAGTTTCCACCCCCGTCCCTTTTTTCTGCTTCAATTTCTGCCCGGGGGAAAGTTTCCACCCCCGTCCCTTTTTTCTGCTTCAATTTCTGCCCGGGGGAAAGTTTCCACCCCCGTCCCTTTTTTCTGCTTCAATTTCTGCCCGGGGGAAAGTTTCCACCCCCGTCCCTTTTTTCTGCTTCAATTTCTGCCCGGGGGAAAGTTTCCACCCCCGTCCCTTTTTTCTGCTTCAATTTCTGCCCGGGGGAAAGTTTCCACCCCCGTCCCTTTTTTCTGCTTCAATTTCTGCCCGGGGGAAAGTTTCCACCCCCGTCCCTTTTTTCTGCTTCAATTTCTGCCCGGGGGAAAGTTTCCACCCCCGTCCCTTTTTTCTGCTTCAATTTCTGCCCGGGGGAAAGTTTCCACCCCCGTCCCTTTTTTCTGCTTCAATTTCTGCCCGGGGGAAAGTTTCCACCCCCGTCCCTTTTTTCTGCTTCAATTTCTGCCCGGGGGAAAGTTTCCACCCCCGTCCCTTTTTTCTGCTTCAATTTCTGCCCGGGGGAAAGTTTCCACCCCCGTCCCTTTTTTCTGCTTCAATTTCTGCCCGGGGGAAAGTTTCCACCCCCGTCCCTTTTTTCTGCTTCAATTTCTGCCCGGGGGAAAGTTTCCACCCCCGTCCCTTTTTTCTGCTTCAATTTCTGCCCGGGGGAAAGTTTCCACCCCCGTCCCTTTTTTCTGCTTCAATTTCTGCCCGGGGGAAAGTTTCCACCCCCGTCCCTTTTTTCTGCTTCAATTTCTGCCCGGGGGAAAGTTTCCACCCCCGTCCCTTTTTTCTGCTTCAATTTCTGCCCGGGGGAAAGTTTCCACCCCCGTCCCTTTTTTCTGCTTCAATTTCTGCCCGGGGGAAAGTTTCCACCCCCGTCCCTTTTTTCTGCTTCAATTTCTGCCCGGGGGAAAGTTTCCACCCCCGTCCCTTTTTTCTGCTTCAATTTCTGCCCGGGGGAAAGTTTCCACCCCCGTCCCTTTTTTCTGCTTCAATTTCTGCCCGGGGGAAAGTTTCCACCCCCGTCCCTTTTTTCTGCTTCAATTTCTGCCCGGGGGAAAGTTTCCACCCCCGTCCCTTTTTTCTGCTTCAATTTCTGCCCGGGGGAAAGTTTCCACCCCCGTCCCTTTTTTCTGCTTCAATTTCTGCCCGGGGGAAAGTTTCCACCCCCGTCCCTTTTTTCTGCTTCAATTTCTGCCCGGGGGAAAGTTTCCACCCCCGTCCCTTTTTTCTGCTTCAATTTCTGCCCGGGGGAAAGTTTCCACCCCCGTCCCTTTTTTCTGCTTCAATTTCTGCCCGGGGGAAAGTTTCCACCCCCGTCCCTTTTTTCTGCTTCAATTTCTGCCCGGGGGAAAGTTTCCACCCCCGTCCCTTTTTTCTGCTTCAATTTCTGCCCGGGGGAAAGTTTCCACCCCCGTCCCTTTTTTCTGCTTCAATTTCTGCCCGGGGGAAAGTTTCCACCCCCGTCCCTTTTTTCTGCTTCAATTTCTGCCCGGGGGAAAGTTTCCACCCCCGTCCCTTTTTTCTGCTTCAATTTCTGCCCGGGGGAAAGTTTCCACCCCCGTCCCTTTTTTCTGCTTCAATTTCTGCCCGGGGGAAAGTTTCCACCCCCGTCCCTTTTTTCTGCTTCAATTTCTGCCCGGGGGAAAGTTTCCACCCCCGTCCCTTTTTTCTGCTTCAATTTCTGCCCGGGGGAAAGTTTCCACCCCCGTCCCTTTTTTCTGCTTCAATTTCTGCCCGGGGGAAAGTTTCCACCCCCGTCCCTTTTTTCTGCTTCAATTTCTGCCCGGGGGAAAGTTTCCACCCCCGTCCCTTTTTTCTGCTTCAATTTCTGCCCGGGGGAAATTCTCCACCCCCGTGCCTTTTTTCTGCTTCAATTTCTGCCCGGGAAAAGTTTCCACCCGACCCCAGTCCATCCTTTCTGCGTGCTTCAATTTCTGCCCGGGGAAAAGTTTCCACCCGACCCCCGTCCCTCCTTTCTGCGTGCTTCAATTTCTGCCCGGGGAAAAGTTCCCAACCCCGTCACTTCTTTCTGCTTCAATTTCTGCCCGGGGGAAAGTTTCCACCCCCGTCCCTTTTTTCTGCTTCAATTTCTGCCCGGGGGAAAGTTTCCACCCCCGTCTCTTTTTTCTGCTTCGATTTCTGCCCGGGGAAAAGTGTCCACGCACCCCTCAGGTGGCTCATGGGACCTATCTACTAATTTGACTAGAATCACAGACCACCCGCCAGAGGGGCCACCTCGAGTAGCGAGCGTCCGTTTCGTACAGCAGGCACGCGCACAACAACACAAAACCCTAGCGAGGAAGCGCGACAAGATTCAGCGAAAGCCTCTAACCAGCCCAACAAGCTGAGCAAGAACTTCACACGACAACACGCAAGCACACTACCACGAAATCGATCGAGCCACAAGAGAGATTCGCCAAAGCTTTTGCCGAGCAAACTATCGAGCCGAGTCTACACACAAAACACCGACTGCCGATAAGGAGAAGAGCTAGTGCCAACGATCAGTTAAAGAGTATCGAAATCAATCACGATAGGGACAAGGCGTCGAGTCTAGTATACTAAAACCCTTATCAAGCCTGAAGGCATCGGGGGACCGACTTGCATCAAGCTCCAAGTAGATGACCTCACCCCGAAGACCGAGAAGAGCAGGAACACGACTGCAACCAGAGAAGCACCGAATCCATTCGCCAAAACTTTGAGTGTGATACTCAATCTCAGCAGCAAATTCTGTAGCGCTGCCTTCTTGAGGCGAATCCTAATCCCCATGTTAGTTCTGCAAGTCGTGCTCTCGTCCCGTATGCAGCAGTTAGAGATGTACAACTATCGCAACGGTCTTACTTTCTTCGTCGATTCATATTGAAAATCGCGGGCAAGTGACGTCGTCAGTTGTCTATAGGAATTCCAGCCACTACCTCGCATAAGTTCCCGCTATCAATGCCGAGAAATGAGTGCCAAAATGTTAGTTCAATGATGGTGCTACTAAATCAAAACAATTACTCGATAGTACCAAACTACTCTCCCTATATCTGATATATTTATATTCAAGCCAAGTCTTTAGTTCGGATCTATGACGTTCTTCTTTGAGTATCTTCATTGTTGCTCCAGTAGCTGCGTAGGTCACTCGGCATCTCAAGCCGAAGACCTACACAACAAGAGCTATGCGCCAAGGAGTAAATATTCGATAGCTTGAGGACGATAAAAAAACAAGTTCACGCTCATACTACAAGGTCTTTATTCTATGCCAGTTTCTGTTCGGCTGAGGCCATGGCTCGAGAGAGCAACCTCATCGAAATTGTAGGCAAAAGCTAAGAGTTCAGACGAGTTCGAAACTTTTCAATGCTTATCAATGTAGATAATAAGGAAGAAGTTGTAAGATCTTAGTACATATTTATGAACAACCAAGCGACAACCTGTGCACTACAAAACGAGCAATTACATCCTTAATAGACGAGTAGTCATTTTATTGAAGTTACAAATACAAGATCAGGCCTACTATAATTATAAAATCAAAGTCCATCGAAGCTGCCCCAGTATGAGTTACATGTAGACATCACCTACCCACAACACCCCAGCTTCTTCACAGATGTGAACAAGAATCACCAACCACATACAAAGCCGAGATGTGGGCGTTCGTTCTGCTATCGTCAGACCCTCACCGAGTCCCTTGGCCTTCACTCAGCGGCCGCTGTTCCTGCAAAAAGGTCACCGAAGATGTCGAAGTTCTTTGCTGCGTCTGCTTTTGTGGCAACAGAGGGCTCAGCATCTGCGCCTCCAAGTGCGGCTGTTGTACTAGAAGATGCGCTCTGGCCTACACCACCAATAGCGGACGAGCCAGCCAGTGCAGCAGCCGCGTCTGCGATCTTCTTCTTCTTCGATCTGGGTGCCGGAGCCTTTCCTTCCGCCTTATTCTTCATCTTTCGGCCTCGTTTCTTCGTTGTCGTAGAAACATCCGGGTCAAGCAGCTCCCCGTCGTCATCACCGTCTGCCATATCGGTGGCAAAGAAGGCCGCCAACTCCTCATTTGTAGCCGCCGGCACATCCGGCGCTTCTCCTGCTGCGTTTTTTCCCTTCTTCGACATCTTCTCCTTGGTTTTGCGCGCCAAGATTTCGTTCTGTGCTGCAGCGCCAAGTGCTGCGAGCTCCGCATAGTCATGCTGTGACAAGTAGTGCTGAGCAGCTTTGCGGATCGCGTCTGCGTTATCAATAAGACGCTGCAGGTCGTCTTCGCTGTGGTCCGTCATCGGCTTCTCCTTGCTCGCCAAAAGGGTGCGAATGTACTCTGTTGGATTCGCTTGGCCGACAGCGTAAGCCAAAGCAAGATCATGGACAGGATCATCGTGGCGCAACATCACTGCGGGATGCTCGCCGAGGCCCAAAGCGTGCATCGAGTTGTAGTAAGCAAGCACCCGCAAAGCCTTCGCACGCCGATCATCAGTCGGAGCAAAAATGCGAACCGCAACTACCATCGCGTCGGTCATCTCGCTGCCGGAGCTGTTGTTTGGATCGAGTGGCATCTTGAAAAAGAACTTGAGATCAACACTCTTAAGTCAGTTACCAAACCAAACTAAAAAAGCACAATTCCCAGTACCCCACTGAAGAAACGAGTCAGAGCACAAGACGAAAATGAATACAAGGAAGACGGAATAATATAGACTAAAGGTTTGCAATGGCGAAACCTCAGAAAATCAGACGACTTACTGAGTAGAAATAGATACCACAACAGCTGCCGCTTGTAGTCCTCCATTGTTGCGACTTGAAGCGCGCCCTCGGTGAGCCGGACGATACGACTATCCTCGTCAGCCAATGCCGAGTCCAGAAGCGCAACTATATGCGTCTTGAACTTTTCGAACGGCATCCGATTCGTGCCCACATTTGCGATCTCCGCTCGAGCCAGTGACAACTTCTCATGCCGAACGTCGAGCGGAGGCAGAACCAGCTTCAGATGGGTGTCATTCATCAGATACCGAGGTCCGACGTCGTGGTTTTCCAAGAGGATCCCGTGCTTGCTGAAAGTCATCAGCACAAACGTTAACGACAGCTGGACGTCGAGGAACTCCGCATAAAACTCCGAGCTGGCAGCCGACTCGAGGAACAGGGGCACGAGCTCACGGTGATCAATGGTGGCACGCGACAGCACCGTTTTCGCGTCTTCAACCTGGCCACCGGCAATCAACGTTTTAAAACCCTTCACCGCTGCGTCACTCTGCTTCAGTTGGATCTTCTCACGCATCAAAACGTCACGACCGGACACCCACGGCGGAGGAACTGGCGGCAATGTCATGTCAGCCGTGAAATTTGCGTGATCGAACCAGTGGAAGGACTGAAGCTGCTCGAAGACCAGAACTGGCTTGATCTGCATGAAGAAAATGCCGTCCGTTGCACTCCGGATGTGCATGTTGCGTAGAATGCACATCCCGACGTCACTCCACATTTCCCACTTGAGAAATGTTGCTGCGTGTTCAACGTGCAGGTTGCTTGGCGTCTTGCGTATGCTGTCGGCAACAGCGTTCATCTGCTGCAGCTCATCAACCTCGAAGATCCTCTTCGTCGTTTCAATGTTGACAACGCTCTGAAACTTCGGGCGCGACACAATCCCAGCGGCCTCCAGCTCAGCTGCACGACGTTGGCGTCCGTCCTCGACTCGAGCGATGATATCCGCAGTCTCGCGCGCTCGCGTTGTGGGGCTGTCGTTCCCATCAACGACAGCTCCTGCAGTAGCATCGTCTCCAGTCAGATTCTCTTGTGGACGGGAACCTTCAAGCGCAGTCAACTCTGCGACAGATGGATCGCCATCTCCGTCGGCAACCAAGTTCGACAAACCGTCATCATCCCCGCACTCGATCTCCTTGCTCGAGACGGGTAACAAGTACCCCGAGGAACAACTTACAAGAGCACTGCAATCCGGCTCGCGCGGTAGATCACTCGATGATGAAGAGGAGATCTCAGCTGGTGGCTTCGAAGGAGGCATCGCTAAAGAGATGCCAGCAGCCTTCGGCAGTGCGTGTTGCGACAAACATACGGAACTCGCAGCCAAAGACGCACTCTTTGGAAAAGCCGCAGCGATAGAAACCGAATGAGACGACCGGGATTCGCTCGGCATGATGTCGTTCTCGCTTAGCTTCGCCGAAGAAGAAGATGATCTTGCCAGGTCGTTTTGTGCTTCAACACTCACCCCAGTAGAGCTCGAGCTCCTAACTTGCTTCAGAGCTTCCTGCAGGTCGCGGTAATTCTCGTCCAGGATCTCCATCATCTGCTTTCGTGTCATACGAGGCCGATCATCTGATTTGAGCTGGTTCAGCATAGTGCGGTGCACGACAGGACAGTAGCGACGCGAGATCTTGTCGTCAGAGATCGGCATCGCGCGAAGGATTTTCCATCCATGACCACCAAGCGACTTGCCCTTACCGAGAATCGTGCGGTAGCACTCAACATTCGCCTTCGTCTTGGCTTCTCCCTGTCGCCCGAGATTATGCATAACGCTGGTGTCATCATCTCGGACGCTACGTTTCTGCTTCGCTTGCTCCTTTCGCTCCTCTTTTGCTCCTGCAGCGGCCTGCAGCTCGCTCAACAACTGCTGCTGCGGAATCGCCATGGATGGGAAGATGATGCAAAAGACCGAGGGCAGAAACTTGTATGTGTTGCACCAGACTCCGCACCCGAAGCACTCGCACGTTAGAAGAGACCGAAACGGTGGAAGCTGCTCGAGTGAGAGGTTTATTTTTTAGCTCTATCAGTCACTTGCTGAAATTCAGGAGTTGAGTGCTGATGCTTTTCCTAGCTGATTAAACAGACCAGAACAGGGCGAGAAGGTTTCCTTTACTAGAAGCACTACATGAGACGAATAATAGATGAAGAAGATGCTATTACAGGTAAAAAGGAGGGACAAAAAACTTCGCAGCTGTTGCTGGTTGAATAAGTGCGCGCCTGCAGTGGCGTACAAATTTTACATTTGTAATCAGGAGCTGTTTACTAATTTTACAAAAAATGCACTTGCATGCGCTATTCGCTCGCGAATGAAAAAAAACAGCTCGCATAATTCACTCGTTTTACATATTTTACAAAAATGACTAGTTTCCCCGCACTGCACGAGAAATGGCTACTGATGTATGCGAACCGAATCTGCTACAGGACGATACTGCGAGCGAAAAAAATCTCAAACAAAATAGCAGCACCAGGTCTTTCGATTGACTGCCACTACTCGCTCCAGCTAATTAGCAGACGAGAAAAAAAGCGCGCCGTAAAAAAGTACTCGACTCGATCACACGAATTATAATCAGATATACTCTCCCGACATGCTCAAAGCAATGCCATCCTCCCTTAACATACCGCCATAGACTGCGCGATCCGATAACGAAAAAAATTGCCGAAACAGATGCTCCACCAGCAGACACAGATCAGGAAGGTTGCTGCTGCTATTTCAAACATAGCCCAAAAAGGCACTTCTGCCAAGTTCTCGCCTGTCAAGAAAGTCTTCAGTTCTGGCACTCTTGCAAATTTCAAAAACTTGCATAGTTACAAAATTACGCCACAGCCAACTTTTCCAGTAAAGTCCCATAGTGGACCGCGATGTCTGCTACCCCATCCTCAATGCGGCCTATAATCAGCACCGCTGTTAGCGGCCTCTCACGACCTGCTGCTTGCGTTCTTTCTTCCAGGGTTGCGTCTTCAGCCAGCGCTTTCGCGAAGTCCCATGCCTCTACCACATCGGGGTCATCCAGGCACCCAGAGGTAAAATCGGCTTGCTCGCGGATGGTGCAACATCCGTCCTTAACCGCTTTTGCGGTGTTTAATGCCCACCGAACTGCAGCAGCCCAGACCAAAGCCATGCCCAAGCACGGTCGCGTTCCTCCGTAAAAATGCAGATGCCAACCGCGCGACAAGTTCCATCCCAACGCGCGTAGCTGTGCGCGAGGTCCTGAGCAGACAACTTTATCGAAGACTATGCCGTCTCGCGGCATCCAGCTGGCGTCATGACCAGCAGCGCCTTCACGCGTTTCCGCCTTCAACCACGGGCCACCTGTAACGCGTGCCTGAAACCCGTGCGGAAGAAGCTCCACTGCTGGAATATTCAGAAGGCGCTCACGAGCTAGCGCAAGCTGTCGCGCAACGTCATCTGCTGCGCTTCTAAAGCCTGGCTCATGCGAATGCGCATGCGATGCACCATTTGCAACTGCTCCGCCACCACTCGCAGGGGCACCTCCACGGTCATTTTCGCGTTGGGTTCGATCGATTGGCCCGAGTCTCCCGAAGCTTGCAATGTGACTCAAGGCGCTAGCATCGTAGATAGGCCCGACACCACCAGAAGCGCCTTGTATCTGCGCCTGTCGCATCTCTACCTCGCGCGCCTCAATCGCCAGACGAATTGCGAGAATCTCCTCATCCTCATCTTCCTCAGGATACTCGTCGTTTTGCAGCACTGGCTCGGGATTGGGTGGGCCAAAAAAGCGAACACTTTGTGCGAACTCCCACTCGAAACGGAAAACGAGACGCCCGTGCAAAAACAACAGCCGCCCGAACCACACATCCTGCGTTCCTCTATCGAAGTCCCGAAGTGCGTCAGTCAAACTGGAGACTTTTCTTGGGTGGAGAGCATCGACTTCCGGTAGCGAATACACAAGCGGGTCTGTAGGCCTCTGCTCCTGCACGTTCTCATCCAACTTCAAACAATGCACACCACGAAGTCGCCCCCGACGCGGTGCTACGATGAAAAGCTTCCTATCAATCGGCACTGCGCGCTCTGAAGAAAACAAAATGCCACCACTCGCTTCCAAACGTCCGACCAGAATCGCATACAAACCCCGCTCACCCTTCTGCTCAATCTGTTGACGCAAGGCACGCCCTAACGCCGGCACTGGCTCAGGCGGGGGGCGCGGCTCCTGTCGGAAGGATCGCTCGAAAGGAGTCCCACCCCAAAAACTGGGAGTGCTGCATGCTAGCCGTCGCATCGCAGTTATGCGCTCATCAGTCTCCGTCCAGTACTCAAGTATCTTGCAAGCCGGAACAGGAAAAATGGAGTCGACATCGGCGAAGCCTTGCTCCTTCATCTCCGCTGCACCGGCGTCCACAGCAGCCTGCAAATCCTGATCGCCGTCATTTCTGGCATGGCCTAACGCATCAGGTTCCACCTGCTCATCCGGTCGCAACAAATCTGCAACCGGCACTGCCTCTCCCCCAATCGTGACACAGTCCTCCGCCATCGAGTGGCCCTCCTCTCCATCTTCATCCGCGTCCCCACGACCGGAAGGAGCTGCGGATAAGTTGTTGCCCACCTCAAGACGCCGTCTTTTTGCAGCCGACACCCACCGCTCCTGCTCTAGGACGCTGAGGCCCTTCCACGCTCGCCCTGCTGCCTGGAAGCTTTCCTTCGCGGCCTGCTTTCGTGTATGTGCATACTGAGGCCCAAGAAGCTCCGGGTCGCGAACGATGGCGGCACTTGCGTCTTCGCGAATCTTCGACCCTATGAAAAGCGAGCGACCCGAGATAATCTTCGGCTTTCTAAGAACAGAGCGCGCCTTGCTCAAAAAGCTGCTAAGGCGCCGCACCGTGCATGTCCTAGTGAGAAGTAGCTCCATGCTGAGGCCCTCGATCGTCCGTCGATGAGAATGAAGGCCGACCTTCCTGCTCGAAATCGCGTGCTGGCTTTCTTCTAGTTTAGTGCCGAAGGTGAACTGCGCCCGAAGCCCCGTAGCTAGATCAACTAAGACCGAAGTCGGTAAGGTTTGCGCTTTCTGCCACTGTACATCGTGCATGTCCATCATCCGAAAGCGCGCGACTGCGGCGTCCCGCTCATCGTCATCTTCGACACAAATGTCAAGCAACGCAGACAAAACACCACTACCATCCGCATCCATAGAGTCAAGACGGCTCTCCACATTCATCGCGACACGGATGGCGGCTGCAATCGAAGACTCAACATCCATCACTCCACTTAGGACACCACATGACTCGATCGAGTCCTGCACTTCGTGCCAGGTGCGCTTGATCAGATCAGAACAACGAGAACGGAAGGTCTCTCCCTCTTGCAACGTATCGCGCCGCAATGTCTCCTCGTGCACGATGTCAGCCGGTCGACAAAGGAACGCTATTCCCCAGAGCTCCGCAGAGATAACCGAGTCCCAGCTCGCGAGCAGGCTGGATGTAAAACCGTAGTCCACCGCGCTGAGAAGACTCCTGCCACCCAATCGGTCGAACAGAAGCAACAATGCAGCACAGCGCCCCATGCTTAGCCATCTGCTCTCCGTACCCACAAAGATCCTCTTTATGACTTGGGTCAGGATCACCTCTGCCATGCTGCGGCTGTGTCCATGCAGAGTGTTTGCTGATTTGTCAAAGCGAAGACGCAGCGGGACTTCCGAAAACTGGGGCAGGAGGTTCCCGAGCAACTTCAAAAGGATTTCAACCTCGTCCACCGCTTGCAAACCTCCAACACCAGATGCACCAAGAACAATAGAGGCGCTGGCACTGCTATCAAGCGCTACAAAATGCTTCGCCAGCCAGTCAGACAAAGCATCCAAAAGGTCGACCTTATGGTAGACCAGTTTCCGAGCAAAAACATACACAGTAGTGCTCCACTTCTTCAAGCCTTCACGAGTATGCTGCAGAAAGGCGCGGGTCTCGTCTACGAATGCCAGCTGGATCAGATGGTGCCCGCAAAATTGATTGACGGCCAGTGTACAGTCGCAGACTCTCTCCGGCTGCTTCGTCCAGAATCTTAGTATTCGCGGCATTACTAATCCTGCACCACCAGAGTCGCTGACTTGATACACTAGAACGGCCCTCAAGTTGTTCACCACCATGCTATTCCGCATGACTCCCTCAACGGTGTCCAAAATCATGCTGATGCGCGGCCACAAATCACCAGCGCGCTTTCGTAAAAGAAGCACAGCATCAACAGGAATCTTGATCACCTCCATTATGCCCCGCTGAGCTGAAACAATCAACGCAGAGCACGTTGCCAAAAAAACCTCGCCGTTGTGTCGATGCTGACCCCAATGAGCTCTGCATCCACCTGCAGCTGCCGAAACCGTAACTCCAAGCGGTGTCCCATCATGCCCGATGCGCAAGACGAGCACGCTGTGAGGAGTACTAGCCAAAAGCGTCGCTAATTGTTCGAGCCTCCACCGTTTCAAATATTCTACTGCCCTGCAGCGGAATCGCATCAGCGAAGCCTTCGTTACACTCATGCCGATAGCAAGAGAAATCGCGGACGCCCAAGCGAAGTACGGCAACGTTCCGCAAAACATCATCGCTAATACCAGTCGGGAGCTGGCTGCGCGCGAAAATATGTCCACCACTTTTTTCCTCAACATCGTGTGGCGTGAGGAGTAGGCAAAGTGTACTAGTGGACGTTTTAAAAAACTGACGCCTTGTCCCTATAGTTTACAGCTAAACAAGATAGACGATAGGGCTACTATTAAGAGAATTAGTATAACTATATATAATCCTTACCCGATATCAAGTCTTTACTATCAACCTAGCGACTAGACTCGATGCTACCCGGCGTTTTTCTCGACGAATCTCTCAAGCACTCGACAAAACGAGCTGCAGCAAAAAAAGCGAATGAAACGACACAACCACGGCCAACGAGATACGACAATACTGAAGCAGCGACAACAGGCCTCAGTATCCCACGAGAAGCAAAAGAGCACCAACAGCATATCAACAGAGATACTGCTGAGACGAGAAGACAACCAAGCACACGACAACGACAACACGAGCAGGAACGAAAGCTGAAGGCGATACCAATGCCACAAAGTCCTGAGTGCAATGACAGAGCCCTACAAACACACCACGAGACAACCACAGATACCGAACCCATGGAGGCGCGCGGGCGTTTGTAGAAATAGCAGATTTTGTAGATAGGTCGGCGGACCACTTGACACCCCCGTCCCTTTTTCTGCTTCTTTCAATTTCTGCCCGGGGGAAAGTGTCCACCCCCGTCCCTTTTTTCTGCTTCAATTTCTGCCCGGGGGAAAGTTTCCACCCCCGTCCCTTTTTTCTGCTTCAATTTCTGCCCGGGGGAAAGTTTCCACCCCCGTCCCTTTTTTCTGCTTCAATTTCTGCCCGGGGGAAAGTTTCCACCCCCGTCCCTTTTTTCTGCTTCAATTTCTGCCCGGGGGAAAGTTTCCACCCCCGTCCCTTTTTTCTGCTTCAATTTCTGCCCGGGGGAAAGTTTCCACCCCCGTCCCTTTTTTCTGCTTCAATTTCTGCCCGGGGGAAAGTTTCCACCCCCGTCCCTTTTTTCTGCTTCAATTTCTGCCCGGGGGAAAGTTTCCACCCCCGTCCCTTTTTTCTGCTTCAATTTCTGCCCGGGGGAAAGTTTCCACCCCCGTCCCTTTTTTCTGCTTCAATTTCTGCCCGGGGGAAAGTTTCCACCCCCGTCCCTTTTTTCTGCTTCAATTTCTGCCCGGGGGAAAGTTTCCACCCCCGTCCCTTTTTTCTGCTTCAATTTCTGCCCGGGGGAAAGTTTCCACCCCCGTCCCTTTTTTCTGCTTCAATTTCTGCCCGGGGGAAAGTTTCCACCCCCGTCCCTTTTTTCTGCTTCAATTTCTGCCCGGGGGAAAGTTTCCACCCCCGTCCCTTTTTTCTGCTTCAATTTCTGCCCGGGGGAAAGTTTCCACCCCCGTCCCTTTTTTCTGCTTCAATTTCTGCCCGGGGGAAAGTTTCCACCCCCGTCCCTTTTTTCTGCTTCAATTTCTGCCCGGGGGAAAGTTTCCACCCCCGTCCCTTTTTTCTGCTTCAATTTCTGCCCGGGGGAAAGTTTCCACCCCCGTCCCTTTTTTCTGCTTCAATTTCTGCCCGGGGGAAAGTTTCCACCCCCGTCCCTTTTTTCTGCTTCAATTTCTGCCCGGGGGAAAGTTTCCACCCCCGTCCCTTTTTTCTGCTTCAATTTCTGCCCGGGGGAAAGTTTCCACCCCCGTCCCTTTTTTCTGCTTCAATTTCTGCCCGGGGGAAAGTTTCCACCCCCGTCCCTTTTTTCTGCTTCAATTTCTGCCCGGGGGAAAGTTTCCACCCCCGTCCCTTTTTTCTGCTTCAATTTCTGCCCGGGGGAAAGTTTCCACCCCCGTCCCTTTTTTCTGCTTCAATTTCTGCCCGGGGGAAAGTTTCCACCCCCGTCCCTTTTTTCTGCTTCAATTTCTGCCCGGGGAAACGGCTCCACCCCCGTCCCCCTTTTCCGCTTCAATTTCTGCCCGGGAAAACGTTTCCACCCCCGTCCCTTTTTTCTGCTTCAATTTCCGCCCGGGGGAAAGTTTCCGCCCCCGTCTCTTTTTTCTGCTTCAATTTCTGCCCGGGGGGAAGTTCCCACCCCCGTCGCTTTTTTCTGCTTTAATTTCTGCCCCGGGGAAAGTCTCCACCCCCGTCCCTTTTTTCTGCTTCAGTTTCTGCTTGCGAGAAAGTTTCCACCCCCGTCGCTCTTTTCTGCTTCAATTTTTGCCCCGAGGGAAAGTCTCCACCCCCGTCCCTTTTTCCTGCTTCAATTTCTGCCCCGTGGGAAAGCTTCCACCCCCGTCCCTTTTTTCTGCTTCAATTTCTGCCCCGGGGGCAAGTTTCCACCCCCGTCCCTTTTTTCTGCTTCAATTTCTGCCCCGGTGGAAAGTTTCCACCCCCGTCCCTTTTTTCTGCTTCAATTTCTGCCCCGGGGGAAAGTTTCCACCCCCGTCCCTTTTTCCTGCTCCAATTTCTGTCCCGGGGGAAAGTTTCCACCCCCGTCCCTTTTTATTTTCTGCTTCAATTTCTGCCCCGGGGAAAGTTTCCACCCCCGTCCCCTTCTTCTGCTTCAATTTCTGCCCCGGGGAAAGTTTCCACCCCCGTCCCCTTCTTCTGCTTCAATTTCTGCCCCAGGGGAAAGCTTCCACCCCCGTCCCTTTTTTCTGCTTCAATTTCTGCCCGGGGGAAAGTTTCCACCCCCGTCCCTTTTTTCTGCTTCAATTTCTGCCCGGGGGAAAGTTTCCACCCCCGTCCCTTTTTTCTGCTTCAATTTCTGCCCGGGGGAAAGTTTCCACCCCCGTCCCTTTTTTCTGCTTCAATTTCTGCCCGGGGGAAAGTTTCCACCCCCGTCCCTTTTTTCTGCTTCAATTTCTGCCCGGGGGAAAGTTTCCACCCCCGTCCCTTTTTTCTGCTCCCATTTCTGCCCGGGGAAAAGTTTCCACCCCCGTCCCTTTTTTCTGCTTCAATTTCTGCCCGGGCGAAAGTTTCCACCCCCGTCCCTTTTTTCCGCTTCAATTTCTGCCCGGGGAAACGCTTCCACCCCCGCCCCTTTTTTCTGCTTCAATTTCTGCCCGGGGGAAAGTTTCCACCCCCGTCCCTTTTTTCTGCTTCAATTTCTGCCCGGGGGAAAGTTTCCACCCCCGTCGCTTTTTTTTGCGTCAATTTCTGCCCCGGGGAAAGTTTCCACCCCCGTCCCTTTTTTCTGCTTCAATTTCTGCCCGGCAAAAAGTCTCCACCCCCGTCCCTTTTTTCTGCTTCAGTTTCTGCCCGGGGAAAAGTCTCCACCCCCGCTCCTTTTTTCTGCTTCAATTTCTGCCCGGGGGAAAGTTTCCACCCCCGTTCCTCTTTTTTGATCACAGCCGCCACACGATGGGACCTAGTCAGCAAAATACAGAAAGAACGACACGGATTGAATTCTTGAACTCTCTCAGACAGAAGAACCGAACAGCAGGACCGAATCCGTCTTAGGGGTTCTACGCGAGTCATCCACCACAGACACTTCTATATCCCTGCGCCTCTACCTAGTTGTAATTAAGTAGTCGGTGCACGGCCAACAACTAGCAGGGTGCACTTATTTGGTTCAAGGAAATCGAAATACAACCACGCTGAAGTTGAACAGTGTTCAGCAATATCAGTTCTCTGAGTATTGACGAAAGCTCTTTACTTTGCACTGAATTATCGGTCAGGTAGAGAATAAAAGTTGAGCATGTAGTCGATGTTACGCAGCACAAGCATTTACATGAAAATTCGGAGATGTTACTTCTAGGAAAGAGAAGCAGTTTTTCAGATCACAAATGTAACTTCTAGGGAGATGCAGACACTGTTCGGCTACTTCTTGCTATTTAGATGCCAGCAACTGCTAGTGCCACACCCTCAAGCCTTAAATCTCCTTTGCCTCAGCAACTGCGTCGAAGGTCACGATTTTTTTCTCCTTGATCGTGAAGAAGGCATCGTGACACGATATCAGCTTCCTCCATTCGTGACTGACAGTGAATAGATTAGAGATTTGATTTTGAACGAATGTTCAATGTCTGGAACAGAAGTCAAAATCTCGAAAGTTCAAAGTTTGAAATTTCGAATGAAATTCCATTTTTCCTGAACAATCCTCGAAAAAAATTCAATTTATCGACTTTAGTTCAAATTCATTTCCTGAGGGCGAGCTTTTCTCCCAATCAATGGAAGTGGTTGGAAACTGAGTCTTTGTGTCATAGGTGAGGCTCAAACATGACGGAACGTCTGTCCTCCAACGTTATAGTTGGATTTGGTCTAGCTCTAGTAGTAGTTATACACTTCCTCTTGATGCATATGCATGACTTTTTGAGAGTTTCAACATTTAAGCTAAGAGAATGGCTGTCCTCGAGCTTCATCATCTGCACAACAGAAACCTACTACGAACCAACATCAACAGCATGCGCTTCATCGTCTTACTGTTGCCTTTTGTACTATTCTCCATTAGTGAGGTTATGGATAGTATAAAAGTGTCTTCACGTCACCCCTTATCCTCATAATGTTCTACCATATAGCTCTACTAGCCAATCGGTATGGAGAGGCTAGGCTAGGTTATGTAGCTTGTACAGCTTCGGTTAGGTATAGTCCTCTCGGCGGTATGATTATCTTCAAAAAAGTTCCCATCATAATCAGCGTTGTTCGGACCGTGGGGTGCTGAACAAGCTCCTGGCTTAACAGCTCGTATATCCATCGTTGGTTTTCGTCGGACAGATGGACCAGGGCCTCGTCTAGCAGCAGTACTCGGGGTTCGTTAGCGACGGCCCACCAAGATCACGCTACTCATTTCACACTAGCGCTCATCCATCGATGACCTTGCCGCTTTCAAGTTCAACAACGTGATTATGATCCTTACTCAATTCAGCTATTCAGAGCAGTACTAAGGACAACTTCTGGCGGGTTACTTCTATCTGATTCTAGTTCATACTTCCTAAACCTACACCCAGTACCGAGCCAATCCAATCTTGGTGCAACATGCTCTAAAACAGTAAGGTCGTGGAAGGCTCTAGTCTTCTTCGTGACTCTGCCTCTCTTCTGTAGAAAAACACTTCTTCTACTTCTAAGACTCTGAAAATCTCGACTTACTCAAGTTAGTAAGTAGATGCTTTTGCTTTTGATGCTACTGCTAGACTTCTGAAGTCCATAAGTTTGGCCAGCAAGCAGTGTGCAACCATCAGACGTTGTAACTCCCCTCCGGAGAGAACTTGCGCGACATCCACAGCAGTATCCAGACCAATACTTGAATCTTAGAGAGAGAGATACGACGCAACTCATGTATTGATGCAGTGCTGTGACACTGCCTCCAACAAAATAAACGTCGAATCGCTTTCACTTTGAGAGAAAAAACCACTCCTACAGAAAAATACAGCTGAAAGATATGCTGCACGAAGTAATGCAGATGACCATGACACCATGTAATGTCATTGCCACCGACCTTGTGGTCTCAGAGTCTGTCACTGTTGCTGTAGATGTAGTCTCTTTCAAAAATATAACAACACCTGCTGAGAGCAACCTATGCCCTCACTGTCATTTTCAATAACAACATATGCTACAACTTCTACTTCTTCTCAATCTCATCCCCTCTATGAAATTCGTCTTCGCCATAATTTTCCTGTTCGTCCATGAAGTCTGTCGGTGATCTTGCAGCTCCTCCACTGAAAGAATCGTCATAGTTGTAGCCTCCAGCGCCACTGTTGCTGGCTCCGCCGACCAAAAACTCTTCGTCATCATCGACGTAGTCCCGCAATTCCGCTTCAGAATTCATGGCGGCGCCTTTGGAAGCATTGGTGCTTGACTTAAAAAGGGACAGCGAAGCAACATCACGTTCATAAGTAATGGTAAACATCAACACGCATCGTGATGATTGAATATTCTGCAGCATCTGCTCTACATACTCATACAAGCTATTCATCGTTGCATTGAGAAAAAACTCAACAAACTCCAACGCTAATTCTAATTGTACAGCTACAGCTAGAGCTACGACCAATATAAATCGCAAGAGAGAGAAGTGTTGCTCTTAACATTGGAAGAGCCTCCTGCTCCCCCTCCGCTGTTTCCCCCATACGTCGAGGAACTACTAGAAGATGCTTCTTTGGCTCTGCGCTTGCCTTCCAGACTGAGTCGTACTTTCTTCAACGCCGTATAAATTTCCCGGTCAGAATAGGCCGAGCTAGAATCTGGAAAACAAATTGCTTCTCGGAAGGTCATAGGATACGGCAAGCCAGGTCCTCTTTGAGGTATCAAGTAGGGCAAACGCTGATGCTCATTTTGCAAATCGCGTCTCCTGGATGCTGCATTCAATTTCGATGTCGTAGATCTACATCCTCTCGTGGGGGTTTTTATTAGACATGGAGCAAATGGCGCACTTCTTCTTCTTCTTCTTCTGCAAACTAGATGTTCATCATGAATTTGATCTTCATTCTCAATCAAACTAACTCGAACTCATTCTGAAACAAATTCGAAAACCCCTTGAAAGCAAACAGAGATGGTCTGATAGAGATGATGGATGATAGTACCTATACATTCACTTTCACAAGGTGTCTGGAAAGAAAATGAAAAACTACAGAGTACAGCATCGCATGCAAGAAGACACAAGAACACTCTTACAACTTCTTTCGCGAACTCATGAGTAATCATGAAACCTTTCTACACCTGCCTCTCTACAACGATCAAATTCAAAGCCAAACCAAAAGCCGTAAATCTAAGTCATGCTTGTCGTCTTCATCTTCGCTTTCTGCTTCTGCCAGGCTTTTCGGAAACAGCTTTAATCCTTCCGTCGCAGAGTACCGAAACACGAAATCCAAGATTCTTGCGAGTTTTAGAGCTTCGACGTAACTAAATTCATCTTCTTAGGAAGTTAATTAACGTTAAGTATCCTCAAAATATGTTTGACGCGTTTGTGTTCTCTTGAAAACGCGTTCATCTTGGATGTCATCATGTTGCTTTGACACGTTTTCGTCCCCTTGAAAATGTACGTGGCAAAGGAGATAATCATAGGTGGATGAAAGAATGACGGTCACCAGCCTTAAGGGTTCCTTCTTTGGCTTCAGACTGAGACTTGGCTTATTTTCCAACTCGAAGGATCCACCATATCCACCTGGTCTTGTGCTCAAAGTACCAAAATCAACGTCGACAGGGTTCCCTTGATGTTTTCTTGTTGGAGATGCTCCTCCACCACGACCGGCATCCACTCTCACAAATGGCCAAACATCTGCTAACGTTCTCAGCAGAGTGGACTTACCGGTGCCCTCGGGACCGCACAAGAGAATCCGTTGTCCCCGCGTCGCTTCTTCAACTTAGCGTCTGTCCGCTAGGGGAGTCACTAAAAACACTGTGAGGGGAATCTTCACCAGCTCAAGCTCATTTTCATTATTATTATAAGGGAAAGAATATGATAAGAAGAAACCAGAAGCAGAAGCCTTAACCGAGAAAATTGTTCAGTTGTACATTCTCTGCTATCGTCTGTCCGCTAGGCAGGAGTACTGTGACCGCCGCTCCTTGCTCAAGACACCTGACTCTGCGCAAGATTAACTCACGTCGTCTAGCCGCCTCATTATACAAAGCGGGATCGATCGAATACGGATCACCTTCGGTCAGCGTCCTCTTAGAGGAGCTACAGCACCTACATAAACAACATGCACATGGCAAGGTTTTTCGCAATATTTCTCGTCTGACAACGACTTCTGCTACCAGCTGTAGCTGTAGTTGTACTAGCATGTTGCATTAAAAAGCAAACAACAACAAGCGACCATTTGATGTAAGTAGTTCTTTGCACACAACAAGAGCTCGAGTTCGACAACCATAGCAGGATTCAATATTGACGATGAAATTGCGAAGGAAGATAAGTAAGGACACAATTTCGTGAAAATTGATATCCTTTTCCCCTGCGTGTCTATTCCTACTACTCTTTCAGTAGTACATGATCTACATAATGAAAACTCAAATCAGTAACACGACTACCTAGTTGTACTATCCAAGGTCGAGTTTTTGAAGTTGTCTTCTTAACCTTCATCTTGTCTCCGTTGTTATCATCGTTTTCCAAACCCATGTTTTTATATGCGTCCATGCAGACTACGGTTGCGGCACTCGTACTGGTCAACAATGGATCCTTGATGAAGTTCAAGGTCGTTCGTCCTTTATTCATACCATTGTTCGCATTGTTTGAGGAAGAAGAGCAGAATAACGTCTCGGTCTCGTCAATCATCTGTGCTCTCGGATCAGACCACAAATTCGTGGTGTTCTTTCTTTTTCTTAGTTCTCCACTACCTCCAATCCATCGACACAATACAAGTGAAGTTGTCGTATGCGGATCTTGATCCTGCTGTTCGTGCGACCACCTCTCAGAACGCCAAGTAACGACCAGGGAATCTGGATTTCGAGGCTGCCAACCTTGCTACGACGAGGTGGACCTTTCTTGTTTTTTCGAGGCTCCTGGCTCTTCTTCAGGTTCGTCCCCAACATGATCCGCCTATCATCTCTATCAGCACCATCCCCCTCCCCGTCTTCGCCTTCCTCCTCCTCATCTTCACTATAATCCTCATCCAACACCTCAAGACCACCCATAACCGCAGGCAGCAACTTCTGAAACAGATTCTTCTTCACCCTCAAGTCCTTGAGAGAGACACCGCCACTGCGGATGCCAACTGCTAGATTGAGCTTATCCAAATCCTCGATAAATGGCTCTAGCGCGGATCGAAGCAGGTTTTCGAGGAGCTCCGAGACAAACATCATCTTGTTGGGCGAGCAGAGTGAATGTCTGTCGAGGAAAAGGAAATGAAGGGCAGAAGAAGATGAGACTGAGGAGCGGCAGAAGAAGAGAGTCCCAAAGGCTCACAACCTCCAGGTGCTGTGGGCCCAATTAGGTGCTGTGGACCAGATCAGATCAGGGGTATGCTAGACGGCCATGACTCTTGCATAGTCCCCCGTGTGCGTGTCGTGTGTAGCCGTGTAGTCAGTTGAAGATTCTCGAATCCAGGAGCGGCCGACTACAACATGACACGGCGGTTCTGCTCCGGAACAGCGGATACGACCTATAGGTAGAAGAGCCCGTGCATCCAGGATAGACAGGAGGCTTTTTTCGTGACACTACACGAACTCTAGCCACAACGAGAACGGATCTTCTGTTATGCTGCTCCGTCATCCTCTCTAATGTTACTACCTGTAGGCATGATCTCCAACACCTACGCTGGGCAATCGAACCAACTACTAGAACACGTCGAATGCCAACATTCGTGATTTAAAGGAATGATTTGATGAATTCGATGAGCAAAGAAAAGAAGCTCATCATATTATGGTCACGGTGTTTTGACGATCAAATACGCTAGAGTCCAGGTTGTATTGGACGAAGAGAACTACAAATATTACACTACATAGAAACGAAGAAAAAGTTGCCCCAGGAGGTGGAGTACAAAAATGTCCGACCAACGACCGCAACCACGACAAAAAAAAACTATGCCAAAGTAAACTACAAAGGAAGAGGACAAAAACAAACTGAAAAAAAAACGCTGTTCCTGTTCTATTGATCTTGGAGTTCTTCTACAACTTGGTTCGAATAAGCAAGAGTCAGGTCAAGGACACGATGAGCGCAAATAAAACCAAGATCACTAAAACGTAAAAAAGTTCTTGGGGGTTGGACGACAACAGTGTGATCACACATGACGCACGAACTTATCATGCACCACGTCGTGAAAAACCGAACTACAACAACACAGATGAATCAACACATACTGGTGGGGGGCAGGACGTGCAACGCTGCTTATGACCTATTCTTGAGTCATCACACATTAGAGGCGCTGCACGATGAAGATGCTTGGTGCGTGCAACTTTTTTCGCAGGAACAGATAGGGAGACAAGAAAGCAAAGAAGTCAGGTTGGAGAAGGATTAGATCTTTGTCAGGACAATATTATACATTTTGTCACCAGTACATCCAACATCAAGAGCATCATCGGAATCTCAACAATGTCTTGATAGCAGTTCGGATTTCCTTTTCTCTCAGAGCTGTATCACTAATTTTGTATTGGGCTGTGTGTTCCATATCGAGATGATGAGCATTATTTTTAGAAGTTGTATCGTGAAGTCGTGCACGTCCTGTACGAGATGTGATTTCATCAAAATCATCAAAACTTGGAAAAAGAACATCACCTGGCATGAAGCCTCTGCTTGTTGTAGAAGAAATATCAGATGGTCTTGTTCCTGCGCCACCACCACTGTAGCTACCTCCGTAGTCCAGCAATCCTAATGTTGAAGAAGATGCTGTGCCACGTTCGCCACTTAACAACGTGCGGTACAGAAGCTCTCCAGGGACAGGAGCCGACGTACTAGAGTAGCTACTAGTTGTGGCTCCGGGTCCTCCTCCATAATAGTAGTTCTTGTAGTTCATGTTCATATCATCAGGCGAAGGAGCTGGCGGTAAAATTAGAACTAAGAGCGATCCATCTTCAGCATCATGGCCTCTTGGGCCCCCTTTTCCCTTTACAAACGGGATGGCGATGCCTGTGAAGATGGATTTCTTGTAGCCTTAGTAAAGATTGTACTAGTTGTGAATGTAGCTTCTCCATCTCCTGTCGTATGGAGACGATTTTGTCTGACGTGTCCTCAGATAACTGCTCTTGCACGACGTCTGCCATGGTTTTGGAAGCGGAAGGCGCTGGTGCGGAAGGGGTTGGGGCGGAAGGGCTTGGAGCGGATGGCGATGATGCAGATGGTGGTGTACTTGCGGATGATGCTGCGTCTGTCGTGGCCTGTGAAAGTACTTATGATGAACAAGACGAGTAAGAAGCTTGCTAGAGGAAAATCATGAAAAAATGCTTACTTGCGTCGAGGAAAGAAAGAACGGCTATAGGAGATTGATCCTCTTCGTCTATTTCTTCACAGATGAAGTTCATACTGTTCCTCCTCCAGCGATCCCTGCCGCAGTGACTGCCGTGGCAAGAGGCGACTCATCGTCGAGGACTGGCGAGACAGAGGCGACGCCAGTTTCGGCTTCAAGTGGTTCGTCTTCGGCCGGTGAGGACATGATATTCTTTTTTTCGGTGGCGTGGGAGCGGGTGTGGGAGTGGAAGTATGAAACTGATGAACAAGTTGATAGTCATGAACGGAGGGGAATACAAATCGAAGAAAGAGACGACGTACAACAAATAGTTTACTTTTTGTGGGTCTAAGCTTTCATCCTTCGACGAAGTGTCCCATTTTGGAGAATTGCCCTTGCGTCAGCTTTGGCTCTCGAATGAGTGAGTAGTAAGTAAGTTGTCAACATTTCCTTTTGTTTTCCCTAGGCTCATATTTTTTTCAATCGAATAAGTACTTTGCTTGAAGACTCTCTGTTGCAGGCTCATATTTTTTTCACTCGAATAAGTACTTTGCTTGAAGACTCTCTGTTGCAGGCTCATATTTTTTTCACTCGAATAAGGACTTTGCTTGAAGACTCTCCGTTGCAGTGTGTCCCACTGACAAAGACTATCGGGTGGCCCCTGGCCGTGGCCGTTGTACTAGTTGTACTTCTAGTCAATTAATTTTTATGTTTCGACATCACAGTTATATAGTTAAAGTTCTTGTCTTAGTCTTTGAGACAGTACAACTCTTCATACATTACAACTCTTTATACAGTACAACTCTTCATACACTCCCAGCCCTGATACAGTACAACTCTTCATACCCATCAGGTCCAAACTTCGGAACCGGCATCTTAGGTATCAAACACTCTATCATCTTCCCATCTGCACCTCCACCTCCATTCATCTTTTGCCCTTCATCCTGTTCCACCTTGTTTCGCTGTTGCTCTGAGAAAAACAACTTCTCCAATTCCCCTTCCCCCGCTCCGTCGATCGAGTGAGGAGGTGGCTGCTTCGATCCTGGTGGATACGTGATCGTCGACAGATAGTATCTCGCATCTGGTTTCAGGCATTTTTTCATAGCGCCAATGTAGGGAACGCGAAGGTTCACTGGTATCGCGACCAAAGCAGCATTGTCGAAGACAAGGTCAAACGGCGTCGTTGCTGGGGTTAAGTAGTATGGCGCATCTAGGGCATCAGCGATGTAGATAGAAATTTTGTGGAAAGGATCCTCATCTTTGCTTTCGGCTTTATTAAAGTTGTATTTGACGACCTCGTTAGAAGTTTCAACATCATTTTTCTTGTCGTCCACATCTTTTTTTGTAAATTTCACTTTTGTCTGCGTCGCAACAATTCCTTTATTTTGCTCGACAAAAATCGGAATCGCGTCCGGCGCAAACTCAATTCCCACCACTTGAGTCACCCAAGGCTGCTTCGCAAACCACACGATGTCAGGACTGGCACCACAGAAAATTAGATCTTCCATTATATTAAATCCATCTTGAGAAGGATAAGCATCCTGGAACTAGCTACTTGTTGTCTCCCCACTTCAAAACTAACGGTGAGTGTGCCGCTGCCTCCCAGGATGCTTGCTAGGAATCGATAAGATGGATTTGGGATGAAGCCTTAATAAAGGCAGAAGGACGCGAAGACCACCTCCAGGAGTTTTAGTGTTTTCTTCAGCTTTCGCAATTACATCCAAAAAGTGGCTCTTCGGCTCCAGACGGTGCCATCCGGTCTGACCTGTAATCCACCGGTCGTTCCAGTACTGGACTGTAGCGACCGCTTCAGCAGAGCAAGTGCCTGTCGTGGACATCTTCTTGAAAAACTGCTTCTGTCTGGGCAAGTAGGCGTGGCGGAGAGAGACGGGCGGGACGTGTCGCCGTACAACGTGTACGTGATGTTATTGTTCTCCTTCTCTATCACTTGACAAAAATGTTGTGGCTGTGGGGAATGAGGAGTAGACGACGCCGAGGAGGCATGTACTTGTATTGAAAAAAATTACGTTAGGACGAAGGGAAAGAGGACAACAATGGAAAGAGGATATTGATTATACTTTTGAGGATACATTCTTCAATCCCTGGTAGGCTCAATAATTCATGACCTGTCTGGAGCGGTACATAATTCATGATGATCCCTGCAGTGAACCTAGTTTACCTACTACACGTGATTTTCTCAAATACTATTTGGCAGTTGGTCGTTTCAAAATACCGATTGCTCATATTCTCATGCGGACGATGATGTCACACGGCCTCATTTCATATATTCCTCCTCGCCTACAAACTTCATCCTCTCCGTCTCCACCATAAAAGGATGAATTCTACTTCCTTCCATCTCCACCTCCTCCACTCCAACTCCACCTCACACTCTCTCCACTGACTCCCACTCCATCCCCAAGTAAAAATGACTCCTGAAAAATAAAGTCAACATCCACTAACTTCGGACGCTCATCCCGCTTTCCTCCTCAATTATGTTTATTGTGTAAGTATCTCAGCCAGATTTTGCAAGACAGAAGGCAACACTCAAGCTTTATTTTCACTCAATCCAAAGCATGACACCAAAACAAAGGAAATGCGCAGGCAATTATAAGCAACACAGAGGCGTAACACAGACAGAACGGCATTTGTTTAGGGCGGCAGCCCAATAGTTTTTGTGTGGAACACGGACAAAGAGAGAGATCTTAACTCAAAAATAAGTAAAAAAGGGCTGCTCTTTGTAGGAGAGGGCTTTTGTTTGAGTAGATGAAGCTCGAAGCTGTCACATTTTGTTGTTGCGGCGGTACTCGGATTGAGTCGGCGTAAGATTCATCCACATATTCAATAAGTGCTGTTCTTGAAGAGATGGAACGATAAGTGCTGAACATACTCGACTGCGGACTACTTTGATCCAAGCCACCGAGCATGGTGAAGCAGAAGATTTTCCCCCATTTCTCTGCAAACTTTTGAAATTGAATAAACCACCCTCCCCCGTCGTTTCCCGCCTTCTTTATATTTCACTTCAGCATCCCCTTATTCTACTCACTTCTACTCAGAAGTTCGTTGCTTTTTTTTTTAGGACCCCTTTCCCATAAACTCGGACTGAGTGAAGAGGAAAGGGCTTTTTTTCATGATATTATTCCGGGATCGCTACAGGAGAACGAGACTCCCTTGTAGGAGAATCCCTTGCAGTTGAAGAAGGATCCAAGAACACTACACCATTCGAGTCCCATGTAGAAGTTGAAAAAGATGAAAACAAGAAGAACAACAAGAACACCTCCAGCCCTACTACTAGTTGTACCACGACAACACTTTAAGTCAACCAATATCAATTTGCACAACAGCTGCGAGCCCGTGGAAAAAAGAGTTGCGCTGATGAGATGTCCCCACGAAAATGAGTTTTGTTGTCCTCGTGCTCTCGTCTTATAAGCGCCGGCCTAGCCTTATAAAATTTCGAAAAAAATATGTGACCCGACATCTCTTCCGCTAGTGGGAGATGAAAGAATAAGTGACCCTTTATCATCTCTCTTTCAAACAACATAAAATAAATATCATCGTTTTTTTTAATTAAATTCATCAATTGAATTTCAAATATGAATCTATGACGAAGTTGCGAAAGCTGTAGCTGATGCCGTTTGTAATCTCGTCACTGTAGGCTAACCTTACTCCTGCTCCTCAATGCATCTTCGTCACCTTTATTCATATTCTACTTATTTCAATTCTCTTTATCTCTAAAAAGTCGACCCACCAACCTTGTGAAAGTGACGAGTCGACACTGAAACGAGCAGCATCGCGAGAAAATATCTACAACTATTCATCTGGTATTACAGTCGTCCCTGTCACTTAGATGATGAAGTCCCGACATCTCTTCCACTAGTGGGAGACGAAAGAATAAGTGACCCTTTATCATCTACTCTCTTTCAAACAACATTAAAAAAATAACATCGTTTTTTTTAATCCAATTGGTTAAGATCAAGGTGGGCTGCGACGAATGCGGCGGGGGCCCTGCTGCTGGCTTCGGCGGCCTTCCTCTCGGCTTTTTCGGCCTTCCTGCTCTCGGCTTTCTCGACGAATGCGGCGGCCCTTCTGCTAGCTTCGGCGGCCTTGTCCTTGGCTCTTCTGGCCGCCCTCTCGGCTTTTTTGGCCTCGCTCTCTGCGTCCTTGAGTGCTCCCATGTACCTCCCGTACAAATCCTTCCGTATCTCGTTTGCGTCCCCCCTCGCGGCGGCTTCCTTGGCTCTGGCATTCCAGTGGTCGGCCCAGCCCCTGGCGGCCTCGGCCTCTTTCTTGGCTTCGGTGGCCTCCCTCTTGGCGGCTTCGACCTCCTTGGGGGCGGTGACGATCCAAAACTCGGCGTCTGTGGCCGCCTTTTCGGCGGCCCGGACTCCTTGGTTGTACTGCCTCTCCGCTTCGCGTCGTGCTTTGCTTGCGACGTGTTCTTTCTTGGTGGGATCAACGGCCAGCTCCTTCGCCCCTATTTCACCGAGCCGCACCGCGGCAGCCTTTTTTCGCGCCTCGGCAGCCTCCGAAGCTTGTGCGGCGGCTGCGGCGGCAAGGCGCATTGGACTTGTAGCATCCACTTCGCCAGTGAGGAAGGCCAAAGCCGGAAGGAGAAGAAACGAGCGACGCACCATTTTTACGGAAGGTGAGACGGGGTTAAGACGTACTTACCAAGTAAGACAAGAGGACAGGCCGAGATCAAGCAGGAAGATGAGATAACCAGTATGACTGTCTCAAATTATAAGAGATAGTGGTAGAAGTAGAACAAACACGGTCGACGACCAACAAAGTATTAATTTCGATCGACGCCTAGTTCCGAAGGAAAGGAAGACGATATTTTCTTGTTGATGGAAAAAAACTTCCTCTTGCTCTTAAAAACAAAAGGGGGTCTCTCCCAATCGCTGACTGGGATCATGGGCAAATAATGAGATCATTGAAAGTAAATAATGATTGAGGCTTCAAGTTTTTATCGACGTCACTTAATGAAATATGTGCAAATTGGAGGTAAAATTCTTGTGAAGATGGATTGAAAAATTTTTTGGTTGTAGTAGTCGTAGCACGTAGTAGTAGTAGGTATGTTTAGAGTCTAAAACTCGTTTTTTGTAGTTGTGAGCTGGCTGCAATAGTTGGGAATTTTGATGTCGCAAAAATCGTCGCGCCTGATAATGATGGAGCTGTTAGTACTCGTCATGTTGGTAGTGGACCCGTGTAGCAACTTTTACTTTACTCAGAAGTTCACCTTGTTCCGTGATCTGGCGATAGATCTCGTCTTTTTCATCAAAGGGTATCCATTCAGATTCATCTGGTTGAGCTACTTGAGAGCGTAGTTACTGAATTGATGAACAGGATCTTAGTTGTATGTAAGGAGCTGAGATCATGATTGAAAACGAAATGCAAATGTTGATGAACTGACAATTTCGCATTGAAGCAGCGCCAAGGTAAACACGAACATCCATGATAGGGCGAGAACAACATTCCACCATTCGTCGAAGAGGACGGAACTTGTCTTATCATAATGTGACTGAGTCAGTGATTATGTTGACTTGCGCGAGAGAAAATGAGGGCGGTGATACGGATCGTTTGTCTGAGGGACCTAGAGAACCTGGTGAACAGAAAAAAGTGGGATCATTGTAGTCATTCTCAACATTTATAGAAGAACTTCATTGTCGGGTGTGCAAAAATAAGTGAAAATTATTTATATAAAGATACACCAGGTGGAACAGCTGCTCCTGCCAGGACTAAAACAATGTCGTTGCTGTAAAGAGGCAGAATAAGACACCATGACCATAATTAAACGTTGCAGCTCTATAGTTCGATTATTTCGCCATGAATTCTTTATTCACTGAGCTTATTCTGACTAAGCGAAATGGCATGCCACTTGCTAGATGCGCCGTCGGCTCATTGGGAAGTTCCGTCTGTATGTTTAGAGCTGTCCGTAATTCATCTTTCCGTAATTCATCTTTGAAAAGTATGGGGGAGTATTCCCTTAGGATACTTACTCTTCCATACGTTCCAAGGATCACGCGTCCAAAGATGTATTAGGTACAGCCTTAATATGTAAGGGAATCCTTGATAGGGAAATTTGTGTTGATTCACAACTTCAACCATCAAGATGTGGAAATACTTCGCAAACTCTTCTATGATCGCAACTTCAACCTCAAACTGCTCTTCCATGGAGAACTGCTGGGGATCGATCCCCGCAGATGAAGAAGAACTGGTGGTATCCGTAGAAGAAGTTGTGGCTGTGCTAGTAGTAGAGCTAGAAGTTGTATTCTGAGGGGCAGAAATTGTTCTGGAGGTGCTGCTTGTTCTTGCTCTGCCCTCGTCCTTCACCTTCTCATGATCTTTACTAGTACGATTTCCTTCTCCTTCTAGCCTACGTCCTCCTCCTCCACGAGGAGCCTCCGCATCACCAGTCCCAGGACCGCCTCCAGGACCGCCTCCAAACATCGCTTTCAAATATTCATCTAGTTTTTGGCGACCTACGCCCACACCCGGGCTCGAGGATGAGCTCGAGGACATCCAACTTCCATATCGTGGATGAGGGTATTGCCAGAACGTGCCTGCTCGATAATTGAAGTGCAACTCAGCATCTAAAGTTCGAACCCATGATCTCAGCTCTGCATCTTGAGCTATTTCTTTTAATAAGGAAAATTCGGAACCCTCTACGTCAAGTTTAACATGGACAGAAAATTTCGGTGGAGTTTCATCCTCTGGGGTATTAGTTTTTGCGAGATTGTCCACATAATTTGCCATATTAGCAGTCTTGAGGTCCTCTAGTTTCCTTGTTCTTCTATTATAGTTGTTGTCCTCTAGTTTCCTTGTTTTAGAGGTATCGGGAATTCATCTCAGGGATCATCTGGGTCCCCTTTTTCCTCTTGTCTTTTTCTCTCTCTCAGATGACTCATTTGGAGATGATGAATTCCCTGCTCACATAATTGTTTTTCTCTTGTAGTTGTTTCCGCTTGTAGTTCTGGTATTGCCTTGTGGTCCTGGATAGTCATAGTCTCTACTTCTACCAGTTATACCTCCACCTCCAACTCCTATTCCTGCGGTTCCAGGCGTTCCTGCAGCTCCTGTTCGTGCTCCACCAGAATTCCCATACCTGAAGAAGTTTGTCGGTATTCTTCTCGGGCTTCTCATTACATATCTTGGCAGCAGTCCTGGAGCTTCTGGTGCTCCGCTCCTGTGGGAGTGGGACGAGTGTGTGTCCCTCAACAGAATCGCTTTGCGCAAAGTCATGAATACCTTGCCAGCTCCGCTAGTGCGCATGTCTGAGGCATCACCTAGACAGGTTGAATAGGCCTTGTAGTCTGCGGCATAACATGTCTGTCTGCGGCTAAAATAAGAAGGCGATGCTACAGAAGAGGCACTTCGTCCTGGAGTAGGATAGCTGTTGTAAAGGGCAGAGGGAGAAGAGGATAATCTTCTTTTCTTGGTCTTCCTTTTGGTACTTCCATCAACGCCTTCAGCTTGAGTTCCCTTACCAAGAACAGCTGCACTCGAACTCGAAGCTGAATCTGCACCTGCAGCTGAGGATGATCCATATGCAGGACTGCCAGCCGAAGCAGATGCAGCAGAAGCAGTAGAAGATGCTCCTAACATATTTGCTGCATTCTCCGACGTCCGTGTTCGAAAGGTTGACCGGTATCTAGCAGGCTCTGCACCTCGTGGAGATCCTTGTTCGGCGGCCGCAGGAGACCTTCCTGCATAAGGAATACCGCTACCGCCTCCACCTATCTCCTTTGGTCTTCCACGCACTCTTCCACGAGGACCATCGAATTAGAAGAAAGGCCAACATTCTATAGATCTAGGTAAGTAGAAGAAAACAGGAACACGACAAGGACGATACTCGTCTAACTCTAAGCCAACATTTTCATTTATTTGGAAGTGAAAACATGATGCTCCTGAGGAAGATGCAACGAAGTTTGTTAGTTTCATTCTTTCACGTCTCGAATAGTCATCCTAGACTACCAGCGAGACGAAACAGATTCAGCAACTCGAAGGAACTGTAGAAAAATCAAAAAGTACTGTAGCCTTAATTAAAAAAACCATTTCGGCAGCGCGCCATTCCATTCAGTACTGGAGATCCGTCGACGGGCTGGAAGCAGTCGAAGAGTCTCAAATCCCTAACACCAATGTGGTTTGACAGCATATGAGACCACGGATCCCAGGTTAGGATGCCACCTGAAATGCCTATCCTCGCATGGCCTGGTCCACGCCTGTTCGGAGGTAGCTCTTGTACTAGTAATGGACGAGTAGAAGAAACGGAAGGAGTAGAAGTCGAAGGAGTAGAAGTCGAAGGAGACGTCAAGGATGGAGGGTTATATGGAGATGTATCGGATGTTGAAGACCCTGTACCACCTTCAAGTTCTTCAAGGAGTCGGTTGTTACTAGAAGGTGTCGATGGATACGGAGAAGAGCCCTGTAGTCGTTGTCTTTTTCTCTTTTGCCTTTCTTCTCGGCTTCTTTCGTAATCGTATGCAAAATAAGCTTTTGGGCAGAGTCTGTACTCATGAAACGTCGCTAGTTGACCACCACAGGCTGCGACAAACCCTGCTGGCGGCGTTATGGCATCCATGAGACGGCGTGCCAAGACAACGTGCCTCAACTTCAAGGTGGGAAAAGGATACTGGGTCGCAACTCCGAAGCAATACTGCTTCTCAACATCCCCGGTCGATTGGACGACGCTGGACGCTCCGTATCTTACGATTGATCTACTAGGCCACAAGCTTGGGAAAATGAAAGGGGAAGAAGGTGATTGGGGTGGGTTTCTTGGATACCACGGTAGCTCACGAAAATCTGTATACCTATGCCTATGGTAGTAGCATCAAGAAGATGTATCAAAAATATTTTGGCTTGGTACTAACTCATGCATTTCACGAGAAGATTGAGATTTATCAAGCCCTCAAGCATAAGTCCTCTCCTTCCACTATCACGACTGGTGCTCAGTATCTTCTGTGCCATCGAGCGCATTTCGGAATCGACCGCTGTAGTTCCTGAAATTCCACCATTAACATTATTTTCCGTAAAAGCATACAGCCAATTCTTTACCATTCCATCTGTGACCATGCACCCACGTATACGCATGAATTCTAACTCTTGTAGTATTAGTTTGTTGTGCAATGGCGAGGCTATCTGGATTTTTCCTTGTCCTCGTAAGTTTGAAGACTTTGAGTCTGCCCATGGCCATGGTGCAGTTCTTAATGGGTTTGTGCGAGTGACGCCATCGCCAGCTTGGGCGTCCCCATCTCGACCATGTTGATTCCTGTCGCGTGCACTCGGGTTAGTACCACCTGCACCTTCTCCATGATGTTGATTCCTGTCGCGTGCACTCGGGTTAGTACCATCTTCCGCAAGCAACTTGTCCAAGTTAAACTGCGCAAAGAATTTCGGTGTCAATGCCTCTTCTCCGCTCAAAGTCCCGTATTTCATATTAGTCTTGGAATACTTCTGCCAGGCTCTACTAGCGCTAGCCCAAGCTGCATCTTGCCCCGGATAATAGGGCAATAACGCATTGTTCTGACTCCGAGGTCCTTGGCCAGGATACAAGAGAATATACGTGCCCCCATGTGGCAACGTTCCCATGTTGTGAATGGTAACATGATCGATCACCTTCAAGACAAAGGTGGCCAACAGGAGGAAGTTAGGACAAGGAAGGGGCATCTTGTTGATTCTTCAGTCAGTGTCTGTCAGAAGAGCAAAAAATAGTCGTGAAAATGTGAGAGCAGTCAGTCTTTAGTTTATTCAAATATTCTAAAGATGTAGTACTAGTAGTCTAATAATTGCAGTCGTTTTTTGAAGAAGTCGTGACCCAAATTCTAGAGCTGGTCTCAGTTATTCTTATTCTTGCCTGAAACGTTAAGGTACTAAACTTGTCCTTGCCGTTGCATATGCAAAACACGAACTTGAAGATCCTGAGTCAATCTTTCTACATCAGCATGCCAAGTTAATCCATCTTGTACTTCTCTGGCAGATCTTCAACGAGTACTTCGCTTTTCATATGTTCATCTCTCGGTCTCTCTTTGAGAACTACTTGAACTACATGGAGCACAGGTTTCATTATACTGTTCTCAAACTCAATCGAAACGATTAGCACCGGCTTATACTGGTTGTACCAGGACCGACACTGACTGTCGTCGAAGTTGCTAGAAAGCCCACAACAAGACTGGTGACACCAAGCCGCGTATTTTTGTGACATCAATAAAAATAAATGGCTGTGAAAAATATCTTTTTCGTTCATGGGAGAGGGCGAAAAAGTGTATCTTCAGTCTTGGGATGACCTTGAGTTGAGTTAGTTTTAGGACAGAGATGGCGTTGGGCAACATCATCTTTGATGACTAGTTGTAGCTTGTCGCTTCAGCCGCTGCAACAACGTGGTAGTATCAGTCAGCAATACTAGATGAAATATTAGTAAGTACCCAAAAATCATGGCTCCCTTCCCTCTAAATTCAAATGAAGATAGATGAAATATGTAGTTGTACTTAGAAGAGCAGATCATTTACTTAGGAGTTATATTAGCACGACGACTTCTATAAGTGTTTCATCACGAACGTGAATATCATGACTTCAAATCACAATCAGAAGAAGAAACTAACATCGATAAATAGATACCGCATTTATCATGATTAGTCACCAGAAAACAACAACTCCAGAAAACTACATGTAATCTAGTCGGACGACTAGACAACTCAAGATGAAGATCTTCCTCCTCAAGTTTTTTGAGCCTGTTTTCGTAGTAAAAAATGTTAGATACACCTTTCATGTCAAATGATGCAGACGAGAAATCCCTCCATGCTGAAAAAGCATGTCCTCGTCGAAAAATCTACATCCCGATTGAAAACAGCGAAAAATATCAGACATTAACCTTAACCACTCGTATTCGTAAGTTGTGGCACTATACCACAATGATCAGCTCTCTACCTAGCACGAAGATTTGTTTGTTAGTGAATATCAGATCCGACAAAACGAGACGAATAAATCTAAATGGTTGCTTAAACGAGACGAATAAATCTTGAATTGATCGCTTGCTTTTTCGAATGTAACAGGAGGGACGCAAAAATAGAAATTTTTGTTGTAGTTGTCGTTCAACACCTAACGCAAGCTACAATTTTATTCAATGCAAATGGTTATCATTAAATGATTATTCTTAGTGAGCACAAAGGTACAATGTTGGTTCCTTGACGGCGGACAATATTGTTCTTATTGTACTCGTTTCTAGGCCATCATGATCGTGAACCTGCTTATCGTTTTTGAGTCCAATAACATAACAGCTCAAAAAATAAGGAGCGATTCACTGTAAATCAGGAGGGAAGATATTATTGGGGGTGGTGGTGGAGATCGAAATTGATAGGTATTCTTTCAGGTACTCGCAATTGTCGAAGAAAAAATTTATCATAAACTGAAAGCTCAACGACCAGGGAGGACACGAAAACTACAAAACTAGGAAAGGAATGTATCACACTACAATAAATTCGTATTTCCATTTTTTGACCCACACTTCTCGATAAAAACTATGCCTATTATTGCTTCGAAATTGCTCATGACTTTTACCGACTACTTTCCCATACATCTTGAATAATTCTGTTAAATTTGGTTGCTCTAATATCATAACTCAAAGAAATTCTGACAATTGTAAACAGCGACTACAAATGAACTACCAAACGAACTAAATACTGTTGAGTAACATTTATCTTGCTGCATTGATTCTTAGAAGGACAAATAGCTTGAGATCATTTTAGTTAGTCATGTTTCAACTTTAAGATACGACTTTCCGACTCCCTACATCAAACGCAATACGGCGTAGGATGAAACAAAGTCCTCAGGAAAGAAATTGTTAGTGTTCGAGGACCCAGAGTTCGAGAAACAGGAAGATGACAAAATCTCTTCTGAGTTGATTAAGATCTATCGTGAGTCATTAGCTAAATTTGCTTCTGATTTTGTTCATCTTCTGTTTCCAGGGTGGTCTGTACCCTATAGATACTTCAGCGTTCGTCCCGGCAATTGCGGATAGGACACAAAGGGTACACTGGGTACTGGAAAGAGAGCTTCAAACGGGAAGAAGTCCATAGTTTCGGAAAAGCGCATCTTCAATTCCGGTTTGAAGTAACCCAACGCATTCCATTGTTTCATTTCGTCCGCATCGAATGGGCCTTGAATTAGAGATGTGTTTTGTTCTGAAGATGACGATGGGTATTCGTTGAAAATAACTTAATCTTATAGATTCGTCCTTAACTGAACATTTCCACGTGGGTCGATGTATTGCCATCCGTTCGGCGGACAGGGTCCGGAAGGCGGCGCCGGCACACCCAGTAGATGCTGTGGCGCACTCGGTGGCATCGCATTTGCTCCTGCTCGAAGCAGATGTTGTTGGTGCGCAGCCGGTGGCGGCATTACGGCGCCATAAGCGGCATTCGGATGCATGGTCGGTGGTTGCAAAGGGGGTGGCGGTCCTGGTTTCATCCCCTTGCCGTTCATATGCGCTCCATAAGCAGTTGGCGGATATGCAGGCGGATATTGAGGCGGTCCTCCGGGATAGCCGCGAGCATCGCCGGGTCCTGGTGGCGGGTAAGCGGGGAAGTAGTAGCCACCCGCACCCTTTCCGACTGCAGGCATCTGCCCTTTTCCCGGAACCGGGTAACCTCCGTTTAACAGTGCTGCAGGATCTACCGTTGCACCGTTAGGAAGTCCACCGCCATTAGTCTTAGAAGAAGAAGTATGGTTTTGGTTAGGAGGAGGACCAGAGTCTTTTCCACCTCCATGAGATTTAGAAGCGGCAGGAGGTGGTGCATTAGAAGCGGCAGGTGGCACCGCTCGGCCTGGAGGACGAAAAGGAGAACCGCCAGGAGCATCATCACCACTGGACGACGCTGCCCCCGCGGCCGGAGGTGGGGGTGTGGCCGGTGGTTGCGCACCTGTTTTGGCACTTCTTGATGGACTCCGTTGAGTGGATTTCTGTTGAGCAGTAGTCCTCTGTTGACCACTTGAAGACTCTTGCTGAGATGCGGAATTACCTGTTGCAGCACCACTAGAAGATTGTTGTGCAGCTGCGCGACCTGTTCCGGAAGTGCTAGATGTTCCGGAAGTTTTTAACGGCTCAGTTGTTCCATTCGGCGGAGCCGAACTAGCAGTCTTTTTAGCTTCAGGAGCTCCAGTGGATCCAGATGATCCAGTGGATCCAGCAGAGCTACTGTTTGTGGTACCCGCGGCACTGTTTGTGGTGCCCGTGGTTGTACTTCCGGCTCCTCCTGAAGTGGCGGCTCCGGCTCCCGTGGTCGTACTTCCAGGTCCAGCTCCAGTCTCTGAAGATACACCTCCCGCACTTGCACGTGTTGGCTCTTGACTTTTTTTAGCGGGCAAAGCCTGTCCGCGAAGCCAGGCTTTGTCGGTGCGTGATGGGTCTTTTTGTTCCTTCTTCGTGCCGCCTGGCGCGCCTGGTGCCGCACCATCATCCTTCGATTCGTCCCCATCGCCAGAACTGTTGTTCGCGCTTTGTTCCTGCTTCTCGAGGTTGACGAGGTGCTGAGGCTTATGTTCTGCGCCACCTTGCCGCAATCCCCCTCCTCGTGGTGTCTTGCTCTGCTTGTTTGGACTATCCCCAAGGCTCTTTTCCCCCAACATAAAGGCCTTGATGTTGTTCACTTCGCTGCTGGCAGCATTACTGCCGGGTCCACGCGCGTGCGGAGGACGATAAGCCGCTCGCTTATTGCCACCTTCAGAGCTGGCTTTTGCGCATGCAGCAACTGCGTTCTTGATCTCCAATCTTGTTGGGCCCTCGAAATGGCTTCCTACACCGTCATGCGGACGCAATCCCACCTCGTAGAGCTCCTCAAAAGGCTCTGTATGCCTTGCCTTGCCAGTGAGACAGTGCCAGATGGTGAAGCCGTTCTCGACGCGCATTCTTGGAGAGAGAACAGCAGTAATTGCATGAATACCATCCGCTGACCATTCGACATTGACGGTACAACTGGCCTGACTTGTCGCCATTTTTGTGAGCTTGTCCTCATCGCTTTTACCATAGAAATCCATCTCGCCTGCCAAGTTGCCGAAACCGCCATGGATTAGAGAAAGTCCTGAGCTTGCCAATGACAAGCCTAAGTAAATGGAAATGCTGCTTTTGAATTTCATTCTTCTATTCTGTTGATTTATCCTACTACGACACTTCTACAGACTTTTCGTTTTCATCGTCGACATCGAGTTCAAGAAAAAATTGCTGAGTTGTCAGGGGCCATAAAATGAGACAGACCGACCCGAATTTGTTCCACAGCACCGTGTTTCGATGCGATTTATCAGCCAAAATCGATAGCATTTCTGCACGATGTGATAAGCGATCGTATTTCCACACGCTCACTTGTGCCGGCTGAAAACCGCGAATCAGCACGAACACGTCCTCAACCGGACTCCACTGCACAGCCTGAATAGGCATATGTCCTGCATCAGAGGTGGCCTTGGCGGCTGCTCCTTTATCCAACACCGAGGACTCTTTGCTCAACTCTTGATAGCTACTGGCACCAGTCGGCAAATTCGGATCTGCGGGAAGAAGGACTAGTTGTGTCGAACCGTAGTAGGAGACGCCAGTTTCGTCTACTTCCGTCTCGACTAAAGCTAATAAAGCGTCACCAGACGCGCACCACTGCAACGCCGCAGACTCGCCACTCGGGCACTCTATTCGCTTCACGAGTTCCAGCTTGCGTCCGTTGCAATTGTAGATCCGCACTTCTGCTGGCTCTGAGACACGCTGCATGTCGTTGCGGCCATCACTGACGAACAAAGCTAGTTGCATTCCGCTACTACTACCAGCGGAAGAGGAGGCAGAAGAAGATATGCTCTTTTTTATAGCACTACCTCGGTTGTCACCTTTGGTTCGAGGACACCACGCGGCGACTAGGTTTGTTCTGGACTCCCGGATTTCGAACAAAGGGGTAGCATTCAAGTCGTCACCAGGTAGGAGATGGAGGACAGATTCCTTGCAGCCTTTGTCCCCTGGGAGAACGCGAACACAGACGCTCTCATCAGGCGACCAGAAAAGAGGGCAGACTGCGCGGGAACCTGGGTTCTTTAGTGCAGGATAGCGTGTTGAGCTTGAAAGAAAATCAATCTCAATCAGTCAACGACGTACGGTTCGCGTTCGCTAAAAATTCCATTGTTTATAGAGTGAGAATTCCATTGTTTAGAGGTTCTATCTTGAAGTATTTCTTGTATCGATGTGAAAAACTCAAGTCAAAAAAATTACCGTCTCCCTTCGGCACCGTGAATGAGGCGACCAATTTTGGTCCTCCCTTAGACTTGCTTTCTGTAGCATTAGCATCCTTTGATGCATCCTTGGTTGCACTACTCGATGTACTACTTTCCCCACCCGCCGCACTCCACACCAACAAATTTGGCTTTTGTTTTTCACCTTTCTCCACCTTTTCTGGTGGATGCTGTGTCACCAGATACCGACTCGTAGGTGACCACCATATGTGCTGAGTGTTCACGCTGCTGCCCTGCAGGATTTGCACCGTGGGTTTGCCACGTCGCAAGCCAATGACCACGACGCCCTTCTGCGTGTCGCCGACAGCTAAAGACTGCGAATCAGGTGACCAGCTAGCGGACTTCGGTATATGTGGTAGTTTTGCGAGCTCTCTAGGCACTAATTTCCCACCACCTTCCTTGCCTGGGTCAGCACCTTTCCCTAACGTCAATATCTTCAGGTTCTTGTGCGTACGCACGAAAAACGCTAAGGCGGAAGTCTCCACGTCCATCGCTTTCTTTTATGTTGTGAGGTCCACTTGTTCTCTATAGAAGATACTAGGGAGTTCTGTAGTACTTCTGAGAGTTCTCGTAGTACTTCTGAGACTATAGAACTAGAAGGTACCGAGAGCAGAAGTGGTACAGGTACTAGGTCGTCTGCGTAGAGTAGTAGTTTCTTATTTGTTGTCCTTGTGTTGTCGTAGTACTACTAGTTGTAGAGGTTTCTAGTGGTGTGAGTACGCCTCTTGTTGTGACTGGCTGGTCCTGCACTTGGTAGTTGTTGAACAAATTTGCTTTCAGAATCAGCGTGTTAGAAGTGCCATGTATTTCGTCGTCGACTCCTCGAAGCAAAAAACGTTTCAATAAGATTCTGATCGTGTTTCTTCTGCAAGTGCAGCTTCTCTTTTGCTCATAAGAAATGCTCACTTGATCTCTTGCTCTTCACTAGTCGTACCGGGTTTTTTTCTGCACGTTGCCACTTGTAGGTAGATGACGTTGACGTTGGGTCGTTCCACTTGTAGGTAGATGACGTTGACGTTGGGTCGTTCCACTTGTAGGTAGATGACGTTGACGTTGGGTCGCTATCACTTCTTCTTGGTCGTTGCTGCTTCTCGCGAATGCAAGCAGTTGAAGCCAGAAGTAGTGGCGCAAACACAACGAAAGGACGAAACAAACAGTAAAATTTCCACCTCCACCTCAGACCACGTTCTAAAACAACACACGACGATGCTTCTTCTTGGTCTATGCTTCTAGGCTCTATGCTTTTTCTTGGTCGTTATCACCTCTTCTTGCTGCACAATGCTTTCGTAGAAGTCGATCACGACCTGAGTAGTAGTTCTGCACCACCTATCAATCTCACTGCTGCACGATGCTTCCGGAGAGCAGGTTAGTCAATTCTTATTTTAAGAGCTCGCTGCGGTGGAAAATAATACCTTACTTAATGATGTTGTAGTAATAGCAGAAGCAGAAAGAAGAAGAACGAAAGACGTACTGCAAATTACCAAAGTTGCTTGTCTAGTACCTAACTCGTAGTCCTCGCCGAATTAAGTCAATTCTTATTTTAAGAGCTCGCTGAGAAGATACAATAAATGTGAACAAGATGTTACAATTTTTATGCGTTGGGTAAATACGTTAGTGTGTAAAAACTACGCGTCTGAATTAGTGGAATGACAAGCGGATACTGAAATCACTATACCTTCCCTTAAAGTACTAGATGATAACAATGAATGATTGACTATGATTCAGATTCAGGGAGCTCGATCGAGTCAGGGTGCCAGGTGCACCGACGTCACGAGCATTATAATATGGAGCCGTGTATAAAAGTCGGAATTACAACACTTCGGTCTCACCTAAATCGCCAGGCCGACATCAAATAAGTCTTTGTCTTTCTTGTTGATCTTCATAGATGTACTTAAAACGAAAGATATACAAGGTCAAGAATACCTTGTTGTAACAACAAATGTCTACTCAAGATGTCAACAGTTTAGGCACATGCTGATGCTACCCTTCTCTGGAGGTATATCACTATGTATCTGTATCAGAATAGGAATAGCTTAAGCTTCCTAGTTAAGAACTTGTTTAGATGGAGTAGATGGATTCAGATTCGACATCAGAAACCACGATAAGGGCTACACTTCACGATCACGACGTATGGATCAGCGATGAATAGACAGTAGTAAATTCTACTAGAATATTAAGCTTATGGTCATCGTACTAAAGCATACCAATCGATCTTGAACTTCATAATGGTAAATCAAATCTTTATCAGCCCTAGTTGTAGTAGTATTCTTCTCGTGCAAAAACAAACCACCTGTTGCGTTTGTGTGAGAGAGGATAAAAGTTGCTGTGATCAGAAAACTACAGGTTAATACTAGGAGGTTCGCGCGCGACCGCCCTACCGTCACATACGTGTCACACTAGTCAATGAAAATCTGATTGACATTGATGCAGTTGCAGGCGTTGATCCAATCCAAAAAAAAATACTAGCTGCAAGGTGTGTTGTTTTTATTCCAAGTGCGTTCATTACGATTCAGATTCATGACCACGGGATCGATCTAGTACTAGTTATAAAGGAAAAAGAAGTTTTGTGCCTGGAGGTGGTCGTCCATAGAATGGCCTCGAAGATTCTGATTCAAACAGTCCTCACGATTCGAACAGGAGAAGGATGTTGCAGATTTTTCAAGAACAAACCTGATGTTGGAGTGATGGATCATGAAGAAAGCCTTTGCCTTTCTCAGGAGATTCTTTTGAATTCAAGAGGAAGGACGTTAGACAAGACGTCCTCAGATGCACGTACAACTAGAACCCGCCACCACTACTTGTGCAACCACGACGTGGATGGAACCTTAATATGAACATAAAACCAGTAATCAGATCTTAGGCATAGGGTTTCTTTCTATTACTCTCAATCATGCGCTTCTCAAAAACAGAGCAACGAGATAATATGTATAAGGTAACTACACACTTATCTTCTCGACTACACACTCTCTCATTTTCAACCGCCCAAGAAAGAACGTAACGGTAACCGAGTCTTATGAAAATTTTCAAATCTGATTAGAGCTTATGAATTATCCTAGCATTAGCCTCTACAGTATTTTACCTAGACATTTGATAACATCAACATGATGAAAACTAGTAGTTATCCTTATCCAATAGAAAATCACAGGTATTAATATAATTTATAGATTAGCATGATTGGTTCGAATCCACCAATGGTACATCAACTAACTCATAGTCTTCTATCTTCAACTGTACAATACACTGACACCAGATATATAATATGTTGTCGGATGAAAAATCAAGTTGTTGTGTGCACACCAGCTAGTTCTTGTACTACTAGGGTAGGAGTACATGTGCCAGTTGTTGTATGTCCCCCTGCGCTAGTTCAGCTTGCAAGCAGAAGGGCCACCTCTGTCTTGTATACAGAGTCACAGTGTTCGCATGACGGAATGAAACAACATAATGGGACAAGCAAGCATTCAGAAATCAAAAGTGACAAACCTCCTACGCCTACAAGAATGTGATTTCAATTTTTTCAAATTCACGTTCCTGAAAGAAAAATATTAATGTGAAAGAGAAATAACCGCTCTTCAGTATGATGAAGACGTGTCGATATGCGATTATGTTGTGACCATGATGAGTATGTGTATGTATGATGATTGGGATTGCATTAACGACTTAAACGATGATTGGGATTGCATTAACGAGTATGCTAATAAAAATGAAACGAGACAGTGATACAACGAATTGACGAAGAGTACCGCGACCTCTGCGAGCTTCCAAACCTATGTTTTCGATTTTGGAATTTTTTTCATGAAGACGCCATCAGGATTATCTCCTCGATTCTGCTCTCACTCTCAAGTTTCGCTTTGGATGTTGCTATTCATCCTCTCTCTCTTCTCCAGTTCCCAATCCCACACGACAAGGCCTAGATCATACTTTTGCTTTCATCTTAGTTTAAGAAGTTTTCTTTCTTTTTTCTCCTCGGTGCAATCAAATACACAAAACGACTGTTCTTGAGGTTTACACAATGATGTTGTTGATGTCGTGCAGCGATACAGTACAAGTAACAATGCGACTACGAGAACACCCACCCTTTCCTCCTCCAAAACCGGAGAGTTCTTTCTTACGCAATAGTATCACGAAACTACACAGGCGGACTCCATCCGCTCTAGTATCTGCTCCAGCTAACCTGGCTCCTGTTCAAAACTTCGCTTTCATCCTGTTCAAAAGATCATTCATGTAGTCTACAAAGCAGAGTTCCACACTGAGAGTCTAGGAGATCGCTTAGAAGAAATCATCAACATCAAGATCTTCAACTAGAACTTCTATCTTCACAAATGGCGAACCTAACAAGGAGCTCAGCTACAAATACGGCTTCTAGAAAAATCTTTTTTCTTGTTTGTTGCATAATGCAGACAAGAAGACTGATAATATGACCCGTTGTACCCGTTCTGCTATCGGCAATACAAAAATCCTACTTCCTTGTGTAGGTCCTATTACATGATCTGACTTAACTTTAACTACTTGTCAAGAAGTTAGATATCGACATCCTATAATATTCATGACAACATGATGCTGCGAGAGCAAATTTACAAGAACGAGCTGAAGTAGATCGAGATCCATCCTCCATTAGAAATAAAGTTCGTCTCGTCGTCGTCCTCCTTTAAGGTGGACAACTGGTATTACACTATTCATCAAAGAATATGAAAGTGGTGGAAGTAGAACTATGACATTTTTAGAGTAAAAATAAAGTTACCAAGAAGTAGAGCTCCGCAAGGATATGTACCAACGGCCCCATGACCGAAGGATGTCGACATTGGTCTCAGCGACAGCGTTCATCTCAGTGGCTCGTTCTTGACTTGCATTGTTCCTAGGAGTGGGTCGTTCACCTGTTTCTTCAGCAGTATGATCACCTTCGACTTCCCATGTGCTTCTCGTGCTTGTTGTCGTACTCGTTGTGGAAGTAGTCGTCGTTGAAGATTTCAGCTGGTCTTCTTGTGCTGCAAGACGCACAAGATGGAGATAGCCGCTATTCTCGTGCAAAGTGACGCCTTCCTCTCTCATGCTCTCATTGTAGATCGCCATCTGCTTCATTGTAGAAGTAGAGGGTAGACGTAGATCTTCTACTACATGCTCATGTCTTATTACACCTAGGTGTAAGCAGCTCGAAAAAAGCAAGAAGAGAACCTGGAGTAGAACGGCAAGAAAAGTCGTTGACTTTACTGGTATCTTCTCCCGAACAATGAGAACTTCTTCTACAGGACTTGTTCCACGCGCACCACCTCTCGTCCTGCACTCCTCGGTTGCTATCGAGTTCGAGGATCGTGTTTGCAGCTCCGACGAGGACTTTTCTACAGAAGTGTCATCCTGAAACTGAACGAAACCACCTGTACTAGAAGAATGCACTAACCATTGCAGAAAAGATTGGCTTTGACTGGAAGAGGATGCTGAGTCCTCTGAGTCCTGTGACTGTGAAGAAGTGCTGGACTCTATCTCTTCATCTTGTTCTACTCCTTCAAGCTTAAGGCTAGTATAATCATCATGTTCAAGAACATCTTGGTGACCGGGATCTTCTCCACAAGAACCGACATTTTCTTCCCTCTGAGGATGTTCTCCAAATTCACTTTCTGCCACCTTTCGTCTATAGTATTTCGCAACTTCAGATGCCCACAAGAAGCTCCATCTTGGTGGACTAGTAAATCCTGGCGCACCACGTGCTTGTCCTCTTTCATCTTCCTCTTCGTTTCTTCTGCGTTTTTTACGCTTCTGTTCATCCAGAAGCTTCTGCGCCTCACCAGCTTCTTCCCAAAGAGCGTTCATTTTTTCGTATGGATCACAAGGAGCTTCGGATGGACGAAAAGTGCTTCGGATGGATCACAAGGAGTTGTGCAATCTAACTACATTCAAAGAAAATTTCCCTATGCATGATGGATCACAAGGAGTTGTGGAATCTAACTACATTCAAAACAAATTATTTTCCCTATGCAGCACACTGCAGATCATCAGAGATGAAGGAGAGCGAAGTTACCGACAGAGGACAGGACTCACAACTCGTCCGAGGATTCGTAGCGAGAAAACCGACAACGACATCAATATTCTGAACTGAGAATCTAATTTTTACGAGAAAGCCGCGTTAGCCTGCTTACAACTTGTTCGAACCGAACAAGCTCCCTCTCTCAACATCTTCCGAGAATAATAGGACCTTCCGAGAATAATTTAGGCTGCATATTGTGTGATAGAACCGAAACACCAACAGATGCGTCCCTCTTCTATGAAAACAACATCATCGCAATTCGTTTTCTAGACTGTTGACGGAAATAAACTGTAATATCAGCACATGGTGTATCAGCGCACTTCTATTCCTTGATGGCGGCTTCTCCTCCACAGCATCTTGATGTGAATGGATAAATAAAGAAGATGCTACGGCACTTTTCCGGCAGTAATCTTTGTATTTCCGCATCCTACAGCACTGGCCCCCGCTGGGCCCCAAATCTTCAAATTTTTTCTATGTCCCAGCAGGCTGTTGTAACTCAGCGTCACAATAATGCTCCCGGATGGTGAAAAGGCCACTCGATTTCCAGGGCATCCACCGACAACTCGCAGCAGCGACCCACCCCGCTTTCGCCAGAGTCGCATAGAATTTGCGCACTTCGTGACGATCAAATCTCCACTAGCATCGGCGTCTACTAGTGGCCCACTGTGTCCACAGTTTTTCCCGTGTATTTTGCGTAACTCTGCGACGAATTTCCTCGCATCTTCTATTTTGTTGTTTTCGCGCTCGTGCTCACCTTGTTCTTCTTCCTCTCCCAATCCCAACCAAGCGAGCGCCTCTTCTTCAGGTATGTTGCCGACTTCCTGAAGCCAACTGGCTAGATGCGTACCCGCTCCCTGGGTCAATCGCCCTCCGCGAGACTGCGCGGCCATCTTTCACAGTATGATGGTCTGTGCGATCCAGAGATGACCTGTGTCGTGAGTAGTTGTGACCCACCTACCACGAAGGCGAAGATTATCGCTTGAGGCGCAACACATTATTATTCAACAAACATCTCGAGGAACCGAAACACCGACAGAGGCCACGTCCTTCTTCTGTGAAAACATCATCATCTGCGAACAGTGAGTCTGGCGTCTTCTACGAACAGTGAGTCTGGTGGCGTCTTCTATGAACTGAGACTGCAGTATGTGGGTGAAGAGCAAGTAGAGTGCTGCGCATCTTAAAAAGTCATCGAGTCGTGTGTTTGCGTCGACTCGTCCTCCCGACTAGTTTCTATTCCGTATGTTGAATGATGTAGATGTTGCGTAGAAATAAAATGTAGGTTTACATTGGAGTCCGTGAATGGAAAGAAATGTAGTTCGTTGGCGTGTTATACTTTCTAGAGGAGCGCCTTCGGAACAGTATCACAAGGCTCTTAGAATAGATGTTGTGAATGTGGTGAAAAATGGAAAGGTGTGCTAATTGTGCTAAAAATTCAACTTTTCCATCCACACCTTTAGTTCGTGATGAGCTAGCGCCCTTGCTTTTTTGCGAAACCGATCGATGTGGTCGACCACACAGTCTGCGCGTTTCTTATCCTCGAATTCTAGAAGTATTCTCTTGCGTGGGCCCAAGAAAGGGTGTAGTTCTTGTTGTTGGCTTTGTTCAGGTGTGTGACGTCCATTTGCGGTAGTTGTATTTGGAGTAGTAGTGTCCTCTGTTGCAGTCTTTGTCCCACCAGTAGTTGGGAGTGGAAAAGACCAGGAAGAACAACCACGACTAGGCGGAGAGGAACTACTGCTTGAAGAAGATGCTGTTGCTTCAGCCGGTGTAGTACTTGTAGTAGCTCCCTTACCACCATGAGGATGCACATGCGAAGAAGTTGCACTGGCAGCTACATCTTTGACCTCTAACTCCACAATACATGACGCTGAAGGTGAGGACCGCTCGTCTTGCCTATTGACAATTTCCAACGACACCAACGGCGCGGCTTCTGTGACAACAGCGTAGTTTGGTCTTGACAAGTCTGGCTGCACAAGTAGGAAAGACTCCGAATGAGCAACGAAGTAGCGCGTTGCTCGTGGCGCATGTAGTTGTAGAGAGGTTGAGGAGGGCGTGGGCGGCGTTTGTTGTGCTTGTGCTGGGTTTGTTATCGTCTGGCTGTGGGTAGCAGCATGTAAATTTCTTGGCTGTTGTTGTAGTTGATGTTGGGAGCATACTACCCGATCCTTCCCAGCAAGGTTAAAGGACAACCCAATCTGAAAGCCCTGCTTAGAGTTGTTGTTCTGTGTTGCTGTTACGGCTGTTGATGTACTTCTACTCGTACTACTAAGTTTCCTCCCGCTATGCAAAATTTCGAGACCAAGCAAAACCGCAGATGAAAGCTGCTGAAAGAACAGCCGTTCTTGTTGATCTTCATCATGCGATCTTGTCTTTCCCACAGCAGCTGTAGTAGTTGTAGCATTGATTTTGCTACGGTCAAACAAGACGTCTTTCGTCAATTCGCCTCTGCCTAGCAAATCTCGCAAACTTGATCGAGCCGTTTGTGGAGTTGTGTCAGAAAAAACGTACTCCCTAACAATCTGATGCTGACGGCAGGCGCAGTAGAATGCAAGCAACACGTCATCGATTTCTTGAGAAGTGGTGGCATTGAGTACTAGCTCAAGGAGTTCACGTTGAACAAGAGGCAAGCCTTTTTCGCGAAGTGTAGTGGCTAGCTGTTGCGGAAGCTTAGAGGTGGATGGATGTTCAGTCTTGATTGATATTTTCAAGATGCTGAATTCTAGCATCATTCATCGATGATCTGCTTAAGATAGTAAGTGTTTACTCTTCTACCCAAGTTGCTTGCTCCGTAGGATAATAGTGATAGCACTTCAGTGGATTGACATTGATGATTGCTCTCCGCTAGTACTCAAGGTACTTACTCAATCGAGAGGAGCAATGCATAACGAAGTCTCCACTTGATGTTAGCAGAAACCGTAGTGCGGAAGGCAGGGAAAACAGAGGCCTCTTGATTTTTGGCAAAGAGTCGTCTTCTACTATCCTCAAAGGTATTAGCCCGCTTGCGACGCTGCTGCCGATAGTGTCGGCTAGCACGGATATCAGCTCACAGTCGTTTTTCAAAAACGAAAAAGCGGCGTTTTTCTGCAGATCCTCGTTCTTGTGTTCTTGCTCTCTTCTTGCTGGCTTCGTAGAACTACTAGAGCCACAGGTTCTTAAACGCAAGAGAAGCAGTGCCGCAGTCACCAAGGTGTCTTGTTCGGGTGGAATTTTGAGACTACTTGTCTTTGCAGAAGATCTTCCCCATGCAGTTTTTGTCCTCATAAAATCTAGCACCTGTTGCCTTTGGGAGTGGGTCATCCGGAAAATTGACTCTAGTAATGGACCCAATAGGAGATCAAAGCCAATCATCATGTCAGAGTGACTTGTTTCTGAAGACGTAGTTGCACTGTCGACAAATCCTTCCCCAAACTCATCAGCTAATCTCAGCAGCACCCAGCCAAGAAAAGGAACGACCCTATTCTTTCCCGCTAGAATCTCAGCTACTAGTGGTCGAAAACAGTGCTGTAGCAGTGAAGCAGCAAAGGCACGCGAAAGCTGCGAGGAGGAGGACGATGGAGAAGAACCAGTTGTCTTAGAAGATTCAGATTTTTTCTCTGTCTGGTTCCTCTGGTCCTCCGGTTCATTCTTTGAGGATGTGCTAGTAAAGACATCATTGATGTATTCCAACGCATCTCCAATGTCATCCAGCAGTCGCCGTGTCCGTGTATCCACCGTCTGTCTTTCTGGTGGAAACAAAACCGTATCTCTGACGGACAAATACCGGTCAAACAAACCGGGGAGTCGTCGGTCAATCTGAATCTTCTGACTCGATGTCGATGGTGGTGGATCCTTGTCATTCATTGCTCGTGGCATTCGTGCTGAAGAGGTTGCTGGCTCTGCTCGTGCTGAATCCTCTTCTGCGTCATCCTGGTTTTGGTCATACAGGATCTCATCCAATGCGACAATGTGCGCAAGCTCAGCGAACAAATGGTACAAACGACGTGCAAAGCGGACTAGGTACAACCGCGAGTGACGATCTGTGAGCAAATATCGCTGCAGTTGCGGATCGGGTAGTCGGAAAATATGCAGCGTAATCGATCGGACGGCAGTCACGACCATGGTTAGAGGTTCCGGCATCGCATTCTTCAAAGCATCCCTGACCCTTTTCCAACTGGGAAACGAGCCAAGGATGGTATTTCAGAATCACGACCATGGTACTTAGATCTTGGTGAGCATCTTGGTGCCTCTTTTGTTCCTTTCACAAACAGGAAGACCAAGCTGCTGGGAAGATGAATTTCCTCAAGCCTTAACATGGGGTCCTCTAGGTAGCTCTCGAAACGGATCGCAGCTGTATAGAGAGGAAAGGCAGCTTCATCTTGTTGCTGTAATTTATTCGAATCATCAGGCGACGTTGATGAGGGAGTTGTTGGCTTGTTTCCCCTCATATTCGGGTAGAAAAACAGCTTGATCGTCTCCACGTTTAACCGCAATGTCAGGGTCTTCAAGAAGGAGATGTAATACGAAAGCCGTGCATGAAAGAGAAGAGGAAGAGAGAAAGGGACATATGACGAGATGAGCATGACCATGAGGTGTAGAGAACGTATTAAAGATTCTCTACCAAACAGCTAAATGAGGGATTATAAATAAGTCTAAGTTCTACTTCGTCATAGAGGAGTGCGCAAGAAGCTGAGAAGATAATATCTCGGTTTTTCATCTCTTCAGTCATAAACTTCCTCATCCTCTTCCCAAGTCGACGCGTTTTCGTGCGACGAGCTTGGTGTTCTCGTCGCGCTTGACGCTGATGAATCTTGCTCCAGCTTGTTGAGAAGAATTTTCGAGTTCATCAAGTGCTTCTCTGATGTTGGTGCATTTCCCTGGAGCTGGAGGTGTTGTTGGCTGTGGTCAACAAAGTCTTCCTCGTCAGGTGGAAAATCTTCTTGGCCCTGAAGATCGCCGCCTACTGTTGGAGCTACCGCGTCGCGCCCCTGAGCCCATCCCTGCGCCCTTTTTCCTCTTGGAAAAAAGGCCAAGGATGGCGCTGAGGTGGATGCTTCAGCGGTAATAGCCTTAATAATGGGCGTAGACTACTCGAGGATGAACTATTTGCTCGACCTGCAATTGCACCGATTTCGTCTCCTTCGTCCAACACTTCACCTACATCAATGACGTCCCTAGTCGACGTGCTAATGTCCGAACTACCGACTGCATCTCCATCTGCTTGCACTTCAAAACTCGCGATCAATTGTGACAGGTAGTTGTTCGAAAACAGGTAGTAGAGACTAGTGTTAGAAGAAATGCCGCATCTTGGAACTCATCTTCTTGGGCCTCATCTTCTTGGCTCGTCCCGTTTTCGTCCCCATAAAAAAAACAGGAGGACCAAGCAAGACGTAGTTGCTGGGGAAGATAGATTTCGTGTAGCCTTAATGGTGGTTTCCTTCACATTTGTGACTAAAATCGACAAAGTCTGCAAAAGTTGAACTCGGAGCTGTGATGGGAGTCGCGTTCCTGGTCCTAGTGCGCGTACGAAGTCAGCTAGTAGGTTGGATTCACAGAAAAAATCGAAAAATCTTCCATCGCCTTCTTTCTCCCCAAACACCACCAACTCTGTCATGGCACGAATTTGCTCTACGACGACTTCGTCACTACTATTAAAGCTCAGCCTGCTTCAATGGTCACTGACTCTGAACGGAAGGGACCCCCTTCAAAGCTCTCCCCTTTCCCTTCGTTTTCCCCCCATCTTTCCTCAAGGGGTCGCCTCTTCGATCTCAGTGACCAACCCCAATGACCATTGAAAGCTGAGCCTTAATACTAGTAGAAGATGAAGATGCTCCTGGCACAACAGAAGTACTACCTCCCCCACTACCCGGTGTACTTGAAGCACCACGACCAGTTTAGAGCTTTTCTCTCTGGCATCCATCTTGAGCATCATCCTGAGACCGTTTCTCCCTTTAAAACGGTCTCAGGAGGCTTCCGAAGATGGATTTTTAGGGAAGAAGAAGATGGATTAGGAAAACCCTTAACCAGTGCTTCCTCCTCCTCCAATCACAGAAGGCGTACTCGTCCCACCTATCGAAGAAATCGTTGATGTTGGAGATCCACTGCCTCCGCTAGTCGCGCCATCTTCGAGGGAGTTCGTTCTAACGAGATGAAGATTGCCGCCACTAGGGATCTTATGAATCCGTTCCAGGTGTACGATGGAATTGCCGATTTTTCGGCATAAGTTCTGCAATTTATGGAACCGGTCCTCCTCGACCGCTCTCGCGCCAAACAGTCCGGCGAACATGGTTCTTTGTTGCTTGTTCCCGAAGGAGAACGAAGTAAGATGAAAAGGAGGCTCCCTTTACATTAAGTTTAAGTTTATAGCCTACTTTACATTAAGATCATTTTAATTAGTTATTTAGTTTCAGAAATACTTGACTACTTAATAATGTGAAGAGTTAATTTTCGTTGTAAACACTAGACTCAATCTCGTCAAACTCGTGTGAATAATCTTCGCGTTATTCAGCCTACCTCTCGCTACAACACGTTTCAACTTCGTCGTAAAAGATCAACAAGTTTGAAGTTCTGTGAAGATTCTTCTACGAAATTTAGGACGTGTCCCTGCATCAGTCAACGATATTCTTGTAAACTCAGTAATTAGTCGCTTTATCTATTTGGCATCGCCCTCCTGCTACGCTGGTGGTGCAGCTGTTCTTACATCTCATTCCCGTTTCTCGTCGCTTGGGACCTCGTTTTTCTTTTTCCCTCCCAATCTTCGTGGGACAAAAACGTCGTACCTCTAGCGCACCTCTTTCTTCAATAGGAGGTCAAGATCTCTTGCGCCTGTGCATTCACATGTTTGGCTTTGCCAGTGAAAATATTATCATCAAGCGTCGGTATCTCATGTATCATCATCAACAACAACTACTTTTTTTTTACTACAAAATCGCGTGAAGAAGACGCTACACTAGTGTCTGTCCATTTTATATCACACTACTAGGCGTCTTACGTCGCAGATGGTCGTTGTTTGAGAAGCCCCTGTGTTTGTTACTCATCTTCCCATGCTAGATGTACGAAGAAATGTTCTTCCAAAATTGGGTCCCACGTCGAGACAGGTTTCTTCATTGGTGGTGGATTTGGTTTCGACAATCGGCCATCGTTCTTTAGAGCTTGATGCTTAGACTTTCATCTTGAAAGTCTGTCATCTTTGACGCGTTTCCGTTTTCCGCGTACAAAGAAACGTGCCAAAGTAAGAATCTTACTAAGATGCCTCTTGAGGTTAAGGTGAATTACGGAAAGGCAGCCTTAAGTTTTGTTGTGCTTCTGATTCAGCGTCTCCCTTCTTCTTCTTTGCTACTATCGGAGCACTATCCTCTGTTTTCGCAGGTTCTGGCCCAAGATAATTATCCAATGGCTTAAAACATCCCCTGTCGTCCACATACTCCGCTACTATTTCTGCTTTCGCTTTGCTGTCTTTGCATTTCCTCGCATCTATGATTTTCACCGTCAGATTCTCCATTGCCGACGTGAAGTACATGGGACTATTAGACCTTACCCGTATTCGTCATATCTTGAAAAGCATCGTTGACGTAGCACGCATGCTGTTGTCCCTGTTGTCCTCGTTCATGATGACCGTAGAGACGTGGTCTGACAGGAGTATTTCTATGTATGATACTAGCTTTCCTTTACTTAGTGAGTAAACAAGAAAGGCGTCAAAGGAACGAAGGAAAATGCTCCATAAGATGAATTGCAATAAGCCTTAACACTATCTTCGGATTGTAACGCGTCGACTAATTCTCCGACACACTTGTTCCTGATAAAATGCTTCAAGCGCGAGTGAGACATCTTGGTCTGAGGCTGTATTTGCGGCACAGCCACCGCTTGTTCAGTGCTCTTGTTTCTTGTGCCTTTTTTGGAAGGAGATGCTGTACTCCCTTTGGATGGAGATGACATTCCAAATCCTGTGGTCAGTACTTGAGGCCCTTCATTTTGCTTCTCCCACTGCTCTCGTTTTGCTAGTTCCCATCTCTTCCACAGAGGGTTTTCGAATAAGTCAGCGCTGAGATTAGAAGAACTAGCTGTGTTAATGAAATTGCTGTTCAAAAAGAAAGGCGATACCGTCAATACGTTTTCACAGAGAAAGTTCATCAAAAAATGATGAATACCTTTCTGCTACCTCTTGTTCAATACAGCCTTCCTGTACCACGATATTCATGAACGACTATCTAAATGTAGAAGCTCCTTCGCATCCCGACCTATCCATCGAGAAACTATCCATCGAGAAACTGTAACTGAACAAGGACAAGCTACGTACTCATTGTCATTTCTTTCCTCCACCAGCATAACAAACAATTCCGCACTCCCGAAAATCGCGTTGTCGTGCTCTGCATATAAGAACTGCTTCAACAAAGCGTGCACTTTTCGAATGACTATTTTAGAGCTCCAACTGCAGCTTCGCATCTTCCTCCTTGAGAGTCATAACATCCACATCCTTGCATAGAAATTCTTCTTTTTCCCCTTAAAAAAGAGGCCAAGGATGATACAACTGAGGCAGGAGGATGATCCGATCTTTTAGTTAAGTAAGACATCTTAACCATTCTTCTGGCTTGGAAGAAGATAGTTTTCCTCAAATTCTTAGGTCCCACGCGAAAAGCACTTTCTCTCTCGAACTGCTCCAACACTTGTTCGTAAGTCAAGGGCATGGTCTTCTTGCTCTTGAACAAAACTGAATAAGCGGAAGCGTTAGAAGAGCTACCGCGTTATCGTCATCATCATCATCATCGTCACACCTTGAGACTACACGACTTTCCTTGGACCCTTCTTGTATTTTTCCCTTCAAAAAGAGGCCGAGGTAGACGAGATTATGTTCCTTGGGCAAGTCTATTTATCCTTCAAAAACAGCAGGCCAAGGTAGGATGTATGATGCCAAGGATGATGCTGAGGATGCTTTGTAGTGGTACGTAGCCTTAAAATCGGTTTCGCTTACGAGGAGAAAATTGGATTTGGAAGCCTTGGATGAAGGAGATAGGCCTCTGACAGGAAGTACTGGCGCATCGGGATCTGCCATAATTAGAGAAGGTGCTTCCAAGGAACTAAAATTAGAATAGCCGAGATAACTGAAGAAAGAAGAGCGCTTACGGGATCCTCACTAAAGAGATGGACTAGAACCGACATGGCCTTAAGATTCTGACCCTGTTTTTTTTCCTTTCTTCTAGTAGTTTTTTTCGTTTCTTAGTTTCTTCATCTTCCGAAGAAACTTGTTCAGCATCCTCTCGTGGTACTCCCGCATCTTCCTCTTCTTCGTCTTCCGCTGTGATTGAGGACTGTTTTCTCCACACCTCATAGGACGGAAAGTAGTTGTTTTTGCCCAGGAAAGCGCCGACGACTGCTTCAGTGGTATAATATCCGCCAGGACCTCCGTAGGCATACAGCGCAGCCCGGTAATTCTGGAGTAGCGGATGTTGTAGAGAAGAAGTATATTTGAAACCTAGATGTTGAAGAGAGAGGACTAGTACGTAGTAGACTTAGAAGTCCATCCATTTACCTGTTCGCGAGGTGTTGTCCAGAGTTTGGGGACTCAAGTGCAAGGATGTATTTTGGGGTTGATACATGATAAGATTATATGCTAAATCAAAATCAACAAATGCAAATCCTGAATCATGATCATCCATGTCTTCTAGTTCTCCTAGCATTTCCAATTCCATTTTTAGCTTACCTTAGGAATATGCAATCGTTCTCCGTTCCAGCAAAATTCCGTTATATGCAAAGGTGGCACACATGAGGCCAAATAGCCTCCAACACTTCCTCCTCTTTCTTGGAGCCATTATCATCTCGGGAAAAGCGTGAGATAAAAAGTGCCAGAACGATTGACTTTGACTTAGACTCAAAGTCTAAGGCTTTGTAGACTGACGAATAAAAAAATATCAATGTCTAGTAGGAGAAGCAGTAGCCTTAATCTTCATCGAGCCAATTCAGGACTTTGTGACTCCTCTCGCACCAACCGAGACTTGCATGCTTCTCCTTTGCGTGGCGTCTTGTTGGCGACAAGTCGGGATCGTAGGAGTAGGAGTTGCTCTTTTTGCGGTAATTTGGAGAAAGAAGTTAGAGCTGCCGCGTCGTAATATCCTTCTTGATACTTGGACATTTCCCTGGGACCGACTATCTTCCTTGGGCACTTCTTTTTCCCTTTGAAAAAAAGCCCGAGGATGATGCTGAGGATGCTCTCGTGGTTGCCTTAAAGAAGAAGTTGATGCTGTTCGCCATCCTGCTTTTGGGCCTCGTCGTCGGCTCTGGGCGAAAGGTGCCTCGGAGCAGCAGTTGCCATGTCTTTTGTGGACTTGTGGTTCTCGGATTTCAATTAGGGAGTCATCAACTACAAGATCTTCGTAAACAAGTTAAAGAACTTTTTTCCCCTATCCAGTACTACTGCTACTACCTCCACAGTTCTTTTTTCACAAATTTCGACGCACTCAAGACCATCCACCAGCTCACTTTTTTTTGCCATTCTTGACACGTTGGCTTTCTGTCTCCTTTTCGTATTCAGATTTTTTTCACTCACCAGCATTTTTTCCCTCTCTATGTCATGCCATGGCGCCTCTTGTATAGCATTTTTGCGCATCTACTATGTTGTATGAGGCCTTTCTACTGGTAGTACTAGATCATCAGCAGATGAGCAATCTGATGTAGCATTTGTCTATAATCATGATTTTCAGGAGCAATTTATTGTAACATCACATCCGTTAGGATTTTGAAAGAATTTTACATCTTGTTCGTGCTTCAGATAAGTAATATCGTTATCGATATCCACACGGATAGCCAATAATCAAGCTTTCCTCCATGATGAAACAAATCCAGAGCATCAGCATGCCTAAAAGTTGATGTGGGTCCTTCATGAGGCAATGACGGAAAAATCAATATTGGGACAGATCAGTCGTCGTTCTTTAGGGCGGAAGAAAAAACTAGTACACCTTTTTAATGATCATCCAACAGGGCTTCAATTCTTAAATCTTAATCATCTACGGCGTCAATTGAATCATCCATTATGGCATCCTCGAATCAATTTCCGCCATGGTCATGTCATGTGAGTGTCCCTGATATCTTCTATGGCCGTTCGTGGCCACCGAAGAGACAAAATGGCAGCTGACTACAAGGTCGACTCCCACGACAACATCAACGACCCATCCATCTGCAAGTTCATGTTGCTATTCTTGGTACAACTCTTAAAGAAGAACATCAACAGTCATGCTCCTCCTCGTAGATATCCAGAGATTTCATTTCTAGCGCGGCTAGCGCATTTTTTCATCTGACTTAGACTTTACTCGTACAACTACATGTTCTTGAGTCTGTCAACGGCATCCCGTCTGTCTTGCGCGCGGCGTTTCAATTCTGGGAGAAGCCTGCTTTCGATGAGATTTACAATGCACTTTTCGGCGCAAGCACCGCACACTCCTCGGGACGACATCATCACGGCTTTCTCTCGCATCGTAGCACATGGCGACATCAAGTGGCTCGTCTTGCAAGTGGCATTGAGACAGTGCAGTGTAACGCACGGTGAGACTGAGAAACTGCAGGTACGAAGAACAAGAGGCTCGCACGCTTGAGATAGAGATGAATAACGATAAAAATCTTCTAAATCTTCTCCATCAGCATGATTCTCAACAGAATAACTACAACAGCACATCGACGCCCAGATGTTGTGATTGTCCTGACCACGGTGGTAGCCCTCCGGATGGTCGTCCTCCCGATCATGGTCCTCCCGAAACGAGCGAAGAGCGGCTACAAGGAATTGGTACTGCAAATAGACCTCTAGCTCATTGAGGACCGCAATGAAAACTCCTCCCATAGGTGGCTTCAGATCTTCGCTGGACCTCAGAAGCAACTGTGTGAAACGAGGCCACTGGTCCCAAGGAGAAGTTTTTTTACGTCGACGCTTAGTGCTCAAATTCTTGAATAGCTTGTTCTTCCGGAAGTTCCTCAAGTTTCCCCAGAACGCTGGTGACCCGTCCGAAGAACGATGCGGATTCGCCTCAACGGGAGGCAAGGTCCTCTCGGTATCTCCTCCATCAGTGCACGAGCTTACAACTAGGGTTTCACTCTCAGTAGATGAGTTTAGGTCCTCTAGGCCATATCCACGCACCGCTTGTAAGACTTTGCGGATCGTCGTGTTGACGTCTATTAATACTTCTTTATCAAAAAGTTCTTGAGGAGAAGTACTTTCTTGTTCAACAGGACGACTACTTCCTTCCTCGTCTTCGTCCAGCAGAAGTTTGCGACACTTTTCCACGCGACCTAGCAGCGACAGATAAAATTCTACTTCTTTTAGAGGTTGCGGAGTTGCATTCTTCAGAACATCCTTGGCCTAGTTTCCCCTTGAAAAGGAGCCCGGCAGGATGGTAGTGAGGGACGTAATTCGGAAACCCATAATTCTTCCTGTCCGTTGCGGAATCTCTCACCAAAAACGACTTCGTCCCACTCCAGAAGTGCATTGTAGAGCGTCGCCAACTTATTGCTCCAGGCTTTATAGGGGTCAGTGGTTGTAAAAACCTTCTTCTGCAAGACATCATCCACGGTCAGTCGGGAGGTAGTCTGGACAAGGTTAGGTGCCCGGTGCTGCGATCTCCAAAGACCCTCCTTGAAAGGACAAAAACCTTTCGTACGGAAGTCGGATTCCTTGATGACTGTTTTGTCGCAGCCTAATTAGAGGCTGCGCTATTTTTGCACTCTTCAGGACACCTGCCTTGCCTTGTTTTTCACTTGAAAAACGGCCAAGCATGGTCGTCGTGAAGGATGCAGTACCAATACGGGAACGACCCTTAATCTATATATACATCGATCAGCATGTGCGCAACAATGCGTGCTGCTTTTTCCCTAGGATCGTTCACCCACGAGAACTTTCTGCCCGCCTGCTCTTGAATTAGAAGTCACTACGATCCATCTCTTACCCCATTAACTGCGTCCCTTTTTCGTCACCTACTTGAAAGTAGCAGCAGCTCACAGATGGAGTAAAAGATGGATTACGTCGCGAGGCCATAATTCAAGCTCCTCAGCGCTCCTTTGAGCAAAGCAACCAGCCCTGTTCGTGAGGGCATTGTTTATGCCGAGAACAGCCTCACGGGCAGACTCCTGGATCCTCCGCAGAGCAAAGCCTGGATGAAATCCTGGATCATGTGGATGGAAAAATCCTGCTGCCGATACGAATGGAAAAATGATGGCCCCGACTACACACAGAGTCTGACTCATCGTCTTCACATGATTCGAGGAAAGCGCTGTCGGACGGAGCGAGACGCTTTTGTTTTGAAGGACGGCCATTCTTGTAGATCATGTAGTTCTTGTGATTGTTCTTGTTGTTGTTTTCAAATAATGTTCTGGATCTTCCATGTGAAGGTTTGCTAGATCTAGCATACAGAAGCCTCTTGCTCTTCTTGTTAAGAATAAGATATCTCCTGATGTATGATCCGCCGTCTGAAAATTACGGATGTCGAAGTCATTCTTTCATGCTGATCTTCACTGACGTCACCAGGATACAGTTCTTCTTTTTTTGCAGATCCACCGATATATGATGACGGTAATGTATGCATCTATAAAGAGTTGTAGCCACATAGCCCTTGATCACGACCTTGATGAGCACAATGAAAAATGATGTCAAGCTCAACGTATAGTCAACATCGAAGGTTGTCATGACAATCAGACAAGCCACAAGGATCGCCTCTGTTGCTGATGTAATCTTCAGATCACTACTTTGCAAAGGTGGGGAAATCGACATCGAGGTGGGTTCATTTTATCCTTGAACGAAGAGGTAAGTTCCATGAACATGATGATGTAGACTGCCTTTGCATGATTTGTGCATGTTTGATGAATGAAAAAGAAAATGAATAATCAGAGTAAAATAAACAAGCGTCTCTAAATAGTGAAACGAACGCATTGAGGATGGTATTACAACGTCAACCATTTTTACGACAGTAACACCCTCGTCTTGGTGTTCAAGTTCATCTACTTCTTTCTCCTCAACATTTCATGTTTTTTCTGTTTTCTTTTGAGCGTTTTTCCTGCATTCTTTTTGACGCGTCTTGCAGTCGCAGCTTCCGGAAACTTCACGCGTGCCTGCATAGCGGCAACCTTACGCGAATACCGACGCTCTTGCACCAGTTTGAGGACCTTGGCTTTTTCTTCGTCAAAGATGGTCTTCAGGTCGTTAGCTGCTGATGTTGTTGTACAAGTACTACTGTCAGCACTCCTGTAGTTGTAGAGTCGCCTCTGCAGTACGTCCACAGCGTCAGAAGCCCAATTTCCTATTGAAAAAAGCGGCTCCTTCTGCTCCGCGAGCTCCTGGAGGGTCTTGGCGACGGTGAGGGTATCTGTTGTTTAAATTTGAATGTCAGTAGTTATTTAGAATTGTGATTTTTGTTGTGTCTATCTCTACTATAATGTCTTTCGGTTGTTCAAACCTAAATGGTGGTGTAAGAAAATGCGGAGGCGCAGCTCTTGATTTTGAAGCTCTAGATACAGTTCTTGGAAGATTTTCTTTACTGACGGTGTCAACAAGCTGTGAAAACTAAGTAAATACCTTGTTCCCCCGTCCTGGTCGTGTCTCCCGCATCCGCACCTCCTTCTTCCCCAAAACTAGCCAACAAAGCATGCTGCTCTTTGTGTTTTGCCAGTCTCAGCAGTACGGACAGCAACGCGTGCAACACTTTGGTATCTGATAAGACCTCTGCCACGTCAGCTAGAGCCGCGAAATGCCCAAAGAGTCGGACGATTGATGCTAGACGAATGATGTGTGTTTTCGGTTCTCTCAGGAAGAAGCGCGCTTTGTGAGAGAGGTATGACATAGTCTTCTGGATCAGAAGGAGAAAGTCAGGAGAAGTTGTCTTAGAAGGTGCTCCGCTACTAGTTGAGCCTGATGCCTTGGAAGGGGCACTGTAGTTGGTCTTCGCTTGCGACGTTCCACCTTGAAGAATGTTTTGCAAGAGACACGTCGCAGCACCGGTATCCTCTGCAATGTCAGCGAAGTGGAGCTCGTCATTCAGAACTACAGGTTCTTGTAGCTCATCTTCATCTCCTTGCTCTACTTTATCAGCTGAACCTTTATTTCCTGACTGCTCCTGCATCTCTTGATCGAGATCTTCTTGTTCATTGATAAGATTTCCGTCTAAATCAGCAAGCTCACGCTCAAGCGTCTCTGTGTTGGCCACCGTGTTTTGAGCAGCGGCTTCCTCTATGGATGTCGTCTCGTTATTTTCTGCAACTGCATCGACCATCTCCTCATCATCATCCTCCATACCTTCTCCATCTCTACTAATATTCCCAGCTCCTGCTGCATAGTCGTAAACCACTAAATCGCTGTGCGCATGCATGGACAGGAACAATCTCATCAAAGCTCGCACTGTTAATTGCGAAAGCGAATGATGGTGCTCTAGCCGTGGGTCCAACAACAATCGGACGCAAGAATCCTTCAGGGATAAAAGAGAAATATCCACTTGTTTGTCCTTCTCGTTCTTGTTGTTTCGGATCAAAGGCATCAGTTGTTCGTTAAGGAAAGGCTCAGATCCCAGACAGCGCAACCCACAAGCAGCAATCCAAGGCAAAAGCTCATTTTTGGCTTCATCCTCTGCATTTGCGTCGTTGTCGTCTTCGTTGTTGTGTCCTCTTTGCCCTTCTCCATTTCTACTAGGACTAGGGGAAACTGCAGTAAGACTCTCAGTCGAGAGCAAAAATTTCAGTAAACGCGAATAGGCAGCACGTGCAGTAGCGTCTTTCGTCGTGATTTTGTCCAACTCTTCTTTGGACAAAACTTTAGTCGTGACAAACTCCTGGAAGCCGAGACACACACTGTACTGGACTTTTGAAGTGAAGTAGGCTGCAGTTGACGATGAAGAGGACGAGGATGACGACAAGGCTGACACGGCCATAGAGGGTGTCGCATCCAAAAACGTGGCCATATTTCGCAGGGCCAATCCCGCAGTTCCTACGTCGACTGCAAACAGACCCAAGACTTCTGCCATTGCAGGTACGATTTTCGGCACTTTCTTAGGATAGTGCAGCATCAAATCGAGCAACTGCCGTTTTGTCGTTCCATCTACACGTTTCCGCACCAGATTCGCCAAGAAGAGAGTGAGCATTTGTCGTAGCTGTCTGCTTTTTTCAGAGGCTAGTCTCGCCACCGCAGTCAAAAAGAAGATTGTGGCGTATTCTCGCACCAACTCTGGTGGCAAAGCATTCAGCAACGAGTTCAAGCAGTTCAACGCACCTCGACAGCCAGCAGTTCGGTGCTGCACAGTCATGATTTCCTCATACGAAGAACCTCCTCCCGAAGATGATGAGTCCGTCGGACAAGCCGAACTCGACACACTGGCTAACAATCGTTGAATACGCTTATGCAAGCCCACTTTTTCGTGAGCAAAATCCAACAAGAAGTCGCAATACAGTTGCCCAGCAAGTGCGGCGGTCACGTCAGCAGCAGAAGTATCGGAGGCAACGCCGGTGCATACTAAGACGCCTACTCGGTCGAGAACGTCGTAGACTTCAGGAAGTTTTCTCAAAGGTGCGCTAGCACGTTTGAGAACTCTACGAAGCAATTGTAAGGCACTAGGTCGCAGTTTGGCGTCATCCAAGCTGGCGGCTATCTGCGCTAGCAAAGCCTCGAAAAAGAAGGATGATCGGACCAGTGTTTTCTTGGATTTGTTGCCGCTCTTTTTCGTGGGCTTAGTAGTTTCGGACGTTGTTGTACTAGTAAATGTAAAATGGTTGGAGCAGGAGCCGCCTGGTTGATAGGCAGCACTTGCACTACTCGTTTCGCCATTAACATCGTCGCCTCTAGCTAGCTTCCTCCGCTTCGCCGCGAAATCTAATTCGTCGTTCGTCTCCCTTTCTTTTTCAATCGCCTCTAGGAACCACAAAGCCGATCGATTCTTCGCCAACAAGCCCGACAAAAGCTGTGTGACACAGGGAATGACGTCCACAGAAGTCATTTGCTGAGCCCGCTTGCGTCGTAAACGCATAGACAAGTCTTGAGACACGCCAGCATGCTGAAAAGTGAGCAAGATGCGGTGCGCTATGCGTTTAGCCGCTCCATTCTGGTCCAACTGCTCGTCAGAGAGAGTCGGCTGGAGTTTGAGCAAGCATTTCGCACTCTGATGGAAGAGAGAGTCCTGCTGACCGCAGAAACTATCTACCAAACGAGGAACTATAGAATCATGAAGCAAGTGTCCTTGTAGATCTTCCAGTACACGTAAACTTGTGCAGCCTTTCAATACATGAGTGAGTAACCGCAGACCGGTAGATCCCAGGATCTCTGCACGCGCCGTTGCGTCGTATCCACGTCGGGCTCCTCGTAGATGCGCACGCCAGGCCTGATTGCCTGCTGCGGCGCCAGGTTGAACCAGCAAGGCAGCTTCCTTTTTGAAGTTCTCAAACGCTCTCGTCAAGGCACTAGATCCCTCATCTTCTGTTCTTTCCGTTGGAGTTCCCGCATCTTCAGCATCCTGGTTCTTCAAACTCGCAGTTGTCGTGTCCAATTCTCGGCCTTGTGTCAGTGCCACACTCCTTTCGAGCATGTCGCTGACGGCTTTTAACTGAGGTTTCAAGGTGAAGTCTCGGTTTTTCGTCAATCCTTGCATAGTCGCAAACAGCAGCTCTTTCACGCGATTCAAAAACTTCGTCGCGTTCTTCGTGTTCGCCGACAGCAGTGATGGAGCTAGGGTATTATGCGATGCCGAAAGCTTCTTCCCCTTCTTACCAGAGTATGCAGATGCGTTGATGTTGCTGTCGGTTCGCAGCAAGGCTCCACTGGCTGCGACGTCTTTGATATTCAGGAATTGCTCTTGATCTAAGAGTAGTTCGTAGAGGAATTCGACGACTTCCTCTAGGACTCGAGTAGGAGAGCAGACCCGAGACAGCAATTTGAGCAGTTCAGGACCCCGCACCTTCTTCGCCTCTAGGCACAAGTTTTTCCGTTGATGCATTTGCGCGTCGTCATCGCCGCCAGTCTGCTCGTCGGCGCTGCACATACGCCCGAGTTCGGCAAGGATCAAACTTCGGATTTCGGCTAGAATCGAGTCTAGGTGAGGAGCGAGTAGATTTGTGCTGCTAGAACTAGAAGAGGGTTCTTGTTGACTAGCGTTGGCTTCCAGCAAAGCATGTAAAGCCGAGTGGACACTGAAAATGCACACTGCTGCTTGATAGCCACCCCTTTGCAACGCAGTTTGGAGTTGCTGAACCACATAGGGGAACCACGCTGGCCCAAGGGCCAAAGTTAGCTGTTGCAGTGCCTTCCTAGCTGCTTCCCGTAGCTCCAACTGTCGTGAACGAAGACCATCACAGAGTTCTCGTGTCAGTTTTGGCAACTCCTCGTAGAAACTGCGCTCATCTAAGTAAGGCAGGATGTGAAGCAGACAGCCGACAACTGGCAGACGTACCAGGCCACCACCAATTGCAGATTTGCTTCCAGCAGCCTTCTTGTTGTCTCCACCCTTGTCGCCATCCTTTTGACCGTCAGCCTTGCTGCGATCGAAGAGCAGTTTTTTCAAGATCGGGACCACGCTTTTCTTCAGCGACGTGGCAACCATGTGACGTTCGTTTTCCGCTGCTTCTTCAGGGGAGATAGACTTCAGAGTCTCGTCACTTTCATCTTGCGGTTCTTCTGGCTCGTCATTTTCTTGTTCAACAGAGACATCTGCTACTCTGTCCTGTCCCACCTTGTTCAAGTTCGTCTTGTTCTTCTGCTCATCAACCGTTTCGTCAGCTTCTTTAAGCACATCAGCACTCGGACTCAAAGCTTTGCGTCCTCGGAGCATGTCAACCTTCGTTGTACTGGAGGAAGATGTTGAACCTGAAGAAGTCTGCTGAGTGTTTTTGCTTTGCTCTTCGTCTTCCCGACCTCCTCGCGCATTCGCGGGAACAACAGTTGTAGACGTCGCGAACGGGTATGCACGCAATGAATCCACCACTGCCTTGATGCACATGCGTTCGTGCACCTTGTCGCGGCAATCACGTAGACAGGTAGTCAAAAACTTCACTGTTTCCAGGGTTTTAGGCCAGGAATGTGCCTTCGCTAGTACGGCAGCTAGAAGACGGATGCCCTGTTCACCATAGTGCTGTTCATAGGTGTCCTTGTTGGCGTCTTTCTGCAAAACTGCGAATATCGCTAGGGGCGCACAGAAGTTCAGCAGTGTAGAGCGAGATAAAGGCATCCAGATGTTGTACCTGCTTGTAGACGAGATGTTTGAGCTTGAAGAAGACAAGAATGGTTTCGAAGTAGAAGTGTTGTCGTGCTGCTCTACTCCTTCATCATCTTCGTTCTGGTCCGCATCTCTCATTTCTTCATCTTCATCATCCTCCGTCACTGATTTTGATGAAGCTTTCTGCTGTTGACCAGCTTGTACAGCCAATACCTTAGATAACAAGGACTGGAACGCGCGTGCTCTTCGATGTTTCTGCAGATGCATCAAATTCTCGAAGATGTCGCCGGCCGCCGCATCGATGTGCTTTCCCCGTGGAGCGAAGAAGGAAAACAGGTCTAAATGCAAAAAATTGATGGCTTGCGATTCGATAAGGTAAAAGGCTGAAGCGGATGTCCCCTCACCACTTGTTGAAGATTCCTCTTTAACAAGCAGCAAATCGCGCAAAGTGACAAGATCAAGCGATGAAGAAGTCGTGCTCGTGGTTGCCTCCGATGAACCATCTAGTAAAAACTTCTCCACATCAACGCCACGCGACTCTCCACCATTTCGCGCCACTGCTAGTCTGTACTGCAGATACTCGACCACAGTAGCGAAATTCTGACCGTTTGCACGTGCACGCTGAAAATCGATGTGCGCTCCGAATAAGCGGATCTGCAGCGTTTCGTCTGTGAGATAGTCTTTATGAACAAGTCCTAGTCCTTCATCTTGACCTTCATGAACAATTCCTGCAACACCAAGAAACATCTCCATAACCTTCGGCACACAATTTGTGTACAGTTCCAGAAAAAACAAGCGATAAATGCGGACCGCAGACTCCACAACGGTGCCGACACTGGATTTCAGGTTTTTTCGCAGTGGTGGAACGACGCTTTTGAACAGCAGCTCGAAGACGGAAAAGAACGAGGTTGAGGCCGCGGTCGGAGCTGTTGAAACGGCCGTGGTGGAAGTGCTCTCTGTGGTGGTAACGACCGTGCTCATCTCTGACTCTGTGTTCTTTGTGTTCGTCTGCGCATCATGATTAAGAAGAATCTCCTTCCTCATCCGATCACGCACGAATGTTTCGTACAAAGACTCAATCTGTCCGCGCACTGCTCCGTCGCACATGCCCTGTCCTAGAAGGAAAGACAAATGTGCAAACACTGGCCGCAAGCTTTTCGCTGGAGCATGTTTAAAGAAGTCACGCTTTTGCAGAGCGGTCATCACTTCCACGTGGAGGTCGTAGTCAGGCTCAACCGTAGCCTGTCTTCGCGTCCAGTTCAGAGCACAGAGACCACGAGCTGTCGTGATAGCAACATCGACATGTGAGAAAATCCAGTCCTTAACCTTGTCGTAGGTTTTCGCAGTAATCTCGTCTCGCTGATCTTCAGGCGCAGCAGTAGTCGCACGTCTGCCTTCAAGAAGAATGGACTCCAGTTTGCAGGTATTGCTGTCGGTCGATGCAGATGAAATATGGGAGTTACAACAAGTAGTAGAGGCTTCGGCGAGCGTCACAAGCAAAACTCCTAAACGTTGTCGGCTCATCAAGTCACGCATGCCCTGAAGCAAGACTTCGAGTCGTTCAGAAACAGTCGTAAAGAAGGCCGCTTTCTGCTTGTTGTCCGATGAAGTGTCTTGTTCTGCAACTTTTTTGACGAGTTTCGATATCGCGTCAAATATAGGGCTAGCCATGGCCGCATCTCCACTAGCGCCACTGTCAAACAACGCAAACAACAACAGATCGATCAGTTTCTGCGCTGTCTCCGCTTTGCTGATCGTATCTGCGATGTAGAAGAGCAAATCCAGCTCATGAGGGAGCACGATTCGTGTCACGCCTGCAGAGCCAGAGGAACTTTGACTAGATCCAGATCCACCACCACTCTTGCCCTTTCCCTTAGATCCGCCCATGGCACTACTGTTTGCACGACGCAATTGCTGAAGAGTCAGTGGGGTGATGAAAGCACGACGTTGTGCCATCAAACCGAGCAAACCATCACAGATCAGGTCTGCGTGAGGTCTTATCAATGCCCTACCACGTTCGAGGTTCAACTTGAATAGAGCATCTTCTTCAGCTTGTGTCATCTCGCCTTCTGTGGATCCTGTGTTCTCCTCACCCAAATCGGAAAACTGATTCAGTTTAGCTTGAAGCATGTTTTCTTCGAAGTCAATGTCGCGTTTTGATCGCTTTTTCTTGCGTCCGTGCTGCGCGTAGGTTGAGGCAGATGCTGATGAGCTTAGATCTCTGCTCAGAATTCCAGGTGTTGTACTCGTCAAGCTCGAATTTCCTCCAGAAGATTGTAACATCAAAGAGATCCTTCTTTCCCTTCGCCTACTAGATTCCGCGTCTTCTCCTCCACGATACAACCTCAAAGCCGATTCCACGACTTTGTCCACCATCGGACCGCCACAGTCTTTTCCACTTGCAATACGGGCAAGAACCGGCTGAGAGTTCAAGACACGAAAAAGGTTTGGCAGAAACGTTTCTTTGAAGCCTTCATGTTCATACAAGTGCCAAAGTGCTGGATCCTCGGACAGTCGGGTCAAAAGCCGTCCGAAAGCGGATACTTCGACAGCTCCTCCAGTACGTGGAAGGTCGACTGCAAGGTGTTCAAAAAAGTCCTTGAGAACGCTGAAAGAGTCGCAGAGAGCCTTGTTTTGTGTTCTTTCTTCGGCTTCAGTACCAGCTGACGTGGTAAATTTAGAAACCAAGTCATGTACACGAGTGAGGCACAAACGCACCAATGGCTTTTCCTCCTTCAAATTCGTTACTCGAGGAAGCACGGACTGTAGTTGCTCTTGGTCTTTCTCGACGTGCTCATTGCCATTTTCGACGTCTAGCATCTCCACGTCTCTGGAATCTTGTTGGACCTCTTGGTCTTCATCTGCGGATCTAGTAGTAGGAAGTTTTTGACTATTAGGAAGCCCAGCTTGACCACAGCTCCTCACCGCAATGTCCGTTTGCCCCGTAATTGACAGCACCAAATCCAAGAAAAACCTCGCGAAGGGCGACATAACGCGGTGCATCTGTGCTAAAAGGTCTCCCAAAGTCATCAGGAATGGCAGCCACCTCTTGCGAACAGTCAGGTCCAAAACGACGGAACCTTCTGCGACTGTCCACACCCATCGTCGACTTCTGGCGGACCAAGACTTTGCAACTGACTCTGACATATTGCTGTCAGCAGTACCATCAACCGTCTGCGCTACCAAAAACGCACGTAGAAGTGCCAACTGCTCGCGTTGTGTGCGGATCGCTTGTGTAGTCGAAGTCGAGAGTTCTTTCGATGACGCATCTTCTAGGACGGCGGCCTTCGTCTCGTCCACGTCCAGGTCCATAGGCTCGTCCTCCACATTCATATTACAAGAAGAGCTACTTGTACTTTCCTTTTTCTCGTCCACCAACAATCCCTGCACGCACACCAAAACAAACTCTGCCAGCCCTTTTGGGTCTTGTTTCAAGCCCTGACTGAGTAATTGGAAGACTGCTCGTCTGCGACCTTGGGCATTCGTGTGCTTGTCCAACGCTTTACCTTTTTTGCCCAACTTCGCATACAATAGCCGAACTAAGATAGGTAGGATAGCTTCGCGATGTTTAGGTTGCGGGAAGAGCTTCCTCGCACAGCCCGCGTGCATGCCTCTAGCCTTCTCGGCTTCGGACAGGGCTTCATCGCTCAAGGTAATAGCCGTCAACTCTTGCCGAAACTTGCTGTCCTCAGTCAAGCGGTGCAAATTTTCGGAATACGGCAGTAAGAAACTACGATACTTGGTCGAGGCTTGCAATAACCGCAATCCGAGTTGCTGTGTAGCGCTCTCTTCAGCCGGAAGCAGGAAATGCTCGGCTGCGAAAAGAAGGTCGGCGAGAAGATCCTTCACTTGATGTTTATCTTGGCCTTCCTCTTTATTGGAGGTGTCCACCTGGTGGTCCGGGTTAGTGATAGAAGTGCTGGCAATCTTCTTCTTCTTGTTATTCACATCGAAGAAGTTTTCCAACAATTTCTCTGCCGGTGAAGCTCCACTACCGCCAGCTTCTTCTTTCAAACCCTGGTCTTTTTTAGTCTTGCCAGCTGCTGACTTCTTCCCACCTCCGGAAGAGGCTCCATTCGGCGCTACTGTATCTGCAATAGCGCCTAAAGCGTGCTTACAGAGAACTTTTGTTTTTGTACCAACCCGCCAAAAGCGGTTCAGGTAGTCCACATTTTCCGACAGAGCCCAATGCTTGAACGATGCTCCTTCAGAAGTACGGGCAGCTCGATGAGTGGTCAAAAGGCGCCCAACCAACTGCCATAGCAAATCGTGGAACAGGTGCCCATTAATGGCTTGAGATTTTACGAGGTCGACTTCATCATGATCTAGCAGAGCAGAACTTTGCTGGTTCTCCTCTTGCTGTCTGGCAGGGCATTTCTCTAAACTTTTTGTCGTTTCAAGCATATGCTCCAAATCCAGCTGACGAATGTCTTGTCTGCCCGTTTTCTTGTTCTGAGCGACGTGAGCCCCCGTGTTGTTCCCCCGGGAGGCACTACTACTGGTGCGTTGCTTCTTGACAGCCTCGCCTTCCTCTGCTTCATCATCTTCCTGCTCGTTATGTAGTTCCACCTGCTTATGATCCGAGACCGAGACCGATTCGAAAGCACCTAGTAATGCATTGGCTCTCTCGGATTTGGTCAATGCTACAGCTTCTTGAGTCAATGCCTGAATCTGGCGCCAAAACCATGAATCAGCCTCCATTGCTTCTTCTTTCTCCACCACTGCTGCCAGTGCTGCCATACTGGGACTCCACAACGGGCTGTAGCGATGCGATAATTGATTCAGCAGCACGCAAATAGCTACCAGACCAGCGAAAGTGCCGCTTACTTTGGAGTTACCCAGAGTTTCACTTAGAAGGGTGATCTTAGAGAGTCGGAGTCTCTCGTTTTCGAGTGTAAGGTCACAGCTCTCGATTTCACCACAGAGATCGAGGACTTCACGAGCGTTCTTCAGTTTGTTTGAGGTTGATGAATGAGAACAGCTGCTTTTCTCACTTGTTGTAGAATCTTCTGACGTGCTAGAAGTTGTGGTCGTGCTAGTCGCTCTTGTTGCTAAATCCATCGAGCTTGCAAGAATTTCGTCCGGTAATTCTTGCGCTAGTTGCAAAGCAAGACTCCGTGTGCGCATAGAAATAGAGGTTTGCTTTCCCTCTTTGGCGGTGGACACTCCACGAAGAAGCATGAGAATTGTCTCCAACAGGGTGTGATGGGTTCCTGAACGCTTGCCAGAACCATCATGAGCTGCTTCCCGCATCGCCGCATGAACTTTCTCGCTCCCGTGTATTTTCCTCAGGTGCTGCAACGAGGAGGTGACAGATTCGAGAAGGGAGTCATCTTGCTGGCCGTAGACGCAGATACATTGTTGACAAGCTGCGGAAAACTCTTTGAGAGACAGACCCTGTTCGAGGACGTGGCCATAATTCTCCTTGGCAGCTGTTTCCGATAGTTCCGCAGATGAGTCCTCTACAAGTCTTATCATCCTCGCTGAAATTTCGACGAGCTGCGCACGTCGGGAATGAAGTCCCCCTCTGGCTGCTGAGGTAGAGCTAGTCGTGCATGTTGAGCCCGTCGTCGTTGCAGAGCACTCGGCTCGAAATGCTTTGACAAGACTGGCGTGCAACGTTTCGGAAGAGGTAGGGCTGGCTTGGGATGATGCTTTTTGGTGTTGCGACAGGTGCCGGGACTTGGTAAACCAAAGGACACATTCGAGTGCCAGTGAAGATAAAAAATGACCAGACTTTTCATCGTCTTCGCCTCCCTCCTGTTCTACTTTTAATCCTAGTGCTAATAAGCTATTGGCACATGCACGGATTGCTTGTAGTTCTGCCGCTTTCAACTTCTTTTGCAGTACTTTCTCGTCAAAGTTCGCTATCGTTTGAAACAGAAAGAGGAGAGCTGTCAAATGTTGTTGTCTAGTCAACTCGTCCTTTGTCTGTCTGAAAACTTCTCCATCACCCCCCACAGCAATCAAACTCCGCAAAATCACATCCCTTGCTCCTTCGAGTCGTTCTCGTATTTGATCCCCAGAGTCGCGCTTCGACTGAGGATCTGACAAGGCCTCATCTTGAAGAGCGAGGATGAACTTGGTAGGGTTGAAGATATTCCGGCTCATCGCAAACAACTTCGCTACTGGTATCTCTGCAGCAAAACCGTAAAGAACCATACGTGCCACGAAACGCTCCAAAGGCAGTTGAAATTGTTCTTCTTGTCCTTGTCTCTTTGTCGTTGGTTGTCGAGCTTCATCTCCTCCTGCAGAACAAGATGTAGGTGGTGGGTAGCTCATCAACGCTGAGTCGATGAAGGACGAGTCTACTCCTTCTACACCTGGCAGCTCTACAGGACGAGCAGGGATCTTCAGCACCAATTTCGACATGAACTGAGCCAAGAACGCTTTCGCGCCCTCTGGTACTCCCGTACGAGCCCATTTCCCCTTACTATGAAAACTGTGATAGCACGTCTGTACTACGTCCATTGTCCAAAAAAGATAACGCTGTCGTCGGCTTGAAGCGCAAGAGTCCGGATTTTCACTGCTAAAGTCCTCTAGACTCTCCAAAAATTCCTCTGTGATCTCGCAGTCCCCAAAGAATTCCTCTTCTGCATAGTCAAAAAGGCGACGCATCAACAGCTTGGAAGCGTAGAAGGTTAAAGACGAGGACGTGGAACTAGCGTAGAAGGTTAAAGATGAGGAACCATTGTTAGAAGTACAACGCTTCTTGTTTCCAGCACAATCTGCTACACCTGAAACTGAATTGCTCTGCAACAACATATTGATCACTTGCCTGATCAATGCTACTGCAGTCAAGCGAAAACGACCTTCCACGGCGCGAGCGCTCTCGAAAAGAGCAATAGATACCAGATCCACCAGTTCTGTGACACGTTTCGTAGAGGCTGTGGTCGACGGAGAACTACTAGAAGACGAAGATTTTGTTGTACTACTTGAGGGGAGGACGAGCGAGGTTGTGGACTCCTCGTCCTTGTAGTTTTTATCCTTATCCTCAACAGGCTTTGTAATGGTTGTCGTCGTGGAAGAAGAAGTTGAACAAGATAGAGCAGTGCTAGAGGTAGTAGAGAGCAAAAACTTATCGCGAAGAAAGTTGGACTTCAACACAGTGGTCGACTGGGAACACTGCCCATCTGACAAGAACTGAGGTTCTGCTACTGGTAATTCAAGTGCATTCAGCAATTGACGAACGAAAGGGTTCTCAGGGGTAGAGTCCTCAGTAGACGCGTCGTCTGCCTGATGTCCTTTGGTTACCAAAAACGCCAAGGTTTCGCCAAGAGGTTGTCGCAGCAATGCCCTTCGAATCCCTGGTCTGCAGGCTAAAAGGAGCTGCTCCAATAATGATGAATCGGAGGCACTAGAACTATCGATACCACTGCTTTCAGCATGCATCTTCTGGCTTGCTCCTTTCTGCTTTTTAGTACCCTTCTTCTTTTTCGATGACGCACCACTTAATGAACTTGGCTTCGTTGAACAAAGCAAATGCTTCCCCAAATACTTGAAGAAATAGCTGACTGCGCGGAAGATTTCTTGCACTGCAGAGGCTGCAAGTTGAGCGTCTCTTGGTGGCCGATCCGCCAGGTCCGCAGCCCATTGCATCATCTGTGCTACTGAGGGTACTAGAAAAGGGAGAAAGTCTTTCCTCAGGTCTTGTGCTAAGGCGACGAGCAAACGACAAACAGCTTCAGCATCCTCGGCGTCCGCCTTTCTTTCCTCTGAACAAGAACTTGTGGAGGAGGTAGTTGGGCAGCTAGTAGAGGCAGGATCTTCACCAGTTGCACTTGCATCCCCAACCGATTTCGGCACTAGGATCGCAACGATTTCCGGTACGTACAACAGCAATTGCGGTAGGGATCCTGACTGCATGTTTGTCGTCGTTGGTGTTGGTCTGGATGTGGAGTCAGCCTGATTCTGTTGTTCAGAGACACCATTCAAGAGGTCTCTGATTCGCCTCACACATCTTTGCCATCTCGCGCCTTTGCAGGAGAAAGCGTATCTCTGCAAAGTCTCTGCAAAGTTCGTGTCCGCAGCCAGAATACGTTCTTGCTGCTCTTCTAGAGTGATCTCGGCTTCGTCTGCTTGAAGATTGGAACCTCCATGCTCGATGTTGACGTCTTCATTATCGAGGATGGTGCAATCAACATCTTCGATGCTATCAACATGAAGATCTTGTTGTCCTTGATCTTCGTGCAACACCGAGGTGAAGCTAGCTGCTCCCCACGTTGAGGTCAGGGCACTAGACCCATTTCCACTCGCTAATGATCCTTTGCCACTAGTTTTTGTGCTTGCGCCTTCAAAAATATTCGTGATATCTCGCGTTGCCCGAACATCAGCGTCTCTTACCCGTTCGTGAAAGGACTTGAAACGAGTAGCGCCTGCTCTGCCGTTAGTCAGATGTTGCTCCGTCGACGTGGTATTCGTTGTATTGCTGATGTTGTCGTCGTGATCTTGTTGAGAAGATGCGCCATTCTTTTTGACACGTCGCTTCCCGGCCATACCAGGCGTCTTATTTTTGTTGTTTTTACCCGCCATCTTTTTATGCAGATCAAAAAGGAAAGATTATCAAGAAGTGATCCATCTTGTAAGTAGTTGATGACAATAATCTTCTTCAGGATGGTTCTTCGTCTTCATAAATTATTCCCTTCTAGTAAGCAAAAGCATTCTCCTCGTGCAAAAACAAATCACCTGCTGTGTTTTTAGTCTGCTTGTTGATCAGGATCAGAAGAAGCTTGTTGATGGTGATCCGTCACTGATTCATAATCTTAAGATCTTGTGGCTACAGTCTGAAGAACCTCTTCGCAGAGGAAAAAAAAAATATGAGAGCAGATGACCTGAGAATGTAGTAGAAGATTAAGAGTCCGACTCACGTGGACGACTGCAAGAGCACTATAACGCTTGAGCTTCATGACGGTGATCTTGATCTTGACTTCTGGGATCGCCTTGATCAGGTTCAGAGATCAACTTGTTGATCAGAAAATCCGAATCTAGATCTACTTTGCAGCTGGAGATGACCGTAACCGATTTAACGATACATTCCTAAATCCACAGAAGATCCGTGGTTAGCTCTTACAAGAACAGGAAAAAGGAACGACCTAGATTTAGCAGAACGATCTTGAGGATCACGATGTTGATGACCATGAAGTCGATGTTGAGGATCATTCAAGAGCAAACTAAAACATGTTGTTGATCAATACGACCTGAAGAACAAAACCTCAACAACTAGCGTATGCTCCTCCGTAAACGTCCTTTGCATCCGCATTGATTGCTGCGTCGTAAGAGATGTGAATGGCGATCACATTCGGTACTTGGAGTAACTGTACGTGGAGTTGGAGTAAGTGTACTTGGAGTGACAAAAGTAACGGTATGATACAGACTTTTGCTTGACTTTGCTCTAGCAATCTTGCAGTTGCGCAGCTTCCTTGCTATCAGTGTAAAAAAAGAACGATTCAATATTGAAGAATGAATCTCGGTGTCAAGTTTTCTTTTCAAAGGATCATGGACAAAAAGACTCAAAAGAAAAACAGTTCAAATAGGGCGTTCTGGATAGCGATAAGACTATGAAGAGCATGGCTTTACATTGACAAGAATTTTTTCTCTGTTAGTTGGATTCTGCGATTAGGTATCAAAACTTATTTCTTCCTAAGTATACCAGCGACGGTCTACGTCCTCGGTCTTCATGACTGCGATATATATAGTATTTTGATTTGTACTGGAACTGAACGTCGATAAATATCTGTTTCTGTAGGTCGTACTGATCTTCTAAATATTTTGTTTCCGATAGATACTAGGCGTCTAGGCGTTACATTGTGATTGTTCTTGCTCTGTCTATTCTTTGGTTCTGTACAGATTAGGCACAAGCCTCAATGTCAACCAAACCTTCAACACTGTTGCCAGGTCTGAAAATTAGTATAGCGACTAAAAACACAGTAGACTAAAAACCGCTAGTATCATCATCCAAGCAGACTAAATTATTGTTTATCGTCATCCTATGGTGGTATGCCCGTTGTACCGCTAGTATTCATCATCCGAATCTGCGTCCGCTCCTTCCGCTCCTTGTTTGGCATCAAAAGCCGCGAAATCGTCAAACATTTCCTCGACGACATCAAATTCATCGCGATTTTCTGCGCCAAAACTATTCCATTCCAACTCAAGCTCAGGAGGCCCACTATTCCCGATGCAAGCTGATGCTGGTTGTTTTTCATAATGTCTCGTAATCGATTCTGCACGTTGAACGTCCAATTGATGAACTGGTGCGTTATATTGCGCCGCAGAGAAACGATCTGTCGCCACAGGAACAAGCGAGACTGGCGCAGGTCTAGATACTTGATTTTGATTGTAATTGATTTCACCTCCGCTGTTCCTTCTACGAGTACCTCCTGCACTAGCACTATTTGCAAAATCATTGTTCCCAACACCTCCTACAGCGTCAAAACAACCTCCACGATCAAAAGACGGAGGATTTATGCGAGGTGACATGCCAAGTCTACCTTCTCTTGCTTGCACTACTACATCTTCGTCGTCGTCAAAGCTGGAACCGCCAAGGATGCCGCGACCTCCGCCACCAGGCGTCTGCTCTGCTCGCAGGAAAGAGCTAGATTAGACCTTACCGATATTCATCAGGAAGAAAGCATCTTTGACGTTTTTCTTTGACGTCTTTGACGGTTGTCAACACCCTTCGAAACACCTCAAAGAGACAAAGATGCTTCTCAAGAACAAGATGAATTACGGCAAAAAGCCTTAGCTAGAGCCTCCACCAAAGAAACTTTTATCCTGTTGATGTTGCCTCAGTTGTTGTGACTGAGACAACACACCCAAACGATCTAGGTCTTTTGGTGCGGTGTCTGCGCCGTCACCTTTGATGGCATTCAACCCAGCACCTTCACTCCATTGGACAGGAAGGTGTCTTTGAGTGAACCACCAAGACGCTTCTACCGCATCCTCTAGACCTCCTGCGGCTGGACCGTTTTCGAGGAAACTACCACCGGAATCCGGGAAATCGGTGAATTAGAAGCGAAGAGAAGACGAGAGGTACCTACTTATTCGGGGGATCATCGAAAGGACTTCTCTTCCATGATCAACAGTTACGTTCCACTTACTTAGCAGGGGAGGTTTGGGACCCTTCAGACCGAGACTCCCTATGTTCTTGTTCAATTCAACATATTCATATTCATTCATACAGTAATCATAAGTACTCACTTGGCCATAATCATCCCCATCTACTGCTCCAAGGCCTCCTTCCTCGAGATAGATCCTTTGTGCTTCTCTCAGGTATAGCCGGATAGTCCCGCGCACAGATTCTGGTGGTGCCCAAATCGATATACTGCCATCATGCGAGCCCACATATAGTTGTGTCGGATCGTGTATTCTTGTCGCGTAACTCCCCAATGTCATTCCGCAGATGTCTAGGCTAATTTGATGCAGGATTTGTGCTTTCCTGAAATCAACGATGCATAGGACGGAAGCTGTGGGTGGTAAACGACCGGCTCCACCTGAATTACTGCTTGCGTTTCCGTTGTTAGAGGAGACTACTGGAAGAAGAAGACGCGCGCAACCATAGTGAAAAACAAGGTTAAGAAAGTATCGAGTAAGTAGATAGAAAAATCAAAATTATTCTTCAATTGCGGGAGTTGCAGTATGATCTTCGCTAGTTGCAGTCTGTTCCGTTGCAAATTCTTAACTTGATAACCGTTCTGACCTCCCGTGTTTGACATTACACACGAGTCAGTGACTAAACTCGCAACGGGTGCATCGTTTAGGTCTTTGGCTGCTTGCTCGAAGGCTCCGACCCAAGCGGGCGTAGAGGCGGCGAACAAAAACGTACCACTAGGATCATTAGTGCTAGAAGGAGCATGTTGATTGGTATTTTATGGCCAAACCTGGCCAGCCTTCATAAAAGTCTCAATATTCACCGATCCGAACACAGCTAGATTCTGGGGGGAAAGGACGCTAAGGCCCTGAGCTGTCAATCTACGACCCTGTTTACTAGGTCTTACTCAAATAGCATAGACCGCCACCTCGTAAATACAAATGAACCAATTCTGAGAGGAGCATGTTGATTGGTATTATGTTGGGTCCCACTCTGTTCCGTTTATAGAAGAGCACTATGACTATGGGTAGTTGTCTTAAGATCGCATGCCACCGAAGGTCGCAACGGCGCTAGCGACGTGATCAACACCGATGCAAACAGAGGCATTTGGTGTCGCAATCCGCCATTCCATAGATCGAAAATAGACAGTTGAGGCTGCTCTTCACCAGGAATCACAGCAGTCAAAACCACGTACAATTTGCTAGGATGGACAACGAAGTCGGTAAGCGATTAGAGCCTAGGGGGTAATTCATATCGTCCTACACGTAGTTCATCATCGTCTCAGAATCCGAGAAGAAAACTAAGATCATGAGAAGAGTGAATGTGAATGCGGTGGAGATGAATTCTTATCATGAGTCATAAATCGAAGCAGCGCTCATGGCTGCACTGGTAGTACTCCTCAATTTCTGTAGTCTTGGATTGCCACTTGACTGGTCACGTAGTACTGCACTAAGACTTCTCATAGAAGTCGCTCCAAAGGCACCACCAGGATCGTAGTCAACGCTTACATTAGAACTTGCAGGAATCCATTGAGAACCTCCGTTGTTCTCGATCTTCCTTGACCTTGTTAAAAATCGAGATAAATTTGAGATATCTAATATGCATTGGAGTAGACGTAGATTCATTATAAGATTGATAGAAACAAAGATACATAGTGATAATCGATATCCAATTCCTCAACAAGCCTTAACTATCGCAGCTCCCATCTTACCACTACCTCTTGGTTCAAATGTCCGCAGTGTCGTTTTTGCATAGCCCGTTCCCAGCCTGTAAACTTCAAAAAGGTCTAACTCACCTGGCAACGCTTGCGACAGAATATACAGGTTCGAATCGTATTGTCGTCTGCTGCGTTCTGGATGTCGCACGAAACGGGTGCGACACTTACTACTAGTCGAACTACTCGCGGGCAATCGGATATTAGAGGTAGTTTTTCACGATTGTCCCTGTTGAGTGAGTACAATACAATAGAGTTAATCTCGCACAGTTTTCAGTACTTGCCCTCTTTGTTTCCCCGTCCTCAGATATTTCCACTCCACTTGGCAACCAGCATAGTCAAGTCCTTTATCAATCAAGAGGAACTCGAGCCACTCAGCATTCACATTTGATAATGACAAATTAGCCATAACTACAGGATTCTGCAAGATGAGTGCTTGTCGCAACTCTGGGTATGTCAGCATTTCAGAAAAACCATTTGTGTACGTTGCAACGACGCAATCGCCTCTCTCGTTGCCGACAAAGTGGAGATCACAGCAGTACGGGATTGACCCTCCACCTGAACTAGAGGACGATTGTGCACCACCACCTCCTCCAAAAGTTGCCTGATTTAGAGTCTGTGCCAATCCAATGAATCTTACGCTCGCCATAATCTTGGTACGCGGCTCTACGTTGACCCTTGTATTCTTCAATGGGGTGGCTGTACCAAGATGCTGAGAGACATTATGCATCGATTTCGAGAAGAACCGGCCATAACTGATAAGTAGATCCATCTGCATAGCTTTGTCTCATTCTTGATTTACTTGTCCTCGTTAGAGCTCAACAGGAGAATTCATCTTTCAAGGTCCTCGACATACTTGATCTACTTCTCAGAATCCAAGAACACAGGGAACAACTAAGAAATAAAAGACTGCGTGGAGATGACTTCACATAAGAATCCCTAACATCAAATTCCGACCACTCGTTGCCGCCAACATCTGCAGATCCCCTGCTCTCCTGGACGAGCCCCCTGTTGCTCGCTGACTAGCTGCACTGCTAATGCCCTGTTGAAAGACGGAGCCGTGCCACCGACCTGACGCACCTGCAGCCATATTGCTTTCCGTCGCTTCTTGACCACCGCCAAAAGTTGCGTTGTTGTTTATTTTCCGACCCAAATTGATTTCCAGATCTTGGTTGGGATCCAATTCAGCCAACATGTCATCCTCATCGTCATCTAGCAAATTGTCGTTCATACCCGCAAATTGTCGTTCATATCCTACGGGAGCCGCGGTTGGGATTAGAGCAGGGATTCTTATATAGTACAACAGGTGTCAGGGATATAGAAGTACAGGTAACAGGTGTTCTCCTTCTTGGCATATGAATCGAGGAGATCCAGTCTTAGTGCAGTCTTCATATGCGATTCTGGATGCTGCTACATCATCAAGTCTCATAGAACCATTGCCTGCGCTGCTTCCCGAAGTTCTTGACAGGGTGGTCGAATCAGCTTGCAACGCCAACCAAACTTCTCATCTGAGTTGCTACCTGCGAGACTTCCACCACCAGACATGGTTTCTTGACAGTTTCCTACTCTCGGTGGTGCACGATAATCTTCAAACACGTACAGCAGCAAAGATCCGTCAGTGGCGCCGACTAAAAGCTCGTAACTGTTGTTTACTTAAAGGATAAGGAAGCTATGTTGCAATCATTTCCTGTCGTGGTTGAGTGAATTGGAATTTTTACGCTTGATCATCATCACATCTCCCCCTAAATAAGATGATCCACTTGGAAGAAGGGGTAACTAACCCACAACGGATCACTCATTCATTCGAACCACGTAGCAGCTCACTCAAAGCTGCCTGGTTCCGTAGCGACCCGAGTAGAGACCACGACATCTCCCCCTAAATAAGATGATCCACTTCCTTGGAAGAATGGGTAACTACCCCTCGGATCATTCATGACTAGAGATGATAGTGACTTCGAATATGCTTAATTTAACCGTCCATCCAATGCCACTGCGTTGTCGATCGGCCTAAAGGCTGCGGCAGTGAGGGCCATTCGCTGACGTGGACCAGTGGATGCGGTGCACAGATGTGCTGAAGGAACGAAAGTTTCGATATTCGGATGCTGCATCTCATGTGGCGCATCAGATGCATAGACAAGTGTCCGAAAAGGAGAACCCTGCACTGGCCAGGAGAGGAAAGAGCAATCTTGCAGGGATTAGATCATGGAACGCCGCGTTGTAGCAAACTATTTAAGTAATTACAACTTGCTGAAATTAGTCCCACGAGCAGGACTAGAAAAAAACGACTACTAAAAAGAAACTTTAAAAGATAGACTGATACATATGTGCTACTAGAAGGATGATGGTGCTTAGGAAGATGATCAACTTCGACTTCCCCCTGGTGACCATAAGACAATGACACGAAAGAAAGCGCATTCGTGATTGCATGTCTCTCGGGATCCACGAGCCTTGACGCCAAAGCTGGTGGAACTCCAAGCACTGGGGCCAACGTTACCTGGACACATTAGTGGAAGATCACGAAAGAATATTTTCTTAATCGAAGATAGTGTGGCGCTACTGTGGATTCATAAAAAAAGTCAAAATACCGTTTTCACCGGTTGTAAGTGTCCAACGCGTAGGCCGACGTACGTGGAGGTGGGCAAATGCGCAATGCCGACAGACGAATCCAAAAAGGAGACAAAAACGTAGTCCAGATTCATTCCGAAGCTTACCTTTTTGAAGGTTTTTCATGCTTTTTTTCATGAAGACGATAATCATCCTATACACATCCTATCGAAGTCAAATCAAAATGTACGAGTTATCATTCAAACCAAGAAGTCCTGATAGATCCTGATAAATCTCTTCTGAACTGAAAGTGAAACTGTTCCCTCTTTGCATATCTATGAACGTACTTACTTCACCTCTATCCGAAAAACAGATACCAATGATGTGATGGAAGGGCGCCCAAAATTGCCTGTTGCGTGCTACCAGTAAGTTGTACCTGATAAATCTCTTCGGGTTTGTTTCCTCTTTGTGGGCATTCAAGCTTCCTTTTGAACTCTAGTCTAGCGAGACTGTACAGAAACAATTCTCCAGCTCCAGTCCCTATGACAATTTGTCCCTGAGAGATGCAAATGGCAGTAAAGCGCACGCCTGGGTAGCTGAGGTTAGAAGATAGACGTAGTACCAGATGAAGATGTGGAGCGACCTCCACACAGGAGTCAAACAGTCAGAGTTTTTACCCTCTATTGAAAACTCAAACTGTCTATTTGTTTTAGTACAGTACAAGCAACTAACGAATATCTCCATAACCACTGTGGCCAACAGGTTTCCGTCAAAATCGATGCACAGGATCTTGCCTTTGCGCGAAAGGAGGTACAACACGTCATCATGCACCTTGACGTCTACGATCACTTGCTTGAAAAGCACTCTCGACAAGAGTCGCACCGTCAAATCCGTCGCAAACGTGAAGAACTTGATCTCGTTCTGGGGAAGTTAGAGGATTGAATATGTATGTGAATCGTTGTTCTTCCAAAACCCATGATCTTTTCTTGTCGAGCATGTTGTTCAGGCAAAATTGAGTCGTCGTCGAGCGATAGATGGAGTCGATTACTGCTGGTAAAAAGGAATTGAAATTGATTTTTAAAAAGGTAGAAGACGCAAAGTGCCTCATCTACTGACACTAGTAGCACTACCATGAAGAATCTAAATCTATCGAGATGTCGAAAAAAAAGCCATAACACAATGTTAGAAAAGATCGGCCGTCTGGCAGCAGTTGTACGCTGAGGACGTCCTCAGTGCTGCCGATATGCCCATGTGCGACTTTTTGATGTCTCAGACTGCGAGCATCCCAATGAACTACCTGTATAGAGGAGACTACGAACATGATGATTCCAATTATGGACCATTTGCGAAGAGGACGCAGATTTACGAGAAGATTTTTTAAAGAAGAAGACTGGACGCTCGACGCTGGTTTAGGTTTTGGGTGATCTACACAAAGATAATAAGTTGTAAGATGAGGAGGTTTCAAATTCACATCACAAGACAAACCACAGCATAAAACAGTGGCAGCATCAAGAACTCTATCTTCAACATTTCTGATCATTCGTTCTTTAACTCTTATTTTCTCCTATTCGATAGACTGAAGTAAGCGAGTAATTACCGAAAATAAGGGCGATACTTAAAGACGAGGAATGTTGTCAGTAAACTCGTATATATTTCAGTCAGGACTAACTCGGTTACTTTGAGTTTTCAAATACAAATTCCCAAATACCGACGCAAAACCAACTGGCCCTTTTTGAACGACGACCATGATGTTCGTCTCGGTTGCGAACGCACATGCCACGCCAGATCCTGAGTTAGCGAAGATCCTGAGTTTGTAGTTCATATTCATTTTTCTACCTTCATAAGCAAGAAGTCTGTGACAGACTGTGAGCCTCTGAGGGAATAATACAAGAAGGCGAATGAGCCTTGCCTCAAGAAGACCTGCTCTTGGACTCCAGGAGGAAGAATGAGTTACAACATTTATATTACCATGAGCCTGCTTAACTGAAGCTGTATCCGCCAGTACTTGCTCTGCAATTTTCTCCCCATCTGACACCCGCCAGCAGGACAATGTAGGCTGCCCTGTTTGCGAGAGCCACAGAGCAAGAACTGTAAGCCCATCTTTGGCGAGATATTAGAGCATATTATTGTAGTTGTGGTGGATGGATTTTTTCCTGCATCTTATCAGCTGCATAAGTCCAGGCTTCGCGAGAGAATTAAGGTGGGCGACGTTTGTACGTGGATAAATAACTGAAAATAAGTACTCATTACTCGACGAATGAATTATGGTCGGCTTGAAGTGCTAGACTTTGAAATCGAAATAGTGATCAGCAATTTTCTTCAGAGTGACACGACTTCTGACAAGATGCTAGTATTATTGCTCAATTTTTATTCTGATGAACTCATTCTCATAAAAGTGGCTATATTATACCTATGCCTGATACAACTCATTAGGATTACTCGAAGAACTCGAACTCATAAAAGTAGAGTGCATGACACCACTGATTCGGGAGTAGGGTGATGTACCGTTTTCGATCTTTGATGTAGTCCCAAAGGACCAAAGTTGTTCCGCTTTGATAACACGCCAGTGCTAGAATGTGCTTGAATCCATCCCTGTCGGATTCGGTGCCTCGGTGCCAAGTTGCTCTTGGTAGTACTTTTTCCTTATTGTAATTATATGATTCTGCTAGTTCTTATAGTCAGAGCTGCAACATGATACGACCAAGAACATATCCTTGAGAGAGATGGAGAAAAGCTGACCTTAAGAGTGGATAACGGATGTGAGCCTCCACTGATTTGCTTCCGTTGCCCAAAACGGTCAGCAAAGAAAACGTCTCCGGACCTCCCGTCATACTGCCCAGAAGTGCAATTAATAGTAGCTAGCCCTGGCACACGAATTTTGGCATTTTCATGTTCGCTAAATGGTCATCTTGGAGGAGGTGTGGGCCTCAGTAGAACTAGAAGCTCTTTCGTTGCGCACAAGGTCAGGTTACACGACAGCGATGAACAGAGTTTTTGACGAATATCTTTTTTTACTTTTTGCTTCTCTATCGCATTGTTGAAGTTGTAAGTGTGTCCTTAATTTTGCAGATTTTTGCTGGTTTGCGTATTTTACTATAATGGGTCTCCTTTCCGGTAGGGTTGTGGTCCTCAGAGTCGGATTTTTATCTTCCGAACAAAAATTCAGGCTCACTCGTTTCTCTCCACTCAACAAAGGCGTCAGACTTGCTGAGAGCATTATAGTCGGACTCATCGCATAGCGACAACCAGCACCAGTGGCAGCGTGGGTTCAATTTACTGACTTTGTGCAAAAGTCATGTGATAGTTAGACAAATAAGAATTGCACCTGTCGCTATGTCAACGGATCAGTTTCCTTGCTCCTCCTGCTGGTAAAGTCGAAGGTGACGCATGTGCATGAGTGAAGGAATCAATGATCCGAGTTTTATGCGTTTGTTCCGAAAGAAAAACAAGCCGGTTGCCTGTATGGCGGTATCAATCGTCTTCAATATTCTTTCTCTGCGCAGCACTACTCGGCGAAACTTTTCATTTTGAAAATCAGCATTATGTAACAACAAGCAACACTAGCATTATGTCTATGTCATAGAACAAATATTAGAAGATGAATGGAGAAGTAGAGAATGTACTCCTTATATATAAGTTGTTGAGCCATTACGGAAGAACAAGCATAATCAATGAGACCTATGTGTGGAATCCTGATTCCAGTGGTAACTTGCCTGAGAGCAAGCCTTTTACTGCTCTTGATGAAGGATTTAATTTTCTCTGTTAATCACTTACTTATCGTGGTCAAAAATTTATTGAACTTAGATTACTGTGTTCACCTTCACTTTACGATCGTCAAAATTTAAAAAAAATTTGATTTTTTAATTTTCCAGGAAAAATACAGCCGTCTCTGTCTTATGCGCCGTTTTATATTCGATAAACTGTAATAATCGAGTAACTACTTGAAATTAGGATAGATGCACCGAGAGAAGAACAGCGTAAGTAGCCACTAACTCGGTTATTTTCAGTTTTCGAGTATCTTCGTCTGGTCTCCTGGCATCAGAACGACAAGTCAGTCGTATCCATGCCAAAACTCACCATTTGGCCCTCGCCAATCGCCGAAAAGGTCCATCGTCCACGTGATACCGCTGGCATACGAAGTTTGAGGCCTTGATAGTTGATACCGCTGCAAGCCGCGCCCCGCTGGCGCTGAATTCGCTCGCGCAACAGCAGCACTGGTCTGAGTCTCTAGTGGCGATTGCAGTGTCTGCTCCGGCAGCAGTGGAGTTATAGTTGCAGCTTGTATCGTTGAACCTGCAACATCAGGAGCAACCGTTGCAACATCAGCGGATCCAGGAGTATATTCCGTTGCTGACCCTGCTTCAGGCCCTGAACTGGGGACTTGTGAAGCTGGAGCTGTTTCAGCGGCTACAGCAGCAGCAGTGCCTTGTTGTGTCGTTGAACCTGCAACATCAGGGACACCCGTTGCAACGTCGGGAGCGGATACAGCAGTAGCAGGATATTGTGTTGCTGAACCTGCATCAGGCACATCCGCTGCGACAGGAAATACAGTAGCAGTACCTTGTTGTGTCGTTGAACCTGTATCAGGCGCACCAGTTACAGTACTCGACGCTGTCGCTTCAGCTTCTGAGGGAATGGGAGGAGGCGAACGAGCCGGACCTTCGGAAGTAGAGGGCGAACTTGCCTGGTCCTGACCTTCAGAAGTACAGACTGACTCAGGCTCTGATTCTGTCCCTCTTTCATCTGTTTCTGTTTCATCTGATTCTGTTTCATCTGTTTCTGTTTCATCTGATTCTGAATCTAGAGAACGAGCGTGATTCTGATTCCGATCTGTGTCTCCTTCTCCGGTTTCTGAATCTAGAGAACGAGACTCATTCTGATTCCGATCTGTGTCTCCTTGCCCGGCTGCGCCTCCCTCTTGCCCGGCTGCGCCTCCCTCTTGTCCGGCTGCGTCTCCCTCTTGACCGGCTGCGTCTCCTTCTTGACCGGCTGCGTCTCCTTCTTGACCGGCTGCGCCTCCTTCTTGACCGGCTGCGCCTCCTTCTTGACCGGCTGCGTCTCCTTCTTGACCGGCTGCGTCTCCTTCTTGACCGGCTGCGTCTCCTTCTTGACCGGCTGCGTCTCCTTCTTGACCGGCTGCGCCTCCTTCTTGACCGGCTGCGCCTCCTTCTTGTCCAGCACCCATACTCTCTGGATCAAACGCCAAAAGGTACTCCACCACTTCTGTATGACCCTCGACTATAGAGTAGTCAATCGGTCTTTGATTGTGATTGTCCACCTCAGCATAGCATTGAGCAACGCCGGGAACCTACAGTGATGATAAAGACAAAACTACACAAAGGTAAAAACACATTTGGGTTTGGGGCCATGCAAGTGTAAAGGTTGTAAGTAACATTTTTATCCAAAGAGTGCAAAGCATGTAAGCATTGACTTTCATGTTCTTGCTGAGCATGTTTTAAGTAAAAGTCTAAGCAGTCTGTTGTACCCTCTCCAGCAAAAACCTCACCGCTGGTAGTGCGCCACTCTGACAAGCCAAGTGTAGAATCGTGAACTCATTTGGCCATTTTTCTTAGGAGGCCGCACCCAAATCCAACCACCTGGGGGACTCATCTTCTTGGAGCTGTTCTTTTCCTCTTAATGGGAAGACAGCTGCGCGATGCTTCAAAGGATCATGGATAGGATTAAGGCAAGCCTTAACTCACAGCTTTCCACCCCAGCAGTAAGATCCCTTCGATGCTGTCATGTATTTTAGACCTCTTCCCAATTCATCCCTGTGGAGATCCCTCAAGAATATGCGTCAGCATCTCCCTTGTATTGGGAGGCATAAGCTTGAGGGGCCCCTAAATGTATAGAGATGGATTCGGGGAAGCCTGCTTAAGCAAGATCGGCGTTAGGTTGTCTGGAATTTGCATTTGCAGTGCCAGTGTGTTGTCGATATTATTCTGGTTCAGGTTCTGCAACAGAAACCTTTGCATCCTCTCTTCCAAAAATTTCTCTTAAAGGTGGATGTAGCTGCCTTGTTTTGGCGCTACCACCTTAGGATTCCGTTAGCTAAAGCTAAGTATGCCTCTGTCTGATGTTCTCCCGTTTCTATACGATAGAGAGGCCAAAACATTTCCTCCTTTTTGAAGCTGGGCAAGACTTCTTGAAGCTTCTTCGCAAGTGTAAGTGTATCTCAGTACAGTGCGAAGATCAAACAAAGGAACACCTTCTATCTAAGTCTGGAGCCTCGCCTTAATTCTGTTTCCTGACCTTCTCCAAAACTCCCACGCTACCTTAGGGGCTGAAAGCTGACCTCTCTAGCTCGCATATGATCTAGTATGGCTTTCTTAAGTTGAAGAGGGAGCCATAGAGATGTTGTTCATAGAGATTAGGCCAACTTCCAACCCTTAATTGTATGTCTTCCTCTCTCTGCGCGCGTAATCCAAAGCTCGTCTTCCTGAAGCATCACGCGCACTCATGTCGGTGGCTAAAAGTGCAAACAGCTCCACTAGGCGGCTGTCATCTAGGCACATATTAGAAGAGGGGATGTACCTAGACGCATATCATCTGAGAGGCTCGAGAGCATAGCATCAGTGATAGGGCGTCAGTGAGAGCAGAGGGAAGCGAGCAGATCATACTAGAAAGACCACAGAGATCATTATTATTATATGTGGAGGGCCCTCATGCTAGGCTGCTCCTGAGAGGTACTACTCGAGGAGCTAGAGGGGTATCGAAGTAGAGTAAGCTATCGCTATACCCTATCTTGATCAAGAATCTGGAGTTCTTGTTCTAGTAGTAGTTCAACTGTTGATATTACCTCTGTAATAGTAGATGAAGTACTAGTAGTCGTGAAGATTTCAGAATTCAACTTTGTTCGACGTAGAGAGTCTTGCATTTACTACAACCGAATTTATCAGAGCATAAATTCAGAAGCAAAGTGAAGCACTGTGTAGCCGCGGCGCCAATGCATGGAATCCCATCCAAATTTCACTACCTGTCTCAATGAGTCAAGCACGTTTGATTAGAAATAGAACATTACATGTAGTAAGAAGTAAAATCATGTAGACGTTGCAAGAAACTTTACTTCATCGTACTCTCCAGTAAATAGAAATAAGTAGAAAACTCTGCTCGTGTAAAGCTAGAGCCTAGGAATTGAGAATGCCTACTAATCCACAAGTCTGATTAGGTGTTTGTGTTCCTAAGTCTATGGCTCACTCCTGTAAGCATGTAGAGCCTAGAATTTCAAGAAATGTAGCGAGACTACACGGTAAAAATATAATTGCTCAACATAGTGCACAGGCTGGTTGTCAAAATGAATTAGTTCCGCCATCTTTACCGTCAAAAGATGGTAACGTCGGTTGTCGGCTTCGAGCTTCCGTCGCCGTGTCTCGACCCGCCGTAGCTGCGCCTTCAACGATTCCACTTTTTTGTTGTGCTCGTTCATGACCACCCGCAGCTGCTCCCTCAAAGATTCCATTTCTTCGTCGTGCAGCTGGGAGGCGCGGAAAAAAGCTTGATCTTGCTGAGAACAACTGTGAGAACCACTCTGTTCTTCCTGACAAGGCTGCTCCTGAGAACTACAAGTGAGGACACGGCCTTGCCCTTCCTGACAAGGCTCCTCTTCGTCGCCAGACATTGACATTAGAGCATCCTGGTCCCCGTCTTTTCCACCGGAACCATCCTCTCCTTGGCCATCGTCGCCAACAGGAACCACGTCTCCTTCGCCGGCAACAGAACCGTTTTCTCCATCGCCAGCTACGGAACCCTTTCCTTCAGGGCCAGCAAAGGCTGAAACGTTCCCTTGTTCTTCGCCATCCATGTCCCCCACCTCTTTGTTGCGATCCTCCGCATGAAGATTAGAGCAGACACCACTACTTGTCTCGCGTTCAAATCTACTAATCATATCTATGCAAGTTCATTAGGTTAGGTTAGGTGTGAGTCTACTAGGTCCACTTTGGAGATAAAACTTCCTAATAGTAGTAGTTGATATTGCTTCTACTGCTAATTCTTGATTATGATGTGCAGCTGCTTGTCGTGCACCTTATAGTTATTAATATAGGTCTTTTTTTCAATCATGTTGCCTTAACATCACCAAGCGCCGTGGTGTACTTCTTCAATGTCGAACGAAGCGCGCGCAAGTGGTCCTCCATCTGCAGCCTTGTGGAACGAATAATTGAGTCCAACTTTAGAGCGATCGCGATGAATAGACTTTCTCGTCTGGTAAGTACTAGAAGTGGTACAACTTACTCTATCATATTCATACAGCGACTGCTAAGGCTTCTGTACTAAGAGTAGGAAGCATGTTCAGAGTTAGACCATCTTGCTCCTGGGAGTGGCGAAATTGGACTCGCAACAAAGGAAAAAAGGAATCACAGCTAGACTTGCATGTAATTAGAGACGCTACACCCCAAGAGTGGGCACATCAATCAATCGATCCTCGCTATGGAGTTGTTGTTGTACCTACTTACTCAGAGCTGTTAGTTTAACATCATAATAATTATCTCAAATAGTACCTACGCCTACCCCTAAGAACTTACTAGTTGGCCATAAGAGATGCTCCCGTTGGTCAAGGAAAGGGCGCTTACCATCTCGAGCTGATCTAGAAAGAAACGCCGTATCTTGTCCGTCCGGAGACCCATGACTCGTCTCAGGTGGACTAGTTGTAGTTCTTAGAAAGAGAAAGAGAATCAACATCATAGGGGTAATGTGTATAAGCCGCCCATAGGGATAGTGTAGTGTCTATAAGCCGCCCTGAAAAGAGCAACTTATAAATATATATCTATGGGGAGAACGAGAAGGCCCAACAAAAGGAAGTAACGCGAGTACTAACGTGGACGAGCCAAACAGTGAAGAGAAACTACTGAGGGTTCTATAATCGTCGCACTTGAACTTGAAGTAGATGTGGGTCAAGAAGAGTAACGTGAGCAAGAACTTCGCCACTTTCGTGACTTCTGGGAAGATTCTGGGCAGATTCTGGGAAGATTCTGAGAAGATTCTGGGAAGTTTCCAGAAAGTTTCCGAGTCGTGATTGGGGTAAGTTTCTGGAAAGATTCCGAAGCCATTTTTCGCCAGCTTTTGAAAGGCTCAAGCAGGAAGATTCTGGGAAGATTCTGGGAAGTTTCTCCTTCTTAGTATTCACGTGGCTCCAAGGTCATAATTGCAGTAGAAGATGTGGGTCAAGAAGAGTGACTGAACAACAACTACAAGAAGCCTTCTTCATAAATTAGTTGTACGTTCGACCTTTCTAGGCGCAGGTGAAGATGCGGCGCCACGGCTTGTGAAAATTGCTGCCGACACAACTTCAGTAAGGATCAAGAGTATCGAAGACGTCTTGGCGACGAGGGCGGAGCACTTCTCGTATATTTTCAGGACTAGCAACATAATGAGGACCGCGTAAAACGTTAGCTGTATCTATTTCGTAAAGGAGAGTACTTACTACTATAATCAGACTTTATCTCTAGACCTAATGGCGCTGAGTTTTCCTTTGTTGTTTATTTCGGTATCTCTTCTTCACAACTTATTTTGAACTCTGCTGTCTCTCCACCTCGGTCAGCCTTTGATGAAATAATAAGATGAACCTAGGACTTTCTAAGATCTCAGTATTTTGATGAAATAATTCCTATGCGGCTAAACGAAATAAGTCACGTAAGGGTGAAGACACGAGAAAAGGATAGCTATCGATAAGTAGGTGGAAGTTAGACACGCGCTAAGTGCTTCCAGTGTTGTCTTTGTTATACCTGAAGATGAACGATATAAATTTAGGATATTCACAATAATCAACATGTAGATTATTTAGACTATCATACAGTCGAAGAATAGATTAACCTTCGCCGCCTCGTCCTTCGTTCCTGATCCTTCAGCTGGCTTGTTGCGCTCTAAGCTCAGTATATCACTCGAAACGTCAGTACCTTCTCTGGCGCTGCAAATGATCAATCCGATACACCATCCTGTTCGCCCGACGCTGCAAACGAATAATTCGATACAGCATGCTGCCTCTCTGTTGACTGACGTACCGTATAACCGATGACTCGCTGCTCCTCCGGCGCGGCTGCAAATGATCACTCCGATACACTATGCTACCGCTGGTGCTGCTGCTGATGAACACAATAAAAGGAGTTCGCTATAAGTTCGGTTGCGGTACCGCTAGTTTCAATCATAATTCCCAGAAATTCCAAAAAAAATCTTGCACGATTTTCAAAACTGCATTTTCGGACACGAACTTAATCCCAGCAAGAGAAAAACAAGTATCATTTCTCCCCTTTTCAACCTTCTTCCCCCTCATTCCCTTAGCCCTTGTCCCTTTTTTGTTGTAGGTGTTTAACCTTATGTATGTTTTTCCTCTACTTAATTATGCACTGAACTCTTCTAGTTCTTTCTTCCTTCCTTTTAAGAACTATTGAGAAAGAGAGTACGTTTGAACCTATACTTTCTTACTTGCTGTCGGCTTACAGATTTAGCTTAGGTTACGTTCTCCGTGCGTTACTTCTCGCCGCCAGAAGTATACCGAGGTTGAAAAAGGACACTTCCGCTCCGGCTGATTTCCACCAGCTCAAGCTGCGAAGTTTGCCTTCTTTTCTTTGTTTAGCTTTTGGCCTTCTAGCTGTTTCTTGTCAGATTTTCAACTAGTTAGCCTTTCCGTACTTTTGCTCTATGTCTATCTTTTCCGTCTTTCAGGACCAATCTTTCTAGTTTTTTTTTTTAGCTTTTTTTTGGCTTTGGGTCTGCGCACGATATTACTCAATCCTACCTAAGTACTTGTAAACAAGATTTTAGAGAAGAGAAGACCTGAAGAACCTGTGTCATTATTGTGATGCGTGATCATCAAGATCAATGTTCTTGATTTTTCATCTGCAGTTCTTTCTTTTCTGGTGAAAGCAAGGCGCAACAGACACACACAACAGAAAGGCTGTGGGACAAGACTTAGAAAAGGAACCTTTTACAGGGTGATAAACCTGTGGCATCCTCTGGTAACTGCACGGGTGCCGCAAGCACGTTTCGGCAGTGCTTCGTTTCTCTGATTGAGGTTGCTCCCTGTTCCCATCTTGCAGCTTCCGCCTTCCCCCCGTCTGGTGCTCTTTTTCTTCTTCTCCATCTCTCCGTAAACCACCCTAAGCCCTAGCCCTACTATGCCCTATCTCGTACTGTACTATGAGTAATCCATATATATAAGAATATAGATACTTTAGTCTACTGTAGTAATACAACTACAAGAGAAGAAACCTGTTTGGTCAACTTCTAATCTGTAGTAGTAACACTACAACCAAGAAGTCTACCTGGTCACCTAATTATGCATTTAAAACTGTAAGTATTTTCTTCAACACAAAAACAGTTTCGGTTGAAAAAAAGATCTCTTGAAGACCTTGCTGGAGGACAGCGCAGGAACTACAAGAGACCCCGGGGCAACTCTGGACAGTGCAAGCACGCCCGTGCCCCCGCTGACCTAGCCCACTAAAAAAGACCATCAATAGTAAGTAATAGACCAGAGGCTAGCCAACTAGCGCAGTCCAATTGATTCGTCTTCTCTAGTATCTAGATAAAGAATAGTCGATTATTTTCATCCAATCACTCATCTCTACATGGAATGGTGGACTATTTATTTCATCCAAGCCTTCATGATCTTCTCTGGTGGATGAAATAGTCTAATAGACTATGTTTAAATCTAACTACTTCCTTCTACTAGTCTTCATCGAGTAGTAGTAGCACGCGTCTACTAGTTCTCTTTCAGTTGATGAACGTATCCGATCATATAAATTGCTAATCGTAATATGGCAAACCACATCCCAAAGGGGATGACCCCCAAGCGGATTCAGCATGCCGATGGGGCTCTTAAAAATGCCAAATTCTTTGTACGCTGAGACCAGGAGAATAAAGCATACGCTTGACAGGTAAGTACAACATCTCCAAGCCTTTATACATTTAGGCGACTGAACATGTCCTTCCATTATCAAAATACTTGCAGTTGTGTGGAGACCCCCAAGGCTGACCGTCTCGCTACCATAATTCTAGTCATGTGACAGCTTTAGCGGTGTCTTACTCCACTTGTCTTTGTTAAAGAGGTAAAACATATCTGTCCTATCATGTGATCTTCTTTTCACAGAGATGAAACATACGCTTTCTTTCGAAAATATGTGTTCATCCGCTTTTGTTCTTCGGCTTTTAGGCTGTCTTGTCATGTCCTCCGCTAGATGAAATGTAGCTCCAGAACGCCGTAAAAAGATTGAGGGGCGGAGCACCAACCATTTCCGTTTCCGAAACGGAATTATTGGCATTAGCAGGTCCACGCAGACCCTGGGCCAAGCCTGCTCCGGCGTTGACCAGACCACGTAGGTTATTGTCAATTTCCTCCTTTTCGGTGGACGACCCAGCTTTCTGTTCGTCGGCAGAGGACGCACCACGACGCTGACGAAGACCACCAGCAGACTCCGATGCTTCAGAGGTATCGATTTTTCCATGCAAAGCATCGATCCACCCGTTCAACTCCTCAACTGCTCTCGTTTGCTCAGCATCATCTCCTTCAGAAGGATCATGATCAGCCTGTTTATCCTGTTCCTGTGGAATATCAAGTTTCTCCAGTCGCAACATCTGATCTTCAAAGTGTTGTCCCATGTGCTTGAGTTGCTCCGTAGTTTCGCTTACCTTTTCTTTGTAGTCTTGCAGGGTGTCGCCTTGGGCTTTTGCTTTTTGCGCGAGGATATCGTTCACTTCTTCCATATTGAGTTGAAATTCAGAAAAACTCCAGTGCTTATCATGGCGACGCTCTGGTGCAACACTACGGCTTGCCGCAGGCCCCATAAACCCCCGCTTGCCGCCGCCCATAACTTCCTGTACAGGCGCTTCTTCTTCTTTAGGTTGTTCAGAAAGGAAGACCTCAATCCTTTCGAGATCCCGCAAAGAAGTTGCTGTAGTCGGGTCCTCATGAGGCTGAGGAGCATGGCTGTGGTGCAAAGCTTCGCCTCCGACAATGGCGCCTCCGCAACAGGCAGCAGCGCAACAAGCGCACGCAACACAAGTGACGCGCTGATTGGTTCTGGCGGCCTCTACACAGGGCTGAAAAACAGCTTTGCAGCACTGCTGAGCGCCTTTTAGAGAGGCGGCACAGCAGCGAGAGGTGCAACTGGCACAGCGGCTGCCACAAGGCTGCAAGCAGTTCGTCCACATGCTGGTTGCGCATGGCACGACACACTTCGTGCAGGTCGCCGTCGCTCCGTTGGCAATGCCACGGCCAAGCGGACTCAAAATGTACTTGTACAGAGTGCGCACAATTTTCACGAGTGCGTCCCCCGTAACGGTGCCAGAGAAGATCACTGGATTCACGACGAAGAGCCGCAAGACCAGCCAGGCGAATCTGCCGAGACCTCTCACAAGTCTGAAACCGTGAAAGGGGACCAAATCCATGAAAAACTTCAACACGATCTTGTCGAAGATGAGGTGCAAGTACTGAAACATGCGCAGCATCACGTTTAGAGAGACAAAATCCACCACTACCACGTAGCCAAATTGTCCCACAGCTCTGAGGATATCCACTAAAGCGCCAGTGAGCGTGAGAACCGTTGGCACAAGGACCGACAGAAGCGGAGTCATCACGAGGCCACCGCGTCCAAACTTCCCGAAGGAAAAATGTTTCCAACTACGCGCAACTCCTTGTGGTCCTTCAACAACAGCCCCTCCTTCTTGTCCTTCACCGGCTGTTGCGGCTGCGCCTGCAGCCGTAGCCGTGCTACCGTTTGGGCAACATTTCTCTCCTACACCACAACAGCAGCTAACTCGGTCTTTATCAAAGCCGCAAGCGCCTTGTAGGAGATCCCCCGTGTCTCCGCCCACAAGGCAAGGAATGACGGGGGCGATACACGAGCAGGGGCACTCAAAAGCTTTGCGGACGCCTCTGCAGATCGCTGGGAGAGAGCAGCGCGCACAGCCGTTATAGCCTACTTGACAGGGAAATTTCACGCAAGTACGATAGGCAGTCGAGGCCAGGAAGCATCCGCCGCAGCAACTTAGCTGTAAAGAATCACACATCAACGTGACAGGCAACGTGAGAGTTTTGACAAGGCCATCCGTGCAGTACGTGGACCCGCTCTCGCAGTGATATCGGATTTGTCCCAAGCAGTTTCTGGATCTGTCTGCGCCAAACGTCGAAGCGATCGGACGGCAGAGCCCGTCGCCGCATTTTTGCAGAGCTCTGTCCTTGCAGGTACCCGCCACATAGCAGGGCGCGTTGCAGCACGTGGGCAGACAGACTCTACCCAGATAAGAAAAGGCGCAGAAATCCTGCGCGGATTGGCAGCAGCCAGCAGCTGTGTTTCCGCAGCGTTCTCCGCTAGAAATGCAGCACGGATCTTTGTGCGCCTTCACTGCTCCAGCTTGTCTTAGCAAATGAGTTTGGTCCACGACAGCGGGAAGCATCTGGATTTGTCCTGGAGGACTTTGCTGTGCCTCTTTGCAAACAGGCTTCATGCCAGCGCGCTCTTCACGGGTAGGACCACGGGTCGGGGAGCAAGTCTGCGCAGCACTGTCGCCACCACAGCAGCCGCAGCAGCACGCGCAGGGCGAACATCCTCCTCCAACACAAGAGAAACAACAAGAAGGGCAGCAGCTTTCCCAGCTGCACGGGGGTCCATAGGCTTTCTGCTCCTCCCCTAGCATGGCTTTGAGACGCTTCCCTTGTTCATCGGTCACGCCATCGTCATTTTTGTTGAGATCCTCCAAGAGTTGTGCTTTCGTCAACTCGATCAACACCTT